TCCAATGGCTCAAGTCTGAAATCCTAGCTACTCAGGAGGCTGAGATCTGAGGATCAAAATTGGAAGCCAACCCAGACAGGAAAATCTAGGAGATTCTTATTTCCAAATAACAACCAAAAAGTCAGAAGTGGAGCTGTGGCTCAAGGGGTAGAGTGCCAGCCTTGAGCAAAAAAGTTAACAAAAAACGTGCCCAGGTCCTGAGTTTGAGCCCTAGTACTGGCATGTACAAGAAAAGAAAAATCTTAGTTTTTTATCTTGAAGCTTTCAGTTGAATGCATGAGGCCTATCCATACTATCATAGGCAATCTACTTGAAGGTTTAAAATACCTTCATAGCAGCATCATAGGTTTTGAGTAAAATAGCTGGCACCATCACCAAGTCAAGGCTGCAGAAAAAAAAATTAGCTGTTACAGTGACCTATACTGTTGGGAATGAGGATAGTAATTACCTCTTGGGTATAACAACCACCCGTGGAGCTGCTGGGGTGCTGGTCATGCTGTTTCTCAGTTTGATGATGGATGGTTCAGTTTGTGAATATTTGGTGAACTGCATACTTAAGATATGTGGACATTTTGGCATGCATACTTCATCAAAGAAGAAAATGTTAGCTGGTGGCTCACGCCTATAATTCTAGCTATCAAGAGACTGAGACCTGAGGGTCACAGTTCAAAGCCAGCCCAGGCAGGAAAATCAGTGAGACTCATCTCCAATTAACCACCCCAAAACCAGAAGTGGAGCTGTGGCTTAAAGTGGTATAGCACATGCCTTGAGCAAAAAAGCTCTGGGAATAGCCCACACCTTGAATTCAAGCCCTACAACTGACCAAAACAGGAAACAAAACCAAAAACAAAATGTTCAGGAGAAAAGGTATTACGACAAAACTAATGGAAACAAGAAAAAAGCATTAGATCCCATGGGGAGGAATTTTTTTCTTTTCAGTGCATGTATAAGGGCTTGAATTTGCCTGAGTGCTTTTTCCCCCTGCCAGTGCTATATTATTTGAGCCAAACTTTCACTTCTGGCTTCTTGCTGATTAATTGGAGATAAGAGTCTCTCAAATTTGTCTGCCTGAGCTGGCTTTTAACCATGGTCCTCAGATCTTAGCCTCCAGAGTTACTAGGATTAGAGGTATTAGTCAACAATGCTTTTTTTTAAAAAAACAAAACAAAACATAGTACTTTAATGGGTAGACACAAATCTGGGAGAAAAAAAGTATTCTAGTTTTGAAGAGTATATTATGACGCACTTATTTATTTTTGTCAGTCGTGGGGTCTGAATTCTAGGCTAGTGCGCTGTCCCTCAGCTCTTCAGCTTAAGGCTAGCACTCTACCACTTGAGCCACAGCGCCACTTCCAGTTTTCTGGTGGTATATTGGAGATAACAGTCTCATGGACTGTCCTGCCCAGGCTGGCTTTGAACCATGATCCTCAGATCTCAGCCTCCTTGGTAGCTAGGATTATAGGTGTGAGCCACGGGCGCCTAGCCTATGATGCATTTATAAATAACCCATCTTCTGTTTTGGATGTTTTATTTTATTTTTTAAATTATTATTATCATTATTATTTTGTGAAAATACTGTACAGAGGGGTTACAATTACATGGGCAAGGTAATGAGTACATTTCTTATCAAGCATTGTTGCTTCCTCCTTACTATCCCTTCCTACTACCCCTGTCCCCAAAGTTGTAAAGTTCGTTTTTCTTTTTTTTTTTTTGGGTCCGGTCGTGGGGCCTGAACTCTGGACCTGGGCGCTGTCCCTCAGCTCTTCAGCTCAAGACTAGAGCTCTACCACTTGAGTCACAGCACCACTTCCGGCTTTTTTCTTTTTGCTTATGTGGTGCTGAGGAATCGAACCCAGGGCCTTAGGCATAAAAGGCAAGCGCTCTACCACTGAGCCACCTTCCCAGCCCCAGCCTGTGAAATTCTTTTTTTTTTGGTCCGTCGAGGGGCCTGAACTCTGGGCCTGGCCACTGTCCCTCAGCTCTTCAGCTCAAGGCTAGCGCTCTACCACTTGAGCTACAGCGCCACTTCCAACTTTTTTCTTTTTGCTTATGTGGTGCTGAGGAATTGAACCCAGGGCCTCATGCATGCAAGGCAAGCGCTCTACCACTGAGCCACCTTCCCAGCCTTCCTGTGAAATTCTTATGTCTAATAAACCACCAGAAAACCAGAAGTGGTGATGTTGCTTAAGTGGTAGAGCACTTGCCTTGAGCTGAAGAGCTCATGGACAGCATCCAGGGCCAGAGTTCAACCCCCACAACTGACCACAAAAAAATAAAAAAAAAGCAAGACCACTTAAAAAGCAATTCTATTTACGTAACAGCCTGCAAAATGCAAATCAATCCAAGAGTTGAGCTGGGAAGGTTGCACAGTGGTAGAGCGCTTGCCTTGCATGTCTGAGGCCCTGGGTTCGATTCCTCAGCACCACATAAGCAAAAAGAAAAAAGCCAGAAGTGGCTCTGTGGCTCAAGTGGTAGAGTGCTAGCCTTGAGCTGAAATGCTAAGGGACAGCACCCAGGCCCAGAGTTCAAACCCCACAACTGACCAAAAAAAAAAGAAAGAAAAGTATGTGCTGAGGGGTTGGGAAGGTGGCTAGGAAGGTGGCTCAGTGGTAGAATACTTGCCTCTTATGCATGAGACCCTGGATTCGGTTCCTCAGCACCACATAAACAGAAAAAGCTGGAAGTGGTGCTGTGGCTCAAGTGGTAGAGCTCTACCCTTGAGCTGAAGATCTGTGGGACAGTGTCCAGGCCCAGAATTCAAGCCCCATGACTGAACAAAAAAGAAAAAAAAAGAAAAGAGGGGCTGGGAAGGTGGCCCAGTAGTAGAGCGCTTGCCTTGCACGCCAGAGGCCCTGGGTTCGATTCCTCAGCACCACATAAGCAAAAAGAAAAAAGCCGGAAGTGGTGCTGTGGCTCAAGTGGTAGAGCGCTAGCCTTGAGCTGAAGAGCTGAGGGACAACGCCCAGGCCTAGAGTTCAGGCCCCACTACTGGACCCTCCCCTCCCCCGCCCAAAAAAAAAAGAAAAAGAAAAAAGAAAAGAAAATTATGTGCTGAAAGGACAAAGGATTAAAAAATGTAGCTCCTTTGGGCGTGACTTACAACCACCCATTGGAAATGTAAAAGAGAAAAACTTAAGAGGAAAATTTAGTGAGTGAAGGAGGGCTTACTGAATGGAAGCGGTGTCCCAACTTACCACCGAGCCCTCTAGAGAGAAGTGACGAGCAACCAGAGTCAAGTAAAGGCCTAGTAGGTTCTCCGGCGTGGTATCTGGAAAGAGACTGAACGACAGAGAACCCTTAGAGAGTAGGTCACTCACCAAAATGTAGAAGTGTGGAGGAAGATGCAGAGGCCAGCAATAGAATTGATGCACTGTGTCCGCAGCAGATAGACGGGTTCATAAAAGGCCGTCAGAACTGTGGGTATTCCTCAGAGCAAAAAGGGGAAAACAAACAAAAAACGAAAAAAAAGAAAAGGAAAAAAAACAGAGAGGAATCCAGCTATCCTGACTTTAAGCCCTTTATCCGAGTCACGGCACCATTTATGTTAGGTTTTTAAAAAGAGGTGGCCGAGTAAGAACTGCACCACGCAGGTGGTATTCAGGTAAGGGGTAGGTTTATTCAGTAGACCTGCTGGGACCAGGCAAGGTTGGCACTCCACGCGGCTGGCAAAAGGAAAAGAGGGCGGTCTGGCCGTGGTTTAGGCCTTATATAGGGTAGGGGGTGGGGAAGGGTGTGTCCAGGTAAAGGGAAGTGGGATCAGGTGGGAGAAAGGTGTGGCCACATCAGGTTAAGATGTGACCTCAGCGGATGTGGATGTGACCTCTTCCAGGTATCCCAGTTGCCTAGGTAACGCAGGTACTGGGTGAGGACTGTTCGCCGTCCAGGAATGGACCTTACAGTTAGCATTTAACTAATGTTTACTGAAACGTGCTCCAAGCTTCCGATTTACAAAAACACAACCCAAGTTTCCTAGTAGCCAAAACCCCATTTCACACATCCTGAATTTTCTATTTACCAAACCACCTTTCACACCTCCCAAGTTACCTATTTACCAAGTCTAAGGCCAAACCACCTGGTAGGTTTCCTGGCTTTTCCTGAATTCTGCTGTTATTTACCACATTTCAGTAGCCTGATGTTTAACTTGTTTATTATTTCGTTCTTTACTCTGGGTCTTTAACTCTGGAATTTCCCCTTAATAATTAATCTGGAGTTTCTCTCTACAAAGAGGTTTTATTTTTAATAATCAATAATTTTGTTCTATCTCTGATTTCACATTTTATAACCACAAGTATTATTTAATAACCTACTAGGTTTGGCTCTGTTCTCTTTATCCCTCTTCTTTTCTATATTACAGATAATACAGCCCACGGGAGATGCTGGGAGAAACAGGAAAGCTTTTTCCTTTTCTCTGGAAGTACCCCAGACAGTACTGATGGTTACAGGTGAATGTGGCCTGTCCATCCATCCATCTATCTGCTGAGGATTCAACCAAGCCCTTGCATGGTACTAGGCTAGTGTTCTACCACTAGGCCACACGACTGTGTAGCTAGGTGCCGTCGGCAGCTGGCCTGGGAGATCTTTAATCACTAACCAACCAAAGCTTTGGGTCTTTCCTCCTCCAGACCCTGTGACTCCCCTCCTCTCTCCAGGTCTCCTGCCTTGGAGCCTGCAGACTTGGGTTAGGAACCAAAGCCGCCGCTGGACGTCTCCTTTCGCTCTGTGCACTCCGTGTCTCCAGCGACCCACCCCGATTCAGAGCTACCACGGTGTGTGAACGTTTTTTTCCTTCTCGGTTCCCGGGACACCCAGCTCTTCGCTTTGACCGCAGCCCAGCTCTGCGCGCGCCCGGGAGCGCAGGCTCCGCCCACCGCGGGGGCGTGCCTCCGAGGCGCGAGCTAGCGCACCGGCCGCGGGGACGCGCAGACGTGCCGTGCGTGCGACCGCGGTGAGGCGGGCGTCCGCGGGCCAAGCGTCGTCACCACCCTCAAGGAGGCGGGAGGAGCGGGCGGAGGCGGAGCGTCTGCGGAAGCCATGTTTGTGGCGCGCAGCATCGCAGCGGATCACAAGGATCTGATCCATGATGTCTCTTTCGACTTCCACGGGAGGCGGATGGCCACTTGCTCCAGCGACCAGAGCGTCAAGGTGCGCACGGCGCCCCTGGGCCTGGAACGAGGGTGGGGGGGACGTGGGAGGACGGGACGCCGGCGTGGAGTTAAAGGACGCGTCACAACTTAAGCGTACGCCGTCGGGCACCAGGCACCGAGCTCCCGGGGCAGTCGCAACCCTCGCCTGGTAGGCCCGCGCAGGAAAGCCCTGCCGCTCGCGTAGTGTGCAGTCACGACAGCCCCGCAGTCCCGGCGATTGGGCTTTAGTGCGCTTGCGCGGGACAACATCGCGCCACGTGCGCGCTCTCGCCGCCAGCGCGCTGGGCGCATGCGCCAGCCAGCCAGCCAGCCAGCCAGCGGGAGTCCGGGCGGTGGAGTCTTGGGTGGGCTTGGCCTGCGCCCGGTGGGGCTCGGTGTTCCGCTCAGGGATTCCTTGGCCTTAGGACACACACTTTTTCGGCCAGAGGGCTTTCTAAATGGGACATAAAGGGAAGTCTTTACCTGGTGCTTGTGTCTTAATTTCAGCGAGGGTCACCGGAGTTACTTCATCCGGGATATTAGATTGTTTTCTTTTGGTTTCGGATGAAGTTCACGTTGTTTCGCCACAAAAGGAAAACAACACAGTTGCATCCCGTGCGTTCTCTATTTGCTATCTAAGAATTAGAGGGCTTGTTCCTAGTTTCTGCACAGGTCTGTTAGTACTGCAGGACAAGCAGAATTCCTATAATAGGGTATTTGGGATTTGGTAACTTCAGATAGGTTCTAAGGCGACATGTGTTATCATTTGAGAATCCCTCCTCCCCTTTACTGGGGCTTGAATTCAGGTCCTTGTGATCGTTAGGAATCTAACCACATTTAACAATCCTTTTCATTTTTTTGCCAATCCTGGGGCTTGAACTCAGGGCCTGGGCACTGTTCTGAGCTTCTTTTGCTCAAGGCTAGCACTCTACCACTTGAGCCACAGCACCACTTCTGGCTTTTTCTGTTTGTGTGGTTCTGAGTAATTGAACCCAGGTCTTTGTGCATGCCAGGCAAGCAGTCTACCATTAAGCCACATTCCCAGCCCTTAAAATCTTTTTTTTTTTTGGACGGGTCTGAACTCTGGGTCTGGGCACTGTCCCTCAGCTTTTCAGCTCAAGGGTAGTGCTCTACTACTTGAGCCATAGTGCCACTTTCAGATTTTTCTGCTTATGTGGTGCTAAGGAATCAAACCCAGGGCCTCATGGATGCAAGGCAAGCGCTCTACCACTGAGCCACCCTCCCAGCCCCCTGGGCACTGTCTTTGAGTTTATTGTTCAAGAATAGCTCTCTACCACTTGAATCACAGCTCCACTTCTGTATCTTTTTTGTTGGTTAATTGGAGATAAGTATCTCATGGCTTTTCTTGCCTGGGCTGGCTTTGAACTATTACTTTCAAATCTTAGGATTTGAAAATAGGATTTACGATTACAGCCATGAACCAGCAGTACCCAGCTATTAAGTTTTTCTTTTCTTTTCTTTTTTTCCTGGCCAGTCTTAGGGCGAACTTGGCACCTGGCTGCTGTCCCTGAGCTTCTTTTCTTTTTTTGGGTCCGGTTGTGGGGCGCTGTCCCTCAGCTCTTCAGCTCAAGGCTAGCACTCTACCACTTGAGCCACAGTGCCACTTCCGGATTTTTTCTTTTTGCTTATGTGGTGCTGAGGAATCGAACCCAGGGCCTCGAGCATGCAAGGCAAGCACTCTACCACTGAGCCACCTTCCCAGCCCCTCCCTGTCATTTGAGCCACCGTTTCACTTTCAGATGTTTTGGTAGTTTATTGGAGATGAGAATCTCACAGACTTTCTCCTTCATGCTGGTTGTCACCCTCCTGAGTAACTAGGATTACAGGTGTGAGCCACTGGTGACTGGCTGAGATTTTTGTTAATTTAGCATTTTATGTATTTTGAATAATTTCCTTAGGCTAATTCCAGGAGGGAAATTAATAAATATTTCAAAGCTTTTTTTTTTTTTTGTCGGTCGTGGGGCTTGAACTCTGGGCCTGAGCGCTGTCCCTCAGCTCTTCAGCTCAAGCCTAGCGCTCTACCATTTGAGTTACAGTGCCATTTCTGGTTTTCTCGTGGTTTATTGGAGATAAGAGTTTCACGGACTTTCTTTCCCCGACTGGCTTTGAACCGTGATCCTCAGATCTCAGCCTCCTGAGTAGGATTACTGGCATGAGCTACCGGTGCCAGGCTTATTTCAAAGCTTTTAATAAGTATTGGAAAACCATTTTTTCCCCCAACAGGTTGTGCTTTCTTTCCCCCCCACCCTTCCATTCCAGTGTTAAAACCCAGAGTCTCAAACACGGTAGGAAAACACTCCACTATTCTACATCCCTAGCTGAGGTTGTACAATTTTCTTCATTGCCAATGAGAGTATTGATTTGCCCAGGTTGGACCTTGTCCTTATGTATTTTTTTTAAACAGTTTATATTGCCACTTTGTTTTTATAATCTATAATTCTTGGGGGTAATAAAGTTGAATATTTTGCTTTATCTTTAATTAAATATTTAGTTGTTTCACATTGTGGGCTTTGTGTTAATGACTTATTCATTCTACTACTGGTAATCCCAAAGTCAGTATCCTCTGAGCTTTTGAAGTCATTTGTAGCTACCTGGGATGATAAAAAGTTTAAATTTTGGAATGCTTTTTCAACTTACATGGAATGAGATGGTATTTTATCTATCATCTTATTTTGATTGTACTTTTTTTTTTTGTTGGTCGTGGGTCTTGAACTCTGGGCTTGGGCGCTGTCCCTGTGCTCTTCAGCTCAAAGCGAGCGCTCTACCGCTTGAACCACAGCACCACTTCTGGTTTTCTAGAAGGTTTATTGGAGATAAGAGTCTTCCGAACTTTCCTGCCCAGTCTAGCTTTGAACCTCGATCCTCAGATCTCAGCCTTCTGAGTAGCTAGGATTACAGGCGTGAGCCACCGGCGCCGGCTTGATTGTGCTTTTGAACAAGCTATTTTCACAGTTAATGACGCAACTTTTTGCATTACTTATTCTGTTGATGATTTCACAGTTTAAAATGTGGTGTGTGTGTGTGTGTGTGTGTGTGTGTGTGTGTGTGTGTGTGTGTGTGTGTGTGTGTGTGTGTGTGTGTGTGTGTGTGTGTGTGTGTGTGTCCTGGGGCTTGAACTGGGCCTGTACGCTGTCCCTGACCTCTAGCTCAAGGCTATTATTGTGTGTGTGTGTGTGTGTGTGTGTCCTGGGGCTTGAACTGGGCCTGTACACTGTCCCTGACCTCTAGCTCAAGGCTATTATTGCACTACCATTCTGGTTTTTTGGTGATAATTGGAGATAAGAGTCTCAGGCACTTTCCTATCCTCGCTGGTTTTGAATTGGGATCCTGAGATCTCAGCCTTCTGAGTAGCTAGGATTTCAGGTGTGATCCACCAGTGCCTACCCTTCAAATGGTTTTTAAGTGCTGAAGAGTTTCTAGACAAAGAAGGCTGTGGTGTGTCTTACTACTAACACACATATGTGTTAGATAAGCACCCTTTAGACTTGAGTATTGTAGCCCTGTTGACTCCGAGTTCAGTGTGAATCAACATTGTGTATTAAATAATGTCTTTTTTTTTTTGTGGGTCTTGGGGCTTGAACTCAGGACTTGGGCTCTGTCTCTGAGCCTGTCTATGCTCAAGGCTGTGCTCTACCACTTGAGCCAAAGAACCACTTCCAGCTTTTCTGTTTATGTGGTACTGAGGAATCGAACCCAGAGCTTCTTTATGCATGTTAGGCAAGTACTCTACCACTAAGCCACATTCCTAGCCATAAATAATGTCTTTAAGCAGAAATGTGTTACATAAAACAGGTTATGTATTGATTGGTTGGTGAAAATGTTAGACCAGAGATTCACAGTACTCTAAACCACATCTCTCCTAGGAGCAGTGTTTTAGTAGTCATAAAACATAACTGCTGTCAGTAATGAGAATTGAGGGATTGGGGTTGTTTGCCCAGTAGTAAAAATGAAAGTACCACACAAATACACTTACATGCCCATGCACACACAAGAAAAGGCGTGAGAAAGAGACTGTGTGTGTGTGTGTGTGTGTGTGTGTGTGAGAGAGAGAGAGAGAGAGAAAGAGAGAGGGAGAACTTTTTAAGTTCCTCTCTTTGCTTGTATACTGAATCAGTGTTAGAGGTTTTTTGACAACAATTTGTGGGAATTTCTTGTATAAAATACTTGCCTTTTGTTTTCATACAGGTATGGGATAAAAGTGAAAGTGGAGATTGGCATTGCACTGCTAGCTGGAAGGTTAGTATTTTAACTGTGATTCAAAAAGGTTGAAATATTTACTATTTGTTGTGTTAAACCTGATATTCAATTTGAAGGAGATTATAACATATATACTTGATTCTTTTCCTGGAAAGGTAGTTAACTTTTTTTTTGCTATTAAAATAAATAATAGAAATATATTTCAGAGAATTTAGGAATAAAAGAATCAGTAATTCTGTATCATTCTATTATTAGTTCTTTATTATAGCCTTACATTCTTTTTGTTGTTGTTGTTGTTGGTCATGGGGCTTGAACTCTTGGGCATGGGCTCTGTCCCTGTGCGCTTCAGCTCAAGGTGAGTGCTCTGTCGCTTGTGCCACAGCTCCATTTCCGGTTTTCTGGTAGTTTAGTGGAGATGAATCTCACAGACTTTTCTGCCTGGGCTGGCTTTGAGCCTCGATCCTCAGATCTCAGCCTCCTGAGTAGCTAGGATTATAGGTGTGAGCCACCGACTCCTGGCTAGTTTTATTTTTTTAGTTTTTATTTATTTATTTTTTTGGGGTCCGGTCGTGGGGCCTGAACTCTGGGCCTGGGCGCTGTCCCTCAGCTCTTCAGCTCAAGGCTAGCGCTCTACCATTAGAGCCACAGCGCCACTTCCGGCTTTTTTCTTTTTGCTTATGTGGTGCTGAGGAATCGAACCCAGGGCCTCATGCATGCAAGGCAAGCGCTCTACCACTGAACCACCTTCCCAGCCCCATCCTGGCTGGTTTTATGTTCTCTCTCTCTCTCTCTCTCTCTCTCACACACACACACACTCACTCACTGAGGGCCTTGCTTTAGCTCTTTCATTCAAATCTGGTAGTCTAGCATTTGAGCCACACTTCCATTTCTGGATTTTTGTTGGTTAATTGGAGATGAGTGTCTCGTATTGGTTGTCTGACTTAGAACCTCAGTCCTCAGCCTCCTGAGTAGATAGGATTACAGGAATGAAGCTCGTGTGTGTGTGTGTGTGTGTGTGTGTGTGTGTGTGTGTGTGTGTGTGTGTGTGTGTGTGTGTGTGTGTGTGTGTGTGTTTGATTGGTCATGAGGTTTGAGTTCTTTTGCTCAAGGTTCGTGTTCTACCACTTGGAGCTATAGCACCGCTTCTGGTTTTCTGGTGGTTAATTGGAGATAAGAGTCTCATAGACTTTCCTGCATGGGCTGGCTTTGAACTGTGATCCTCAGATCTCAGCCTCCTGAGTAGCTGGAGTACAGGTGTGACCACTGGTGCCCAGCTTCTTTTTTTGTTGTTGTTGGTCGTGGAATTTGAACTCTGTGCCTGGATGCTGTCCCTCAGCCCTTCAGCTCAAGGCTAGCGATCTACCATTTGAGCCACAGCACCACTTCTGTTTTTCTGATCGTTTATTGGAGATAAGAGTCTCCGGAGGGCTGGGAAGTTGGCTCGGTGGTAGAGCGCTTGCCTTGCATGCCTGAGGCCCTGGGTTCGATTCCTCAGCACCACATAAGCAAAAAGAAAAAAGCCGGAAGTGGCGCTGTGGCTCAAGTGGTAGAGCGCTAGCCTTGAGCTGAAGAACTGAGGGGCAGCGCCCAGGCCCAGAGTTCAGGCCCCATGACCGGACCAAAAAAAAAAAAAAAAAAGTCTCCTGAACTTTGCTGCCTGGGCTGGCTTTGAGCTTTGATCCTCAGATCTTAGCCTCCTGAGTAACTAGGATTATAGGCGTGAGCCCAGCTTCCTTTATATACTTTTAATAGTTGTGATTTTTTTCCTCCATCATTTATGTGTTAGTTTTTTACTGTTTAATTTTTATTAGCATGCAGTAGTTATTTAGTGAGAGATTTCATTGTGATGTTTCATGCATTGTTTTATTTCTTGATTATTTATTTACTTTTTTTTTCAGTACCAGGGTTTGAACTCAGGGCCTTGTGTTCACTCAGTTTGCTTACTCTAGTGGCTGGATATTTTGGCAATGGAGTTTTGAGGACTTTTCTGCCTCAGCTGGCTTTAACCTGTGATCCTCTGCATCTTAGCCACCTGGCTTATTCCTTGATTTAAATTCCTTGATTCAATTACTCAATTAAATTTATCAGTTTTAAAGGCTGAGAATGTAGCTTAATGGTAGAACACATTCCCAGCACTGAATCAAAAAGAGAAAAGGAGTCTACTAGAGTCTTGAAATCAGAGTAGAAATATGACAGCAGACTGGGCCTGGTGGGTCACACTTACAATCTTACCACTCAGGAGGCTAGGGAAGGAAGATAGTGAATTCACAGCCAACCTGGGCTATGTGGTTTCATCTTTGCTAGAAGTTTTGTATAGATGGAATCCTCACGTATTAGTTTTCTCATTGTTGTGATCAAAGTACCTGAGAACTTAAAACAGGTTTATTTTGACCTGTTTCCAGAGGGTTCGTCCCTTAGGCATCATGGTGGCTGTAGTATATGGCCACAGTGGTTCTTTATCTGACACTGGACAGGGGGCAGAGAGACAGGCAGAGGCTCAGGGACAAGATAATCCCAAGGACCTGCCCTCAGTGACTTACTTCTTCCAGCTATGTCCCCCCTTCAGTTTCTAGAACTTTCCTAAATAGCATCACCATCTGGGGATGGAGTTCCTAGCACATCAGTCTTTCTGGGGGATACCTTATAGATAGTCCTTTGTGTCTGACTCCTTTACCTTAGTGTGTTTTCCATGTTCACCAGCATTGTCATATGTCAGTAGTCTGTTAAATAGTTATGTAGTTACACCACACATACCCATTCACCTGTAGAAGGATGTTTGAATTATCTCCAGTTTTGGGTTACTATGAATAATGTTTATGTTAGGACCTTTCCTAGCATTATAACAAAACACCTGAGGTAGTCAACTTATGAAAAATAACTGGCTAACATTTTTGGAAGTTTCAGTCCATTATTGGTTTGCCTGCTGCTTTTGGAATGTCACATAGACACATTTTTCTTGTTACTCAGATAAAAATTATGAACTTTTTTGGTCGGTCGTGGGGACCTGGGCGCTGTCCCTCTGATCTTCAGCTTAAGGCTAGTGCTCTACCACTTGAGCTACAGTGCCACTTCTGGCATTTTCTGCTTATGTGGTGCTGAGGAATCGAATCCAGGGCCTCATGCATGCAAGGCAAGCACTCTACCACTGAGCTACCTTCCCAGCCCTGAACTTTTTTTTTTTTTTTTTTTTAAAAGTAAAACTTCCTATGTATGAAATATGAGTAAACTCAGTTTGGTTTTCTTTCCTCTTTTAAAATCCTCTAGACACACAGTGGATCTGTATGGCGTGTAACGTGGGCCCATCCTGAATTTGGACAGGTTTTGGCTTCCTGTTCTTTTGACCGAACAGCTGCTGTATGGGAAGAAATAGTGGGAGAATCAAATGATAAGCTGAGAGGACAAAGTCATTGGGTGAGACATTGGTTTGTGTCTAATGGGGGCAGGCATGTGAACAGTGGGAGTTGGTGATCCTAAGAATAACTTCTTCAATCACTTGGTAATGTTACTACTTCTCCCTTATTTATCAGCTCCACTATTTTTCATTTTCTCTTGGACTTGAATTAGTTTTTGGGAGTACCCATGAAATAGTATTTGCTTTTTTTTTTTTTTTTTTTTGGTGGTCGTGGGGCTTGAACTCTGGACCTGGGCGCTGTCCCTCAGATCTTCAGCTTAAGGCTAGTGTTCTACCACATGAGCCACAGAGCCACTTCTGGTTTTCTGGTGGTTTATTGGAGATAAGAGTCTCATGGATTTTCCTGCCCAAGCTGGCTTTGAACTCAGATCCTCAGATCTCAGCCTCCTGAGTAGCTAGGATTATAGGTGTGAGCCACTGGCTGCATCTGGTTTTGTATGTTAGCATTTCTTATGTGATTTTAGATGGCAATTAGTATATAACTTCAGACTACTCTAACATTTTTTTGGTTGGTCATGGGGCCTGAACTCTGGGCCTGGGTGCTGTCCCTCAGCTCTTCAGCTGTAGCCTAGCGCTCTACCACTTGAGTCTCAGCTCCACTTCTGGCTTTTTCTGCTTATGTGTTGCTGAGAAACCAAACCAAGGGTTTCATGCATGCAAGGCAAGTACTCTACCACTGAGCCACCTTCCCAGTCCCACCTCTAACATTCTTGAAAGCTGTTTCTGTTGGGCCCCTCCCTTCCCTCAGTACTAGGACTTGAACCTAGGGCCTCACAGATGCTAAACATGTATTTTACTTCTGAGTTATTCTCTAAACCCTTGTTTTATATTTTCCTTGCAAAATATATTCTCCTTTATGTGAACCCACTTTATTTTGGCCTTGATTGGATGGTTGATACTACCCAAGTTCCTAATCTATACAGTAAGGATTTTTGAGAGAGAATTTTTTGGAGATGCTATACTGCAGCCTTTTGTTTACTCCTGCATAATTTTTTCATAATCACATGCGTGGTACAAAATTTGAAAGTCATAAAAGGGTGAGAACTTCCTTGTCTTCCAGTGTCACCCTGTTGTGTCTCTAGAGGCTGCCACTGTTGCACGTATTTTGTGACTTCTTCCTTTCTAGGACAGTGGCAGTGCAAGTGGGGTCATTTATGCTTAAGTGAAGTTGCATACCTTCTATTTACTACTAAAGGATCTTATTTACTGCTTGCAGCATGCTTTGCACTATAGTGCTATCTGTATAAAAATTTTTAATATTTTTTTTAGTTTCATGAGCAGTTTGCCTAAGAAATTATGTACATATTAAATTGAGACAGACTTTTTCTGCCTTGAAGGCAATAATTATGTCATTAATTTGTTAGTGATTGTTATGGATGTGGTGTTTTAGAAAGTGCTTTGGAGGAGATTGGGGCCCAGACAGGCCTAAAAATAACTCATACAAGCCGGGCGCCGGTGGCTCACGTCTGTAATCCTAGCTACTCAGAAGGCTGAGGTCTGAGGATTGCAGTTCAAAGCCAGCCTGGACAGGAAAGTCTGTGATACTCTTATCTCCAGAAACCACCAGAAACCAGGAGTGGCTCTGTGGCTCAAGTGGTAGAGCACTAGCCTTGAGTTGAAGAGCTGAGGGATAGCACCCAGGCCCAGAATTTAAGCTCCACGACCAACAACAAAAAAAAAGCCAACAACAACAACAAAATGCATACAAAGTGGTTGCCAGTGGCTTAATCCTAGCTACTCAGGAGGCTGAGATATGAGGATCTTAGTTCAGATCTAGCCTTGGCAGATAAATCTGTGAGATTCTTAGCTCCAGTTACCCAGCAAAATGCTGGCTGCAGCTTGGCTCAGATGGTAGAGTGTCAGCTATGAATGGAAAAATATGACCCTGAGTTCAAGGCCCGGTTACAACACAAAAAAACCCCCAATGTAATCCCAAACCCCATAAAAACCCAGTGTATTGAAAGGCTATGTACTTTGTAAATGAAAGAGCAATTCTGTGTTCTTTAAAATCTCTACCATGTTTTCTTTCATTTATGATTTTAGTTGTTTATTATCTTTTTCAGGTGAAGAGGACAACTCTAGTGGATAGCAGAACATCCGTGACAGATGTGAAATTTGCTCCCAAGCATATGGGTCTTATGTTAGCAACCTGTTCAGCAGATGGCATAGTTAGAATATATGAGGCACCAGATGTTATGAATCTCAGCCAGTGGTCTCTGCAGCATGAGATCTCATGCAAGCTAAGCTGTAGTTGTATTTCTTGGAACCCTTCAAGGTAAGCTTACATATCAAACCTCTGATGATATACTTCTAGTAAGATGAACTAGAGATTTTTTCTTTAAGAGAAAAAAAGATTTGGCTCAGCATTTCAGACACGTCATTCTATTGTAAGGATAGTGTAGTGAAGCATGGTGGTTCCGGTAACCATGGCCAGAGAGCCGAGAAAGGAAATGCCAGGCACTGAGCTGGCTTTCTTCTTTCTTTTTGTATTTCCTCTGGGTCCAGCAACCCATGAATGGTGTCATTCATGTTAAGGGTGGCTTTTCCTCCCATAAGTTAATCCTCTTTGGAAATATCCTCAGACATACCTAGAGCTGTGTCTTAACTAATCTCCTATGTGATTCAAAATTCAGGCAAGTTGACAAAACCATCACAAATTCACCTTTTGTCAACTTGATAAGCATATTGGCTTCCCAGGAATTGGATTAGTAGATTGTAAGATTAAAATTTGATGATTTATTATCTAAAAAGTTTTTTTTTTTAAAAAAAATATGTCTTCTTGGGGCTGGGAAGATGGCTCAGTGGTAGAGTACTTGCCTTGCATGCTCGAGGCCCTGGGTTCGATTCCTCAGCCCCACATAAGCAAAAAGAAAAAAGCCAGAAGTGGCTCTGTGGCTCAAGTGGTAGAGTGCTAGCCTTGAGCTGAAGAGCTGAGGGACAGCGCCCAGGCCCAGAGTTCAGGCCCCAGGACCAGACCCCCCCCCCCCCCCCCCCGCTCCCCCCCCCAAAAAAATATGTCTTCTAGAAGCATTTATCTTTTCTACCTTGGAATGCCTTTGTTCCAGTGTTTTTACTTTACAAAAGAACTCATCTGTAGTAAATATTTTGGTATTAACTTTCTGACCATTTTCTATGTATATACATTTATGTATTTAATGTACTCAGAAAGATATGAAGGTATACACTAGATTAACATGAATATATAAGGGAGTCAACAAACATACAGATATGCACAAACTAATACTCTTTCTTTGAAATTTCTTTACTAGCAAATACACTTGGACAGTTTTCCATATATTAGTATAGCTAGTCATCCCTCTCTCCCCCATTTTCCCCAGGATTTTTCCATGTGTCTCAGGATAACCTTGAATTTGTGGGCTTCCTGCCTCTGTCTCTCAAGTTCTTTTTTTGAGAAAGTGTCTTGATGTGAGACTGATCTTGAACTCAAGATCCTCTTGGCTTTAGCCTCTTGAGCACTAGGATTACAAGCATATGCCATCACACCAGCTCATGGTTACTTTTTATTTATTTAAAAAAAATGGTAAGAATCAGTAGCCTGAAATCCTAGCTACCCAGGAGCTGAAATCTAAAGATTGAATTTTGAAGCCAGCCTGGACAAGAAAGTGATGAGAATCTTTTTTTTTTTTTTGTCAGTTGTGGGGCCTGAACTCTGGACCTGGGCACTGTCCCTCAGCTCTTGAGCTCAAGGCTAGTTAGTGCTCTACCACTTGAGCCACAGCACCACTTCTGGCTTTTTCTCCTTATGTGGTGCTGAGGAATCAAACCAGGGCCTCATGCATGCAAGGCAAGCACTCTACCACTGAGCCACCTTCCCAGCCCAGTGATGAGATTCTTATTTCCAATTAAAAAAGCTGGACGGGAACTGTGACCCAATTGGTAGAGCACCAGCCTTGAGCACAAAGAGCTAAGGGAAAGTGCTCAGGCCCTGCGGTCAAGTCCACTGTCAGCAATAAAAAAAATTTGAGACTCAACCTGGTTAAAAAAAAAAAAAAGGAAACCTGAAAGAGTGCAAAACAAAAGCCATAGTTTTCTTATCCCCTAGAAACAAATGTTTTTAGTAGTTTGGTTTTTAGACTTTAGTCAGATACTTCTGATTCTTGTCCTGATGTGTTTAAACAGGGTTCATATTCACTGATAAACAAAAGATATAGCACGTTTGGAAGTCTTTCCACCTCCTATGGTATCTACTTGATACTTTTATTTTTAGTAATGTTAATAGCTTTAGTTATGTTGGCAATTATCATGAATCCACATTCATATCCCTACTTGATTTACGTTTTTAGATTATTACTTCTACTTTATTTTATTTATTTTATTTTTTATTTTTTTTTCCCTTGTCTCCCCATTCACAATACATACTAGGCACAGGCCTGGGCTGAGGTGTATATAGGGTAGGTTTACTCTGCCTCATCTTTCTGTACAGTCAGTGTAAGAACACAGCCTGTGGTAAGCACCCGGAGGCCATATTACTTCTATTTTTAAAAAAAGAGCCGGGCACTGGTGGCTCATACCTGTAATCCTAGCTACTCTGGAGGCTGAGATCTGAGGATTGCAGTACAAAGCCAACCCACGCAGGAAAGCCCCTGAGACTCTTTTTTTTTTTTTTTTGGTTGGTCGTGGGGCTTGAACTCTGGGCCTGGGCGCTGTCCCTCAGCTCTTCAGCTCAAGGCGAGCACTCTACCACTTGAGCTACAGCGCCACTTCCGGTTTTCTGGTGGTTTATTGGAGATAGGAGTCTCATGGTCTCTCCTGCCCGGGTTGGCTTTGAACCACGATCCTCAGATCTCAGCCTCCTGAGTAGCTAGGATTACAGGCGTGAGCCACCAGCGCCCGGCTGCCCCTGAGACTCTTATCTACAATAAACCACCAGAAAACCAGAAGTGGCTCTGTGGCTTAAGTGGTAGAGTGCTGGCTTTGAGCTGAAGAGCTGAAGGACAGCGCCCAGGCCCAGAGTTCAAGCCCCATGGCCAAAAAAAAAAAAGAAAAAAAAAAGCTAGCTAGCTTATTTTTCTTCTACTTAACATGAACTGTTCTGTATCTTAAATTTTGCTGTATTGCTTGTATACTGGCAAGTTTAATAATAGTATTTATAATCTAAGATTTTAAAATATGTATAAGTTTTTTTCTGCTTTTTTTATAAATTATCTTAGTTTTGCAGAGGAAGATTTAAGTTTCCACACATGTTATGTATCCTAAGCAGTCTCACCTCATCATACATAAGTATTTTTTTTGGTCAGCCGTGGGGCTTGAACTCTGGGCCTGGGCACTGTCCCTCAGCTCTTCAGCTCAAGGCGAACGCTCTACCACTTGAGCTACAACGCCACTTCGGTTTTCTGGTGGTTTATTGGAGATAGGAGTCTCACGTTCTCTCCTGCCCAGGCTGGCTTTGAACCGCGATCCTCAGATCTCAGCCTCCTGAGTAGCTAGGATTACAGGTGTGAGCCACCAGCGCCCGGCTTATATGTATAAGTATTTTGTCTTTGACTGCTGATTTAAAAAATCAGAGAGCAACCAGACTTATGACATTACATTATTTGTCTGATAGATGGCAAATATCTATTTCATGAAAGTTTTTTGTTTACCCAGAATAATTTGGCATTACCTGGGCCTGGGTGCTGTACCTCAGCTCTTCAGGTCAAGGTTAGTGCTCTATCACTTGAGCCACAGCGCCACTTCCAGTTTTCTGGTCGCTTATTGGAGATAAGAGTCTCATGGACTTTCCTGCGTGGGCTGACTTTGAACTGCGCTCCTCAGATCTTAGCCTTCTGAGTAACTAGGATTACAGGTGTGAGCCACTGGTGCCCAGCTAGCATTACCTTTTGATGAATGCTCTATTAGATATTTTGTGTGTGTGTGTGGACATGTGTATGTGTGTATGCACCATTCCTGGGGCTTGAACTTAGGGCCTAGGTTCTATTCCTGAGCTTTTGTACTAACGTCTTCATTAGATTTTATTACCTAATAAATCATTTTCTTATAGATCTTTAGCAAGTTGTGTCAATAAAGAACTAATATTTTAGCTCTAAGAGATGAGTAGTAGGCTCAGAATGTGGCTCAGTGGTAGAGTACACGCCTAGCATTCGTGAAGCCCTGGGTTTGATTCTTCAATACCACATAAACAGAAAAAGCCACAGATAGCACTGTGGCTCAAGTGGCAGAGTGCTTGCCTTGAGCAAAAGAAGCTCAGGGGGCGCTAGTGGCTCATGCCTGTAATCCTAGCTACTCAGGAGGCTGAGATCTGAAGATCACAGTTCAAAGCCAGCCCTGGGAGGAAAGTCCATGAGACTTTTTTTTGGTGGTCGTGGGGCCTGAACTCTGGGCCTGGGCACTGTCCCTCAGCTCTTCAGCTCAAGGCTAGTGCTCTACCACTTGAGCCACAGCGCCACTTCCGGCTTTTTCTACGTATGTGGTACTGAGGAATCAAACCCAGGGTCTCATGCATAACAGGCAAGGGCTCTACCACTGAGCCACTTTCTAAGCCTCATCTGTGAGAGTCTTATCTCCAATAAACCACTCAGATAAAACTAGAAGTGGCACTGTGGCTCAAGAGGTAGAGTGCTTGCCTTGAGCTGAAGAGCTGAAAGACAGCACCCAGGCCCAGATTTCAAGCCCCATGATGACAAAAAAAAAGAAGCTTAGGGACAGTATGGAGTTTCTGATTTCAAGCCCCAGGACTGCCTGCCCCTCCCCTCAAAAGAAGAGAAAGACGAGCAGAATATAGAACCAAGGTCAAAGTTAAACTATGTTGCAGACAAAGCAAAGTATTATCTAGGTAACTTGGCACATAGCAAAAAAAGTTATTTGTAGTTCACTTTAGTAGAACCATTCTCTGATTGCTTATCTTTGCCTTTTTTTGTGTGAGAAGGGAATGATGTAGGAGGTATGATTTGTGAGGAGGTGGTCTTTTCTACTATTCCTCTTTCCATCTGCATTTCTCCTGTTTGTAGAAAGCACTGAATACCTTTTTGTCATGAAGTTAGTTGGTCACAGTTTGGATTCTTCCTCATTTTATATTTAATTGCTAGGTCTTTCAGGAGGTAAAACTGCTAATGTATCTCATGTTTATTTTTAATCTGTTAAATGTTTAAAACTTTATCTTTTGGGCAAAGAGATTTTTATCTAAATATGGATAAAAGCATCCAGGAATCCTCAGTTCCTTTATATGATATTTTCATATTTAGAAGTTTTGGTTGTGCAAGTATGTGTCAGAGATGTAATTGTCACATAGGGACAGGCTAACTGCTAGATTGTGTATCTGCTTGACACCTGCTTTTTAAATTTCTGAATTTAACATCTTGATTATTAATGTAAATTGTTTTTACTTTTCCTTTCTAGCTCTCGTGCTCATTCCCCTATGATAGCTGTAGGAAGTGATGACAGTAGTCCAAATGCAATGGCCAAGGTTCAGATTTTTGAATACAATGAAAATACCAGGTCAGTCTGCTTTGGTATTACTTACTGTTCAAAATTGCATTTAGTTTTATGTATTAACTGAATGTATATCACTCATTACATATTTACATATTTCCTATGATATATCAAGTTCTGTGCTAGACTTTAATGTATAGGGTTGTTTCTTTTTTTTTTTTTCTTTTCTTTTTTTGAGTCCATGCTCCCAGCTTGTTTTGTTTTTGAAATGGGCCTTGTTATTTTGGTCAGGCTGGGCTTAAACCTAATGCACTCAGGTAGTTCTATAGATATCTATATGAGAAAATACATGTACCCCAATCCATACCTACACCAAATGGATAACAGACAGATATAAAAACTAAAACTAAAAAAATCTAGAAAAAAACAGAAGAAGTTCTCTTTACAACTTTGGAGAAAGGCAAAGACTTTTTTTTTTGTCGATCGTGGGGCTTGAACTTTGGGCCTGGGTGCTGTCCTTGAGCTCTTCAGCTCAAGGCTAACAGCACTCTACCACTGCACCACTTCCAGTTTTCTGGTGATTCATTGGAGATGAGTCTCATGGACTTTCCTGCCTGGGCTGGCTTTGAACTGTGATCCTCAGATCTCAGCCTCCTGAGTAGCTAGGATTACAGGTGTGAGCCACTGGTGCCCAACCTGAGTGAAGGAACTTCTATGGAGGGGAACATGGGCTGTTATAACAGTCTTGATGGCTTTGGAATAGAGTAGTGGCAGGGGTGATGGAGAGAAATAGATCATAAGAAAAGAACTTAAGAAATGGTATCAGGAAGACCTGGTGGTTGATTGGATGTGGGCCATGTGCGAGAGAAGGAAGACCTCAAGATAAAATGTTTCATATTTATGTACGTTACAGGGCAGTTTTGTATATATTATAAAATTTTAATACTATAAATAGACTAGGCAGCTTTTATAGTAGCACTGTTTTGGAGATGAAGAAAGTGAAGAGGCTTTCCAGGGGCTTTACTACATACATGGAGGCGGTTACTAGGGGTGATATAGAGGCTGTGGGGCAGCAACTAATCAGGCTCAGGTTCACACATTGCTATTTTTCCCATAGAGTGTGCTTTCAACCAATCCCTCCTATTTTTGTTCTTTAATATATTGGGGGATTATTTATAGATATTGTAGAAACTTTAATGTTAAGGTGAATATCTGGGAATCTTACTAAAATGCATTTTTAGTTTTGTTGGCTTGTCATGATGACTAAGATTATTTTGCATTCCTTAGAAGCTTCCAGGCTTCTGTAGAACACAAAGAGGCCAGGACGTGGGTGAGATTGCTTTGGTGATTTACAGGGTGAGCAGAGGTCAAGGAGAGAGCCTGATGGACACACCTGTTGGTAGATATTTCAGAAAGCATGTTAGGATAAAGAAGTCAATTATAGGGAGCTGGGAAGGTGGCTCAGTGGTAGAGTGCATGCCTTGCATGCCAGAGGCCCTGGGTTCGATTCCTTAGCACCATATAAGCAAAAAAGAAAAAAGCTGGAAGTGGCGCTGTGGCTCAAGTGGTAGAGTGCTAGCCTTGAGCTGAAGAGCTGAGGGACAGCGCCCAGGCCCAAAGTTCAGGCCCCATGACTGGACCCCCCCCCCCCCCCAAAAAAAAAAAAGTCAATTATAAAGGCAGGCGCCCGAGGCTTAAGCCTGTAATCCCAACTATTCAGGAGGCTGAGATCTGAGGATGGCGGTTCAAAGCCAGCCCAGGCAGGAAAGTTTGTGAGACTTACTCAATAAACCAGCAGAAAACCACAAGTGGTGCTGTGGCTCAAAGTGATAGAGTGCTAGCTTTGAGTGGAAAAAGCTCAAGGCCAATGGCCCAGGCCCTGAGTTCAAGCCCCATGACTGGCAAAAAAAACAAAAGTCGGGGCTGGGAAGGTGGCTCAGTGGTAGAGTGCTTGCCTTGCAGGCATGAGGCCCTGGGTTGGATTCCTCAGCACCACATAAGCAAAAAGAAAAAAGCCGGAAGTGGCGCTGTGGCTCAAGTGGTAGAGCACTAGCCTTGAGCTGAAGAGCTGAGGTACAGCGCCCAGGCCAGAGTTCAAGCCCCACAACTGGACCCCAAATAAAACAAACAAAACAAAAAAACCCAAAAGTTAATTATATTGGTAAACACCAGTATTTTAGAAAACTGTTGTGGAAATAGTGGGATGAATTTACCTCTCTGCCCCTCCTACACACAGACTGTATGTTTCAGTCATGTTCATAATACTTACTTGAAGACTTAGAAGGACTGAGTAGACAGCTCTGACTTGCGGGCTCCTTTATATACTCTTATTCTCTCTCTCTTTTTTTTTTGGGTCCAGTTATGGGGCCTGAACTCTGGGCCTGGGCGCTGTCCCTCAGCTCTTCAGCTCAAGGCTAGCGCTCTACCATTTGATCCACAGTGCCACTTCCGGCTTTTTTTCTTTTTGCTTATGTGGTGCTGAGGAATCGAACCCAGGGCCTCAGGCATGCAAGGCAAGCGCTCCACCACTGAGCCACCTTCCCAGCCCTCTTACTCTCTTTTTATAGGCACAGAAATAGAATTGTATGGTTTATTTTGTTGCCATTTAAAATATTCTATTTTTTAAAATCAGTTTTCTTTATGTTCAGATACTTACAAAGCTTCCCCCTCCCTTTTTAAAAATTTTACTTATTTTATTTTTTGTTGGTCCTGGGGATTGAACTCAGTGAGTGCCTAGATACTATCCCTGAGCTTTTTTTGCTCAAGGTTAGCACTCTATCACTTGGGCCACAGTGCTGCTTCTGTTTTTTTTTTTTCCTGTATGTGGTACTGAGGAATTGAACCCAGGGCTTCATGCACTCTACCACTGAGCCACATTCCTATCCCCCCCCCATCCCTTTTTAGACAAGGTCTTCATATGTAGCCCAGGCTGGCCTTGAACTATAACTCGTGTGTGTGTGTGTGTGTGTGTGTGTGTGTGTGTGTGTGTGTGTGTGTGTGTGTGTTTGCGTGTGCGTACGTCAGAACTGGGACTTAAATGTTGGACCTCAAGCCCACTTGACTTTTTTTGCTCATTGCTAGAGTTCTACCATTTAAGAGAGTGCTACCACTGGTGCCTAGGTGGCCTTGAACTCTTGATCCTCCTGCTTCAGCTGGGATTACAGTCACAAACCATCATGCCATGCTCTATACTTCTTCTGTAAAAAGATATACAGCCAGGCACTGAGGGCTCATACCTGTAATCCTAGCTACTCAGGAGACAGATCTGAGGACCATGGTTCAAAACCAGCCCGGGCAGGAAAGTCCATGAGACTCTTATCTCCAGTTAATCACCAGAAAACTGGAAGTGGCGCTGTGGCTCAAGTGGTAGAGCGCTCACTTTGAGCTGAAGAGCTGAGGGACAGCGCCCAGGCCCAGAGTTCAAGACCCATGACTGGGAAAAAAAAAAGATATTATACCAAGGGCTGGTTTCTTATAAGTCCTAGATACTCAGTAGGCTGAGATATTAAGAATTTCAGTTCAAAGCCAGTCTAAATCTGAGACTCTTCATTTAACCAGCAAAAAGCTGGACATGTAAGTGTGGGAGGTGTGGCAAGTAGGTGGAATGCCAGCTGAGAGCAAACCTTAGTGAGAGTACAAAGCCCCGAGTTCAAGGTCCAGTAGTGCTACAACAATCGCTACTACTAGCTAATAAATCAACACTTCATTTCAGCTAAATTTTTAACTTTTTAAGTTATACTCATCAAATGACCAGAGCTGGGGCTTTACTAGTTTCCTTGGGCTGCCCTACAAACCACCATAAAATGAATGGCTAAATGCCAACAGGAATTTGGTGACTTAAATTTCCTGACTGGGCACTGGTGGCTCATGCCTGTAATACTAATTACTCAGGAGGCTGAGATCTAAGGATCACAGTTCACAGGCAGCCTAGGCAGGAAAGTCCATGAAATTTTTGTCTTCAATTAACCAGGAAAAAGCCAGAAGTAGAATTGTTTCTCAAGTGATAGAATACCAGCCTTGAACAAGAAAGCATAAGGACAGTGCCCAGGCCCTGCATTGAATTAAGCCCTAGGACTGGAACCAGAAAAAACCCCAAGACCAAAACACAACAAATTCTAAAAGCCAGATATCTGAAATCAAGGTGTTGGCAGGGATATGATTCCTCTGAAATGGTTAGCTTCTAGCTTCTTTCAGTTTCTGGTAAATCTAGGAGCTCTTTGGATTGTGGCAGCAATTCTCTAAGTCTCTGTATCTCTTTTATAAAGGCACTTGGAATCAGGACTCATCTTAAATTGATGATATTTAAACTCATTCTGAGATCTTTTTTATCTTCAGAGACCCTTTTTCTGAGTAAGGTTATACTCCCAGTTTAGGGGCAGATTAGGAGTTATGTCATTTTGGGGGTCACTTCACTACAGAGGTAAACAAGATGAAAAAAAAAACTGATATACAATAATGTGTTGTTTTGTGGGTTTTATTTCTGAAAATTTTAATGTGATTTGTTTTCTCAACTAGGAAATATGCAAAGGCTGAAACACTTATGACAGTCACTGATCCTGTTCATGATATTGCGTTTGCTCCAAACTTGGGAAGATCTTTCCACATTCTAGCAGTAGCAACCAAAGATGTAAGAATTTTTACGTTAAAGCCTGTGAGGTGAGTTTTAGATACAGTCATGAATTTGAATATATTCTTGTCTCCTGATTATCTACATTTGTGGAAGAGAGAATAGAGGAAACCATGCCCTGAAGAATGGTTGTTGAATGAACTTCCTTATTTGTAACTATATGACGTTTTGAGATGAGAAATTAAGTAAGGAGAAATTTATATTTTCTTAATTCTTTTTTGGTGGTACTGGAGTTTGAACTCAGAGATTTGCAGTTGCTAGGAAGGTTCTGTATCACTTTAGGATCATGTCTTCAGTCCATTTTTCTATTGTTATTTTTCTAATAGTGTCTTACTTTTTGCCTGGTCCAGCCAGGACTGTAATCCTCCTGTTTACACTTCCTAAGTAACTTGGATAACAGCACACAAAGCAATGTCCTCATTTTTATTGGTTGAGATGGGTATTCTGTGAACTTAGTGTGGGCTGGTCTTGAACTGTGATCTAGCTTCAGGAGTAGCTAGGATTACAGGCATAGTCACTAAACCCAACTTAGGTTTTTTTATTTAGGCAAATGCTAAAAATGAGTGGATCCATGAATGTAATTGGAATAAGAAAAGTGTTTAAGGTTAGTGCAGACAATGAGGATCAAGATTGAAGTGACCTTTATGAAAGGCAGGTTTTATTAGTGAAAACCTGAGAGAGCAGCCTCTCAGCATCCTGGCCATAGTCCAGAGGGGGCAAGAGTGAGTGAGAGAGGAGAGAGAGAGATTGGCTTGTCTAAAGTTACAGAAGATTGAAATTCAGGTCACACTGTGATGATCCCATTGGGATAGTGAGGCCTAATGGTAGAAGTTGTTTCCATTTCTCATTAGTTGATACCTTATAACATGCTTTAATGAATGAGAAATAACAGTCTATTTTGGAAAAACTAGGCTTGAAGCATTGTGAATGCTCTATTATTAAGCTTTAATTTTGAATTCTGAGCCTGAGTTTTTTTTTTTTTTTTTGCCAGTCCTTGGAGCTTGAACTCAGGGCTGGGACATTGTCCCTGAGCTGCTTTTGCTCAAGGCCAGCACTCTACCATTTGAGTCACATCACCACTTCCGGCTTTTTCTATTTATGTGGTACTGAGGGATTGAACCTAGAGCTTTATGTATGCTAGGGAAGCACTCTACTACTAAGCCACATTCCCAGCCCTTCTTTTTTCTTTCTATGCTTTCCTTTCTGCTATTCTTTCTTTTAAAGTTAATCATATGTATTTTATTTCTCAACCTGTTTTGGGTAATAGCCTCATTTTTTTTCCTTCTAGCTAGAAAACAGTCACTCTATACCTCTTAGAGGCTGGGATCACTTTAGATCCTGGGGAAGTCACATGTAATGACACCAACCTAGCTAAAGGGCTATATTCATGGGTGGAATACAGTTGTTCACATTATTATAAAACATGTAGTAAATATATTTGTGTTTGTTACTTAGTTCAGCATATATATGTGTATTAATGTATGTTTAAAAAATTCCTCAGAATTTCCCTCCTTTTTTTAATTAATAGGAAAGAACTTACTTCCTCTGGTGGGCCAACAAAATTTGAAATCCATATAGTGGCTCAGTTTGATAATCATAATTCCCAGGTATGGCGAGTAAGTTGGAACATAACAGGAACAGTACTAGCATCTTCTGGAGATGATGGCTGTGTCAGGTTGTGGAAAGGTAAGATTTCAGTGGAGGAATAATTAATGCTTTCTGTTTTTCTTTTCTTTTTTTTTTTTTTTATTTTCCTTTCCTTTGGTTGTAGGGCTTGAATTCAGGGCCTGGGTGCTGTCTTTGAGTTCTTTTGCTCAAGGTTAGTGCTCTACTACTTTGAGCCATAGCTCTACTTCCCGTTTTTGAGAGGTTAATTGGAGATAAGAGTTCATGGGGACTTACCTGCCGGGGCTAGCTTCCAACCGTGATCCTTAGATCTCAGCCTCCTGAGTAGCTAGGATTATAGCCTAGCTTGCTTTCTGTGTTTACTTTAGAACTTTCACTTAAAAATGTGAACTCTAGCCTGGTGCAGTGGTTCACACCTATGATCCTAGCTATCCAGGATGCTGAGATCTGAGAATTATGGTTCAAAGCCAACCCAGGTACGAAGGTCCATGAGACTTATCTCCAATAAAAACCACTGGAAAACCAGAAGAGGCACTGTGGCTCAAGTGGTAGAGTGCTTGCCTTGAGCTGAAGAGCTGAGGGACAGCGCCTAGGACCAGAGTTCAAACCCCACACTGACAAAAAAAAAAAGAACTCTGAAATACTTTAGGAAATTACTTTTTTAACTACTTTAAACCAGTGAGTTTACCTACCCATTAGTAAAATGTTTCTAATGTGGAAGAAGAAAACAACTTTTAAAACTCAAGTAATTATAATATTCAGTATTGTCAATAGAAAAAAGCATTTACTCTATATATTAATATGTATGATCACAACTTCAGGGCTGCAGTTGTATTCAATGAATGAAGTCATGTTGGATAAAGCCACTCATATTCTCCCACAGAAACATCCATCTCTAAAAATATTAGATACTCACATAACTTAAGCTTGCCAGAACCAAGAAGACATCTCCATTCTCTCTATTCCTTATTTTAAGAATGATTAAAAAAAATGATCAAAAGCCATGTGCCAGTGATTCAGACCTGTAATCTAGCTACTCAGGAGGATGAAACTGAGGATCAAGAATTGAAGCCAAGCTGGGCTCCCATGGTTCACACCTGTAATCCTAACTATTCAGGAGGCTGAGATCTGAGGATCTCTGTTCAAAGCCAGCCTGGTCAGGAAGTCCATGAGACTCTTATCTCCAATAAAAACCACTGGAAAACTGGAAGTGGTGCTGTGGCTCAAGTGGTAGAACGCTCGCCTTGAGCTGAAGTGCACAGGGACAGCGCCCAAGCCCCATGACTGACCAAAAAAAAAAAAAAAAAGAATCGAAGCCAGTCTGGGCAAAAAAGTCCATAACTAACTGGCGAAGAGTTGGAAATGGAGGTATGGCGAAAGTGGTAGAATGCCAGCCTTGAATGAAAAAGCTAAGAGTATGAGGCTGGAGTTCTAGTCTACACTCATACAGAAAAAGATCTAAATCAAGGTTTTATTTAGATATTAACCTTTTTATGTGATAGTGTTGTGATATTGTCTCTGCTAATCTTGTAAGTAGGGACATGGTTTTTAAATTACTAATTTTTTAAAAATTACTAATTCTTTAGAAAATGAATTTAAAAATTTGTTAAACACAAGTGAGACGTTTTATTTAAATATTGTCTTTAATAGCTTATTTGGAAAGAAATATAGTATGTTTTCTATCTTATTTCTTTATAATTTTAGGACCTGGATGCAGTTTTGTGCTTGCATAGGTTTTAATCATGTTAATGAAACTATTACTACCCAGCTGGCTCAGTCTGAAGAGCATGAGACTCTTAATCACATTAATATGTTTGACCACTTTCCTTCCAGCAAACTATATGGACAATTGGAAGTGCACTGGTATTTTGAAAGGTAATGGGAGTCCAGTCAGTGGAAATTCTCAGCAGGGAAACTCAACTCCTTCCTTAGGTTCAAATATTCCAAATCTTCAAAACTCATTAAACGGATCTTCTTCTGGAAGGTAGGCTATTTTACAGGAAAAGTAGAAGTTACCTTCTTTCCAATTATCTTCTTATTCTGGTAGTCTTACTAAAGATGTGTTATTCATGAGTTTAAAAATGGAACGAAGAGATTCACACATAATTTTAAGACCTTAGAACTTAAGAAATCCACTCTTAGCTTTAGTCCTAATATTTACAGGTATTGTGCAGCCATTAAGCTGTATCCTGAGATACAGTGGTCTGTCAATAAAAAAGTTTAAAGCTTTAAAATTGTATTTTGCTTCTATGGCAGTGAGAATAGACGTTTAATAGTGAGGATTGCAGTTTTAGATATTCATCAGTGTTTTTAATTACTTGTATGGTGGCCTTTGTATCAAGATAAACTAGGATTTTAAATAAGGTATGTTAAGGCTTTGTATAATAGAGTGAGTTAAATGATTTGGCTTTTGTATCTTAAACTTAACATTGGTAAGACTAGATGATAAAAGCTAAAATCTTGAGTTTTAAAATAGCAGATAAGGGGGTTGGGAAGGTGGCTCAGTGGTAGAGTGCTTGCCTTGCATGCATGAGGCCCTGGGTTCCATTCCTCAGCAGAGAAAGCTGGAAGCAGCACTGTGGCTCAAGTAGTAGAGTGCTAGCCTTGAGCTGAAGAGCTGAGGGACAGCACCCAGGCCCAGAATTCAGGCCCCATGACCAAAAAAAAAAAAAAAAAAAAGCAGATAAATTAACGCACCAAAAAATAAGCCAGATATGGGGTTCATGTCTGTAATCCTAGCTACTTAGAAGACAGTAAGGAGGGTCTCTGAATTTCCAGGCCAGCTCAAACAAAGAGCTGAGAGTGTGCCTTAAGGGGTAGAACTCTTGTCCCATGCTTGAGGTCCTAAGTTCAATTCTGGTGAAAAACAAAAACAAAAAAACAAAACAAACCTAATGTGATTTTAAAGAGTCATCTTTTTATTCTCATACTCATGTTTCAGACATATAAATTTGTAAGGTAAAATTATTTTGATGTGTTTTCATGAATAATTTGCAATAAGAGTTCAGAAAACTTCAAATCCTAGTTTGTGTGTATTCTATATCTCATTTTTCTTGAACTGGTTATTTATATTGGTTACATTTTTATTAAAAAAAAGTCCAGTTATTTGACTTAGAAATTTTAATTAAGTTTTTAAAAATTGTTATTATAAAGGTTATATACAGTATTTTTGTCAAGATAACTTCAGGATAAAGAAAGTGGCAGATCGTGATTTCATGAAGCAAAGAGTTAATATTTGAACTGCGAAGGTGGCTCAGTGGTAGCGTGCTGCCTTGCACGCATGAGGCCCTGGGTTCGATTCCTTAGCACCATATTAGCAGAAAAAGTTGGAAGTGGCGCTGTGGCTCAAAGTGGTAGAGTGCTAGCCTTGAGCCGAAGAGCTGAGGGACAGCGCCCAGGCCTAGAGTCCAGGCCTCACAACCAACAAAAACCAAAAAACCCCAAAAAATAATATTTTAAAAATGTGATTTTAGGACTTGCTGCTTGTTATGCATATTTTCTTTAGTAAATAGCTTTGATGTTTTGATCTGTATTCTTGTTGTTCAATAACCACTTGTGTTGGATCTGTGATGCATTTTCCCTTCTCCATTTGTATTATGTCCTTTAACAGAAAACACAGCTGAGTACAAGCTAACTGGAGTAACTTTGGTGTTTTGCTGCTTGTTGCATGCACACAGGAATGGAAAGCAAGCTCCTTTCCCCTTTCCCCGCGCCGTTTGACCTCTCCCAAGATACACCAGCCTGCTTACTACTAAATACAATTCAAAAGGCCTTTAAAAATAACAGTGTATATCATCTTTTTGTACTAGTCAGTTTGTTGACACTATTTAAAACTTTTTGAAATACAAAAGGAGAGCCTTTTGGTTGAGACATTGTCACCAAAACAATTTTTTGAAATGTTCTGGAAATTAAATTGAGTCTAAAAACTAAAAGGATTGTTATCATCCTTATTAGTAGTTGGTTGGAGGGGAACTATCATTTTATTCCATTTGGAGAATATAGGCATATTTCTTCTGTTTTCTACAATTATAAGCTGAAATGATGAATTTTTATAATTTTCATTTGAAGATTGAATAAATATTTTTCATAAAGATTGTTTTGAGTTCTAATTTGTTTACCTACAAGAATTGCTTTATACTTAATACTCCACACAACTGTCATTTCTTTGTAATGTTTAAGAAATATTAGTAAGAAAGTAATTAGTAAAATAGTACTAGAGTTGAGAGTAATTTGTATAGTTTGTAACCAAGAGAAGCATTTGGTGGTATTTTTTTCATTTGGTAGTAAAATAGAAACATCCTTTAAATTTTCAGTTCATAGTCACTAAAGCAGTAAATGTTTCTAATATTTGCATGTGTATCTGTATGGTGTTCCTCTGCAGCTTAGTTTCTTTCAGGCTACAATTGAGAAACATTAAAGAGAGGCAGTTAAAACTATGCTGAAAAGATGCATGCAAATTAATTTACATTCTATGTCTCAGGATTTTCTTTAGTTTTCTGTTTCAGTGAATTCATATCTTCAGTTCAGGACTTGATAAAACTATAAATCTTTACATTTCTAAAATGCATAAATATTACGGGTAAGTTCTAACATGGCTAAAGAATAGTAGGGCATTTTTTTTGTTGTTGTTGTTGGTTGTGGGGCTTGAACTCTGGGATTGGGCACTGTCCCTGGGTTCTTCAGCTCAAGGTGAGCATTGTACCGCTTGAGCCACAGTGCCACTTCCTGTTTTCTACTGGGTTATTGGAGATAAAGAGCCTCATGGACTTTCCTGTCCGGGTTGGCCTTGAACCGCAATCCTCAGATCTCAGCCTCTTGAGTAGCTAGGATTACAGGCGTGAGCGACTGGCGCCCGGCTTAGGGCATAATAATTCTTTGAGTTCTTTTATGTATCAAAATTCTGTGGCTAGTCTTAAGTTTTTTTTGTAGAAAAATATGTCCAAATGATTGTATTTCATCAAAAATATGTTGCGGTAGCCAGCCATGTGCTATGTGAAAGGATACTGAAATTGGTTATTAGTATCATGTATGCACTATTAATAATGTGTGCTTGCTGCTGCTACAGATGGAGCACTGCTCAAAATGAAGACACATTAGATTTGTAAATTTATAGAATAGTGTCAAATGTCTTAAATTTATAAAGTTAATGTCTTTTTTTGTAACATAATGATAATTTTTTTGACATTTTAAGTTTTAACAGATTGTATTTCTTTCAAGTTTTTATACTTGCTTAAGCAGTCTTGATTTGACTAAGGGTCTTGATTTGTGCTATTACGTTCTGTTAGTTTTGGCATGAATATACTAAAGCTTTTTTTTTCCAGCATGTGTTTTCTCCTCTTTGGTTCTCTTTGTATTTACTACTTTTCTCTTTTTCTTCTGTTTTCTTTTTGTTTGTTTTCTTTTTCCCTGTCGTTTATGTTTTGTTTTGGTGTTTGGTTCCTGTCTTAATTGTTTCAGGTATTTCTTTCCCCCTCTGGATTCCCCACGGGCTGGATCGAGATGGTCCAGTTATGCCCAGCTCCTTCCTCCTCCTCCTCCTCCTCTGGTAGAGCACTCTTGCGATGCTGACACTGCCAACCTCCAGTATCCTCACCCTCGCAGACGATATCTCTCTGGGCCTCTTAATCCCTTACCTGAGAATGAAGGGGTTTAAAGCACTGAATTAATGTGTAAAGGCCTTGTTCAAATGCTTGTAAATGCTTTCATTCCTGGCTGCTTTTTGTTTTCTTTTTCTTTCAGAAGAGTTTTCTTATTTAGGGTCTGTCTTGCATGTATTACATACAACCACAGTGTTTGGAACCTTAAACCTGTTTGTGCGTCTGCATCAAAGGAACATTGGCTTTATTGGTTGATAACCTTTGATGAAATGAGATGCGTATAAGCAATATTAACTGAAAATCACACAGTAGTTCATTTCAAAGTACCCATTTTGTAAATTTTATTTGGAACTTTCACCAGAGTCTTAAGTCTCTCCTGCTTTGTTATGCTGGTTAATGTGAAAGCCTATCATTATGGAATACAACTTTGTCACTTGACACATATTAAGAAATGTTTTAAATTTTACAATCTGATATTGCAAGTGAATATAATATGTCAAATAAATCATTCCTGTGTATAAAGCAGCAAAACATAATTTGGATATTGTTTTTTTTTTTTTTTAAAGAAATTTACCTTTCATTTTTTGGAATTACTGTTTAAATTTTTGTAATTACTATCCAAGTAGATTATTTAATAAAAATATTTTTAAAAATGTGAATCCTTTGCCTTACAAAATAGAATATATGTTAGGTATAATAAGAATTACTTATCTCTTACCATGTCACAAAAACAAAAAGTCTCAAAGAAATAAAAATTAGGGGCTGGGAAGATGGCTCAGTGGTAGAGTGCTTGCCTTGCATGCATGAGGCCCTGGGTTCGATTCATCAGCACCACATAAACAGAAAAAGCCGGAAGTGGCACTGTGGCTCAGCCTTGAGCTGAAGAGCTGGGGGACAGTGCCTAGGCCCAGAGTTCAAGCCCCATGACTGACAAAAAAAAAAAGATAATTAAACATTACATTTAGCTGAGTATTGATGGCTTACACCTGTAATCCTACCTACTCAGAAAGCTGAGATGCATCAAACACACACATGTACACACCAGCCCTGGGTCTTGAATTCAGGTCAGGGCCTGGGCACTGCCCCTGAACTTTCTTGCTCAAGGCTAGCACTCTACCACTTGAGCCATAGCTCCACTTCTAGCTTTTTGGAGATAAGAGTCTCAGCCCTGACTGGTCTGGCTTTGAACTGTGATCTTTAGATCTCGGCCTTCTGAGTAGCTAGAATTATAAGTATGAGCCATCAGCACTGCAGCAGGAACACCATTTTTTTTTTCCATTAAGGTGAAAGAAGTATATTGTAAAACTCCTATGGAGCTTCATCTTTAGGGGACAGGACCAACCAATACATGCAGATTTTTTTTTTTTGGGGGGGGTCCGGTCGTGGGGCTTGAACTCTGGGCCTGGGTGCTGTCCCTCAGCTCTTCAGCTCAAGGCTAGCGCTCTACCACTTAAGCCAGTGTCACTTCCGGCTTTTTTCTTTTTGTTTATGTGGTGCTGAGGAATCGAACCCAGAGCCTCATGCATGCAAGGCAAGCGCTCTACCACTGGGCCACCTTCCCAGCCCCTACATGCAGATTTTATGTGAAGGTACTTTTGACATTCAGTTTTGCTATATAGAAACTGAATAACTGAACTTTTTTTTTGCGAGAGGTAAGTAAAAGATCAATGATTCTTCTAGGGGGGAAAGAGTTGAAAGAAAGTCTTCATTTTACAGTCATCATCTACGAATTATTAATAGTTCACTTGTTCATTTCCATCAATATCTGCTTCTCTGATCATCTCATCTACTTCTTCATTTCTTAGTTTTTCTCCTAAGTTTGTCATGACATGGTGTAGTTCTGCTGCGCTGATGTAACCATTCCCATCCTTGTCAAAGACTCGGAATGCCTCACAGATTTCTTCTTCGCTATCTGTGTCTTTCATTTTTCTGGCCATCATAGTCAAAAACTCTGGGAAGTCAATGGTGCCATTACGTAACATCAGCATCCACTTCGTTGATCATACCCTGCAATTCAGCTTCTGTTGGGTTTTGATCCAGTGACCTCATGACAGTCCCAAGTTCCTTTGTTGTGATGTTGTGATCACCATGTTTATCGAATAGGAGAAAGTTTCCTTGAATTCACAATCTGTTCTTCGGTTAGCTGGTCAGCCATGATGGGAGCCAAGGAGGCTGCACCAGCGCAGGGCTTGTGATGGCGCGGGGCGCGCTGGGCGCTGTTACCACCACCCCTGCCTGCACTGCCACCCTACTGCGAGTATCGGCCATGCGTCCACGAGGCTCCCAGAGTCACTGCCTAGGAATAGCATTTTTAAGGAAGGTTGTGGGTATAAGGTCTAGTGGAGAGGTAAACCAGGAATGGCAGCTATATGGTATTTTGGGAAGAGATCAGATATACACGTCCTTCACCACGATAATCTCAGGAACAGTAACTTAAATTCAACTTTGTGTTTTCCCTTTTTACTCCTTAAAACTGCAATGAAAGCCTTAAAAAAGACATTCAGAAAATGTTGAATGAGCCTTGGAAAAGCAGGATATCTTTTCCTTCGGAGGTTATATATTAGCAAATGTAAGATAGAGGACTGAATGGTTACTTGAAATTTTGAATGAAAGGTAAGAGCGTTAGTTTTTTTTTTTATTATCATAAAGGTGATGTACAGAGGAGTTACAGTTAGATAAGTAAGGTAGAGAGTATATTTCTTTTTGGACTATGTCACTCCTTCCCTGTCTTTCTTCCAGTTTTTCCCTCTCGTCCTCACCCACAAGTTGAATAGTTCCTTTTCAACAAGGAAGTGCGTTATCTTAATAGTGTCAGTAAAGGGTGGTGAGCAGGTGGTGATGGGACTTGGGGCTTCAAAAAAGATGGTGAAGCTAGGTGCCAGTGGCCCACACTATTCATAGCTACACAGGAGGCTGGAGGATCGTCGTTCAAAGCCATCCTGGTGAGAAAATTCCATGAACTGCCATATCTAATTTTTTAACCAGCTAAATGCTGGGCCGAAGGCGTGGCCCAAGTGTATATGCTAGCCTTGAACAAGAAGGCCTAGTAAGCCCAGTAAAGGGGAGCGGGAGTGGGGTCGCGGGATGGTAACTTTAATTTCCGACTGGGACCAACTCCTCTATTACTCCAGAGAGGCAACAGGTGTGACAAACTATCCAGATTCCAAGGAGGGACCGGTTGACTGAAGGGAAACGACGTTTTTACGGCTAGTTAACTGTGGAAGGTAAAGTCTGCATCTACCTCTGTAAGGCGAAATGTGTCGGCGATTCGCTCACCAGGAACGTTTCCTAGGTGCTCAAACTGAATAAAGCAGACGTAATTCTCAAGTTGGCCAACAACTCCAAAGAGGAGCCTTCGGCTCGGTTCCAAGCTGAAGACCGGTAGCTGATCGCAGGCAGCTTCAAATCCAGGGACACGCCGTCCAAGCCAATCACAGACTCCTACCCGGCGCTGTCGTTTCCCATTGCCCAATCCAAGGCTGACTCTGAGTCCCCGCCCCTTCCCTCGTGCCGCGAACAGACGTAAACTCTGGGGGCGCGCGGTACGGCTGGCTCTGGTTGTCGCGGGCTCGGGTGCTGTGCGCATGCGCACTTGCTTTAGTGGCTGGCCCCCGCCATCTCCGCCTGTTCCTCCCATGAAGGGTTTTGCTCAGTTCTGTGTTCCGGCTGTGGTGGGCTGGGTGAGACGGGGCGCGGGTCCTTCGGCGTGCACCTGGGCGGGAGGCTGGCCACTTACAGTCTCGGTCCGCGTGGCGGCCACAAGACCCCGCTGGCTAGTGACGGTTGGGTCTGGCGGGGGTCGCAGGCTCGGAGCGCGGAGGTGGGCGGCGGGGCCCGGGCCCGGGCGCGGCCCCCAACGGTGTCTCCGGGATGCGGGCTGCCCGAGGGAGGTCACTCCTGCGCCTAGGCGTTCTAGGCTGTACTCCAGACTGTGGGCTTTTGGGGACGCAACCTTGCTCCCTCTCTCCCATTTTGACTTCTGACTCCTGAGGGACAAATGCCCTTTGCCTTTTGCTGTGTAGTTTCTTGCAAAGCGCTTTAGGGCATTTGCTTTAGGGTTGTGGTACGGGGCGGTTTTGGCTTCTTTTTGTCTTAAACTGACCCAGGGAGTAACGTTTTTGTTCATTTAACCCCGAGGAGTCCTGTCACAGAGTTGCACTAACTTAACATTTGATTTCTGGCAGTCCACGTTCGCGTTTATTCCTTTTTTTTTGGGGGGGGGGGGAGTTGAGGGTGAGGACTAGAATTTCCTTTTGAAGCAGAACATGACAGTGCAGTATATATTTTTAATGTGGTTTATATGTATATAAATGAATGAGTAACTGCTGTGCTCTTGATTTTAGGTTTTGTGTACTGAAACATGAGGTCCCTTTGGACACAGTCATCTGGAAGACAGCTGCTTATATGACAATACTTTCATTGGCATTTTCCATCCTAAAGTCATCCTACTGATATTTTTACTGCTTCTGAATCAACTTTTTCTCAAAAAGTTCAGTTTTCTGGGCAAATTTTACAGTAAGTTTTGAAAAGTAATATTATGTTAATGTTAGCCTAATTTTTATGCATATTTTAAAATAGCAAGAGTAAATGATGATTTTGGCAGGTTTGTCTAGGTTTTGGATTCCATAGCAACTTAAAAGCATTGTTTTATCGATGAAATGAGAGATATGCTTAAAATAATTGAATCTACTACTTTAAAGGAACAGCAAAAAAATTACAAAGATGGGAATTTGGTTCAGATATAGCAAAAGAAAAGTGAACAATATATATCTTTATATGGTGGAGGAAAATTGGGTAATGTAATCCAGATAGAAACTGGGGAGTTTTTCCCTTCTAGCATTTTTAAGGAGTATAGTTTTTCATGAATGGTGACTTTGGAAATGAGGGAAGAAGGTGCATTATGTTAGGTATGGTAGGAATTTTTTAAATTTTTTAACATAATGTTGAAGCAAAGCTCTGGTGAAGTACTTAGTACTATGGATCCCATGATAGAGATATCAGATGATCAGTTCTCTTAGGGGCCGTTTTATTTATTTTCACTGCCAAGTAGAGTGTCATTTATGGTTTGTGCTTGAAAAGAGTTGTGGATGTATAGGGTAATATTTTATAGGGTAATATTTTATATCTACATTTTCTTGGGATTTGATGATTAAAGAGTTTAGTATTTTAATGTGGTTTCTCTATAAATGAATAATTTATTCATTTTTGAGGCTAGATTTTGGCAGGCAAATTGGGAGATTTATGCAGTAGTTCACATTAAAATGTGATAGACTGCAGGCATTAGGAAGATAGCATTGGGTTTCAGCTCCAGACATATTCAAAGTTAGAAGCACTAGAACTGTTAACTGAGAACAGAGTGATCAGGATGATTATAGGTGTCCAGCTTATAGAGCCAATGAATTGGGATGATTGGGTCAACACTAAAGTGTAACAGGAGAGTGAATGGACGAAATGTAACAAGTTTGGTTTTATATTTGATGACAATACTACCTTAGAGGCATTGAGGATTTAAGGTATTGTCAACAAACCAACAATGGCTAGAGAGAGGTATGGATTGACGATGAAGATGAGAGAGGTGGCATTAATACAGAGGAAAGAATGTTCTAAAGCTAGACTTGTACTTGGAATAGTACTTTGAAAAAGAACTTTGAAAAGTACTTTGAATACTAGTTAATAGACATTAAATATACCAAGCTTACTAGGGATTATAGATTATTTCTTTCAACTCTTTTTTCCAACTCACTCAGCTCCATATCAGATACTAGAAAGATAAGATGACCAGGATAGACATTTCTTCAAGAATCTGACCTAAATATATAAGGGTTAGAATCAAAGATGAAGTTGTTCATCCCCCTTTCATTTCAGAATATTGTTGAGTACCTGCTATATGCTGAATGTTGTTCTAGGCATTGGGGAATAGTAATGGATAGATAGGTAAGGTCCCTGCTCTTAGAGGATAATTATTTCAATGGAATAAGGCAAGTAAAAAATAAATAGTGAGGCCATGCTTGACAATAAGGATTACCTTCTGTTATAAACTGAAATTTTAGTTGATTTGAAAGATAGGAGGAAGATAACTATTCACGATGTGGAGAATATTCCAGGCCCTGAGGTAGGCATAGGCTTGGGAAGGTTATAGGAAAGGAAATTCCTGTATGTGGTGAATGAGCCTGAGGGACATGAACGATGAGCTGGGAGAGTAAGTGTTTTCAGTGGGATCATGGTACTTGGTTCTTATTTGTGGTCCTTTTGATTGCTATATAGAGAATTACTGTAGGGCAACAGGAATAGAAGGATGGAGACTGGTGAGAGGTTTCTCATTAGAAGGGGTGGTAGTAGTATAGACAGATATAGCATGTTTCAGAGTGTTTTAGACAGGTTTTGTCCTCAGGGACCCCCCATACCAGTTATCCTTTGTTTGACAACAGTGTTTTTGCTTTGAACTTAGTATGTAGCCTAGGGTCATGTAGAACTCATGGTCCTGCTCTACTATTTCAGCCTCCTAAATGCTGGGATTACATGTATGTGCCATTATACTTGGTTGCTTTGTTTTCAGGGGTCTATAACTTCCTAGTGGCCCTACAGCCCTGTTTTCTTATAGTATTGTGCCTGAAGGCATTTGAGCTGGAAACTTCTAGAATAAATTGTATCATGTAGAATCTGGGTTAGAATTCCTGGTAACTAAGGTATGTGGAACAGATGGAGGAAGAGAATATCAGACAGAGTAGTAACTGGGAGGTTGGGGTAGAGTAAGCAGGGAGGTGAGTACTATGAAATAAAGTCAGAGATGCTGTAACCCCTGCTGGCTATCAGGATGGCCTTTTATTTTGGATGTGATAGAATACCAGTTGATGAAGATCTTAGCCAGGAATGGTAACTCCAGTACATGAGGAACAGATCAGGGAAGAAAGTAGTAAGGATGGATTAAGACACTAGATGTCCAGGCAGGAAGTGGTGGTAGTGGCAGTGGAGGTCATGAAAGATGGCAGGATTCAAGGTGATTGGAATTTGCTTAGTGTATGGAGGTAAGTGGAGGTTAATGGAGGTTAATTGCCATCACTTAGATGATGATTTTTGACATAACTAAGATTAGAATGGCTGTTTTCTGTGGTGAAGAGGACTCAAGAGTCAGAGTAAGTTTTGAGGTAGAATCAACATTTGAGATTTATGTGCCAGTTAGGTATCTAATTGGAAATGCCTGGGATGCAGAGGAGAGGCCTAAGCTGGAGGTGTAAATTTCAATGTAATATTTGAAGCTTTGAAACTAAGAGCAGTCACCTAGAGAGGGTGGTAAGAAGAAGAAATAGAAGACAGGCCTATCGTTGTGTGGTATATATACTGCACATATCCTAATTTTAAGATTTTTTTTCTGATTAATTTTTTTTGTCCTCTTCCTCATTAGTTTTATTGAATTCTACATAGTGCTTAATAGTCACTTTGAAAGATTATTGAGATTGAATAAGATCTGAGTATATGATCAGGGTTAAGTGAGCTTGTAGCTTCTTGTTAAGGCTTAGATTTTGTGCTACAGTTTCCCAGACTGAGCTATTTTGTGTACTTCTACCATTTCTTCCACATCTATGTGCCAGCTATACTTGATTTTACTGAAAACCTTTGTTTGGATGTGCTTGCTTATGAAACTGTGTATTTATCTTTAACAAAAATCTCTCGCTATTGGTGTATGTTGTTCAGTGGCAGAGCATGTATTTAGCATGGTAGAGGCCCTGGATTTAATCTCTTTAACACCACCCCCTCTCCTCATCCACAAATGAGCAGAACCAAAACAATATTCTCAAATTAGGGGCTAAATTTTGTTATATTCCATGTTAAAAATGAAAAAACTGCCAAACTCCTAAATACACACTATTATTATCAGTATATGACATTATGTTTAGCTGTCTTTGCTTTCTTTACTAGGTAAGTTTGTACAGTAACTGGTATCCTTTTTTTTTTTTTTTTTTGGTTGGCCGTGGGGCTTTGAACTCTGGGCCTGGGCGCTGTCCCTCAGCTCTTCAGCTCAAGGCGAGCACTCTACCACTTGAGCTACAGCGCCACTTCCGGTTTTCTGGTGGTTTATTGGAGATAGGAGTCTCATGGTCTCTCCTGCCTGGGCTGGCTTTGAACCGCGATCCTCAGATCTCAGCCTCCTGCGTAGCTGATTACAGGCATGAGCCACCAGCGCCCGGCTCTTTTTTTTTTTTTTTTTGCCAATCTTGGGTCTTGAACTCAGGGCCTGGGCACTGTCCCTGAGCTGTTTTTGCTCAAGGCTAGCACTCTACCACTTGAGCCACAGTGCCACTCTGGCTTTTTGTGTTTTTAGATTGTACTGAGGAATTGAATCCAGGGCTTCATGCATACTAGGCAAGCACTCTACCACTAATCCACATTCCCAGCCCGTGGTATTCTTTAGCACACTAAAACTTAAGTAAATTGAACTGTTGTATTTTATACTGTGTGAATTATAAGAATGTAAATTTAATGTTTGATGTTTATGTTCTCAACTATAAGATAGCAAGGTATTCTCAGACTTTACCTCAGAATATTTGCCAATAATATTCCCTCAATGATATTGGAAAAATTATCATCATCTAAAATGATTGTTTTTCCAAGATTTATGAAACTTATACTCAATCATTTAAAGAAGTTTTATAGTGATCCTGACTCATAGAAAAATTTTTATTGTTGCAGTGAGATGGAAGATTTTCAAGGTATAGCAGAAGAGTCATTTCCAAGCTTTTTTACCAATTCATTACTTGGTAACAGTGAGATTTTAGAAAATGTCACTCTTTCTTCAAATCTTGGCTTGCCTGTTGCTGTTTCCACGCTTGCTAGGAATAGATCCATTGCTGATAATAGGTAAGACATGAACTTTGTTTTATTTTTTATTTTTAGGTCTGTAAAACCTATAACATGCTGATACATTGTAGAGCCAGGTCTGGAACTTGGGTTTCTTTCTTCCTACCTGCTTTTTTCTGTGTAATTATCATATTTCTTCTCTTAGCTCACTGTATTTATCTGCTTTCTTATTACTTGTTTCCAAATATAACAGCACAGATTCTGAAAAGATATCTATAAATTATGTTTCTAACTACACAGGAGATAGATTAACTGTATCTGAACATTTAAGCTCAAGATATGGTTTGGGGTCACATTGGACATGTTTAGAGCTGTAGCAGCATTTCCTTTTTAACTTCATTTGAGCCAGGTTCATGTTTTACCGGACTTCTATGGCTGCTTTTCTTCATTCTCTTCTATACTTCAGGATTTATATTCTAATAACTTTTAGTTCCTTAGATCAAGTTTCTTTTTCTTAGGAGCTAAGCCAGCTTTTTCCTTTCGTTGGTCATGGGGCTACAATGCTGGGCCTGACTGCTTGTCCCTCAGCTCTTCAGCTCAAAGCTAGTACTCTATCGCTTGAGCCACAACGCCACTTCAGTTTTCTGGTGGTTAATTGGAGATAAGAGTTTCATAGCCTTTCCTTTCTGGGCTGGCTTTGAATCACGATCCTCATATCTCAGCCTCCTGAGTAGCTAAGATTACAGGTGTGAGCCACTGGTGCCCGGCCTAAGTAAGCCAGCTTCTGTGTTTAACTTTTCTTATTCCCACTATGTAATCAAATAGATGTTTGGTTAAATATGTGTTTTATTTGTATCACTCCAAATGTGATGTGTGTAGTTCATCTATCATTTTGTTTAGGGTTTGGATAATGTATACAGTTTTGCTTGTACTTATCTGACCATCTCCTCTGAATCTGACTTTATGTGAGAAATGTTATCTTTACTTTGGAATGAAGATGTTGGACCAACTCTCTAAAAATTCTCCTAGTTTTAGGATTTCTGTGGCTTTGTTGTTGGTGTAGATAAACGCCCTAGTGCTGATGCGTAGGTTTCTGGTACTTTGCAAAGAAGATGATTATTTTGAACACTGGGGTTTCTGTTTGTTTTTATTCCCTGATGGTTGTTTTTACTTTGGTGTGGTTTTTAAATGTACATAATTTTGTTCTTAACAATTTTGTTCAGGTTTCCTGATGTTCAGGCATCATACTTCATAGAAGGGAGGTTTTCTGTTCCATCTGCGTCATCTCCCAGTTGCCAAAGTGATACTGAACCAAGAGAAAGGTTAAAGCTTAGCTTCCAGGAAGATGAGTAAGTGTTCACTTTTACTTACTTTCAGTCTTTAAAAAGCATCTTTAAGAGATTTGTTTATATATTTTAATAACATTTTAAAACCTTATTTCTGACTCTAAAAGTAATGTACGTTCATTGAAAAAATAAAATATTTTAAAGATAATAAAAGCTTACAATTAACTACAGAATAGCCACTGATTACATTCTTTCAGATGTTTTATATTTTTATACATTATCCTCCCTCCCCCACTAACTAGGGGTTGAACTCAAGGCTTGGGCCTCTCCCTGAGCTTTTTTAGCTCAAGGCTAGTGCTCTACCACTTAAGCCACGGTACTACTTCCAGCTTTTTCTAAGTAGTCTCCTGGACTTGCCTGCCTGGGCTGACTTTGAAACGTGATCCTCAGATCTCAGCCTCCTGAGTAGATAGGATTACAAGAATGAACCATCAGGGCTGGGAAGGTGGCTCAGTGGTAGAGTGCTTGCCTTGCATGCATGAGGCCCTGGGTTCGATTCCTCAGCACCACATAAGCAGAAAAAAAAAGCCAGAAGTGGCACTGTGGCTCAATTGGTAGAGCACTAGCCATGAGCTGAAGAGCTGAGGGACAGGCCCAGAGTTCAGGCCCCACAACTGACCAAAAAAAAAAAAAGAAAAAGTGAACCATAAGAGTTTTGGTTGAAGTGTATTTTTTTTTTTTTTGCCAGTCCTGGGGCTTGAATACAGGGCCTAGGCACTGTCCCTGAGCCTCTTTGTGCTCAAGGCTAGCATTCTACCACTTGAAACACAGCACCACTATCTATATTTAATTTTTTTACAAAGGAGGATTAAACTCTATATACTATTTTAATTTTAAAAATTAATTCGGTGTCCTTTCAGTTATAATTGATATAAATTGGTCATAATGTTAATGGCTGTAATGTTAATATAATCAACTGTGTTGTAGTTAAGATTACTGTAGCTGCGTGCAGTGGCTTATACCTGTAATCCTAGCTACTCAGGTGGCTGAGATCTGAGGGTAGTGGTTTGAAGCAAAAAAGTCTCTGTGAAACTTAATTCCAAGTGACTACTGAAAGTGGAGCTGTGGCTCAAAGTGGTAGAGCACTAACTTGAACAAAAAGGCTCAGGAACAGCACCTAGGCTCCATGTTCAAGCCTCCTGACTGACAAAAAAAAAAAAAAAGATCAGTTTTGCTGTTATAAATATAAATGACTTCTTTTTTTTTTTCTTTTTTGGGTCCAGTCATGGGGCCTAAACTCTGGGCCTGGGTACTGTCCCTCAGCGCTTCAGCTCAAGGCTAGCACTCTACCACTTGAGCCACAGTGCCACTTCCGGCCTTTTTTTTTTTCTGCTTATGTGGTGCTGAGGAATCAAACCCAGAGCCTCATGCATGCAAGGCAAGCGCTGTACCACTGAGCCACCTTCCCAGCTCCTAAATGACTTCTTTTTACATACACGTTTATGCAAACAATTTACACATCTGTGAGATGTTTTCCAAAATAAATTCCTAGGTTTTAGATTGCTGAGTGTAAAGTGTTTGACATTAAAGAACGTTACAAGTAAATATATTAACTTTGTAGAAAACTTGTATCAATTTACATGCCTACTAGATATATATAACAGTGATTATTTCTTTGAATCCTATACAACATTTGAAGGTTCTTTTGTGTGTGTGTGTGTGTGTGTGTGTGTGTGTGTGTGTGTGTGCGCGCGCGCGCGCGTGCGCACGCGCCAGTCCTAGGGCTTGAACTCAAAGCTTGGGTGCTAGCCCTAAGCTGTTGTGCTCAAGGATAGTGCTCTACTACTTGAGCCACAGGTCCATTTCCAGCTCTTTTTTGGCAGTTAATTGCAGATTAAGAGCCTCATAGACTTTCCTGCCCAGGCTGGCTTTGAACTGTGATCTCAGTCTCCTGAGTAGCTAGGATTATAGGTGTGAGCCACTAGCACCTAGATGAAGAATCTACTTTTAATTTTAATTTTAGAACTAAAAGTAACTTACCAGTATGTATGTGTGTGTGTATATATATATATATATATATATATACACACACACACACACACATGTATACGTATACATATATGGATATGTATATATACATAATATGTATGTATCTGCATATATGTATATATGCATATATATACGTATAATTGTATGTGTATGTATATATACATATATGTATATATGTATATTATAAAAGTCTGGAAAACCAAAATTAACTGGTAATTAGTTTTTGTTTCTTTTTGTTTTGGTACTATTGGGGTTTGAACTCAAGGCCTTGTGCTTGCTAGGCAGGCAAGCACTTTACTACTTGAGCCTATGTCCCCAGCTGATAGTTATTTCTTGGTGATGATATTATCATCTTTAGGTTTTTGTGTTTAAATTTATATTTGAGTGTTGAAAAGGTTGAATAAGTTATTCAGTACTTATATTTTTGTTGTGATTTGTCTTTTGATAGCCTTTATATATAAATGCTTTCTATATATTAAGCATAACTGCTCATATATTTAATAACTATCTTTGGATTCTCTAGAGGAACAGAACTGATAGGATACATAGCCACATGTATTATCTATATATACATATAAATAATTATAAAAGTAGTTTATTAGATTGATTTATATAATCTGAGTCTGGATAATCCAACAATGGCCATTGTATGCTGGAGAGCCAGCAGAAGCTATTCAGTTTTGGAGATAGAAGCCTCAGAATAAGGGGAAGCATTGATGCAGCCCCAGTCTGTTGAAGCCTGGAACCTCTTTGGAGAGTCAGTGGTGTGATTTCATATTGAAAGTCTGAAGAAATTGGAGTTTGATGTCCATGGGCAATGGCAGCAGCAGTAGATGCACCTACTTAGGTGGATTTGAGCTTTCATGAGCTGGCTTTCTCCTGCTTTTGTTCCATCTGACTCACAGCTATTGGAAGGTGTCACCTACATTCAGGACAAGTATTCCTTATTCAGTTGCTGTCCATGTGAGAGTCCTCTCTGGAAATATCATCATAACATATCTAAAAGTATGTTTTAGTAATCTCTTAGGTATCTTTCAGTCCAGTAGTCAAGATTAACCATCACATTTTTTCTCTGTGCATTTTTGACAGGCTGCTACACACCATATATTTCTAGGTACTTTAGAAATACCAGTGAACAAAAACAAATGTTAAACAAAATAATTAAAATGCTGTTTTTACTGTATATTAGAAGGGATAACCTACTACTAGAAAAATCATAGTAAAAATGGTTTTAGGAAGGCTGAAGGTAATGGTCAATAAGGAAGTCAGGTATGACTTAAGACTTGACAGAAGGAGTTAGCTTTGTGGGCCCTATGGTTCAAGAGGGTTTCAGCAGAGGCCATAGCTGTCGGCAGAAAGGTACTATTATGGGAACATATTCATTGTGCTCATACAGCAGCTAGGATGCTTGGGGGAGGTGACCTGGACCTTGATTCTGACTCCAGGTAAAATGGGAAACCCTCTAAGGGTTGTGTCCAGATTATATTTAGATTTTATTTTATTTATTTATTTTTTGGGTCCGGTCGTGGGGCCTGAACTCAGGGCCTGGGCGCTGTCCCTCAGCTCTTCAGCTCAAGGCTAGCACTCTACCACTTGAGCCACAGAGCCACTTCCGGCTTTTTCTTTTTGCTTATGTGGTGCTGAGGAATCGAACTCAGGGCCTCATGCATGCAAGGCAAGCGCTCTACCACTGAGCTATCTTCCCAGCCCCACATTATATTTAAAAAGGCTCATGCTGGCATTTTTTTTTTTTTTTGGTCCGGTCGTGGAGTCTGAACTCTGGGCCAGGGCATTGCCCATCAGCTCTTAAGCTCAAGGCTAGCGCTCTACCACTTGAGCCACAGTGCCACTTCCGGCTTTTTTTCTTTTTGCTTTATGTGGTGCTGAAGAATTGAACCCAGGGCCTTATGCATGCAAGGCAAGCGCTCTACCACTGAGCCATCTTCCCAGCCCCATGCTGGCCTTTTTATTGTTTGGTGGAGAATAGAGTGTGGAAGACCAGCTAGAAGGCTGGGGAGTCAAGGAGTGAGGGAGAAAGAGAAATAAAGAGCCCCAGGAATTATCTTCAGCCACTTCAACATTGAGAATTTGGGGATAGGAGGAATAGACTAAAAATTAGTGTTAGAGGTTACGAAGAAAAGTATCTAGGGAGCTGTCCCAGAAATATCATAAACAGTGGCCAGGCATACGGGTTCACGTCTGTAATACTAGCTGCTTAAGTGGTAAATATTTGAAGAGTCACAGTTTGAGGCCAGGTTGGTCTAAAAATTATTCAGACATTCATCTCAACTAATAAAGCTGAGCATATTGGTGGTAGATGTCTGTCATCCTAGCTATGTGAGAAATTTCAGTTCAGGCTGGCCTGTGCAAAAAAATGTGAGACCTTATTTGAAAGATAACTAAAGCAAAAAGTGTGTGTGTGTGTGTGTGTGTGTGTTTGTTTGTGTGTGAATGGCTTATGTGATAGGGCCTTTGTGTTCCAACCAGTATCCCCCCAAGAAAATAACAAAAAACCTTCTCTCCAAATCCAAAATATATACAAGTAAGCCTTATTCATGGGCTTATTACATGTAACTTTTTACCAAAAAAAAAAATAATAAAAGTTCAGTCTTTAGCTCTATAAGAGGAAAAAAAAAAAGACTGAAACAAGGTCACCCTGGGCCACATAGGAAGCCCTGTCTCAAAAAAAAAAAAAAAAAAAAAGCTGGGGGGGCTGGAAGGTGGCTCAGTGGTAGAGTGCTTGCCTTGCATACATGAGGCCCTGGGTTCGATTCCTTAGCACCACATAAGCAAAAAGAAAAAAGCTGGAAGTGGTGCTGTGGCTCAAGTGGTAGAGCACTAGCCTTGAGCTGAAGAGCTGAGGGATAGGGCCCAGGCCCAGAGTTCAGGCCTCAGGACCAGACCCCCCCCCCCCCCCCCAAAAAAAAAAAAAAAAAAAAGCTGGGTAGAATTAGTGACTTAAGCCTGGCTACTTTTAGGAGGTCAGTCTGAAAAAAAAGTTCTCAAAACTTTCTCCACTATGAGAAAGGCTTGCCTGTATTCAGATAGATGCCTGTCATTTTAGCTATGCTGCAGTTTGGGCTAGCTTAGGCATGAAACAAGATCCCATTTAAAAAATAACTAATGGAAGATGGGCTGCTGGTGACTCAAGCTTTTAGTCCTAGCTACTCAGGAGGTTGAAAACTGAGGATCACCATTTAAAGCCAGCCTAGGCAGGAAAGTCCATGTGACTATTATTTCCAAACAACCGCCAAAAAGCAGGAAGTGGAGCTGTGGCTCAAGTGGTAGAGTGCTAGCCTTGATCAGAGAAGCTCAGTGACTGTATTCAGGCTGTGCAGAGTTCAAGTCCCAGGACTGGCACATACTCACCCAGCCTCCCCTCCACCCCGCTTTCCCCTCATACCCCCCAAAACCCCAAAAACTAATGGAATAGGGACTGGCAGAGTGGCTTAGGGTATGTACTTACCTAGTAAGTACACGGCCTTGAGTTCAATCCCCTGTACCTCCATTAGGGTTAAGATAGATAACTAACCCTTACATGTAGTTTAATTGGAAGCAGGTAGAGATATAATAGACCACTGAGAGTCAGTTTGAAAGAGAGTAGGGAGCTAATAGTAGAGACAGTGGGCAGCTTGTTGAGTTTTGCTGCAAAGGGAAACAAGTGAGGCTGGTGGATGAAGTTGTACTTTTTTTTTTTTGCCGCAAGTAATGTTACTGCATGTTTACATAGCAGTAGAGATGATCATGTAGAATGAGGAAAGAATGGCTGGAAAAGAGTCTACATACATAACAGTGGGCTCCAGAGTCCAGTGGATGGAGAAGCTTTTAGATGGATAAGACTATGGACAGCTCCTTAGCATCGGAGGGACTGTGGGCTGTGGTATGCCTAGTAGTAGAATCTATCTGTGATAGTTACTCTTCAGTGCTTCAGGTTAAAAAAATAAGCTCCAAAGTAGAAGCCATGGCCATCAAGTCAGTGTGAGGGTGGAGGAGGAGTTTGAATAGTAAAATCTCATAGGTATCTGGGGATGTAAATGGACAAGGAAAGTAGTAACATTGCCAGGTAGTGTCACAGACCCAACAGGGCATGAATTTAGTGTGAGATAATATAGTGTCACTGTGATGTTTTCTCTAGCCTGAGAGGAATAAGTAGACAGTTGGATTTAAGCAGGTGTGAAGTTTGATGAAGGCAGTGAGGATTTAGGTGAAGGAAGAATGGACACCAAAAGAGTGAGGCACAGTAGTGTGTGGTGGTACAGTGAATTGGAGACTTAGTGTGGGAGGATTATAAAGTTGTACTAGAGGCTGGTGATGTGAAGGTTAGTGCGTGATTCAAAGTTGTGAGGCTCCAGAGGGTACTAGCAAGGCTATGAAAGAAATAGAAATTGGGAGTAGTTATCTTTGAGGATAGTCAAGCTTTCAATAAGGAAGGAAAGCCAAAAGACCATTTAGAGAAAAGGCTCAAGAATCGCAGACCTTAAAGATCCAGAAGCACAGTGGGAAGGTTTTTTGTTTGTGGAAGAGTGAAGTAGGGGATGTGTAGTTTTATGGGGTTTAGACTACCAGTAAAGAGAAGTCCTGGAACTAAAATAGACATGTGAAGGCATCTTTGAATTAGTCCCATGCAGATGGTGATACTGGTGAAATTATGAATGTGGAGGGTCTTTGGGAGTTTACTCTTTTTTTTTTTTGTGCCAGTAATAGAGCCTGTTTTCATTCAGCTTGCAGGTTGATGGCTTGCACTCTACCATTTAAGACACATCTCTAGCCTGGCTTCTCCCTTAACCCCATTTCTGGGGCTTGAGCTCAGGGCCTGAGCACTGTCCCTGAGCTTTTGTATTCAAGATTAGTGTTATACCACTTGAAACACAGCTCTACTTTTTTTTATGTTTTAATTGAAGATAAGAGTCTTACAGACTTTCTTGCCTGGGCTGGCTTTACACTATATCCTCAGATCTTAGTTCCCTGAGTAGCCAGGAGTATAGGCCTTTTGCTGGTTATTTTGGAGACCAAGTCTTGTAGATTTTTCTGCCTGGTCTGGGTTTGAATGTCAATCCCCTGGATCTCAACCTCCTGAGTAGCTAGGAATATAGGGTGCTCAAGTCCCTATATTCCCAGTGCTCTGCTAGTAGAGACAGTGGGCAGCTTGTTGAGTTTTGCTGCAAAGGGAAACAGAAGTGAGGCTTGTGATAGCTGGTGGATGAAGTTGTACTTTTTTTTTTTTTTTGCCGGGGAGGGGATATCTAGAAAGTGATCTGGACCTAGCATGTTGATTCAGTCCCAAGAATAACCAACAGTATTACTGGTTGCATTGTTGGGCTACACCTAGAAATATTTTTTTTTTCACTGTGTGTGTCTAATTTTCTTTTAGAAAGATGAAGTATGTTATTGACTGATAGGAATTTATAATAGGTAACTTATTCTGATTCACTAATAAAGATTTCCATCTTTAGGAAAAAGATCTGTAAAGAAAGTCCACATTTGTCAGAAGTTTTCACAAAACAGTCTACTTTTCAAAGTGATACACCAAGAGCAGAAGAGGAGCAGGCTAAAAGTACAGCATCCTTGCAGAGACAGGATCTTTTGCATAGTGTTTCACCCCTTGAACAAGTACCAGGTACTAAAATTCTCTTCTTTCCTTTCCCTCTCCCTTTCCCCTTTCTTTTTCCCCCCTTTTCCCTTTCTTCTCTCCACTTTCCCCCTTCCCCTTTCCTTTCTTCTTCCCATTTTGTGCTAGTCACTGGGCTTGAACTCTGTCTGGGAGTTGTCCCTGAAATTTTTTGCTTTAGGCTAGTACTCTACTACTTGAGCCACAGTTTCATTTCTGGCTTTTTTGGTGGTTAATTGGAGATAAGTCTCACAGACTTTCCTGCCTGGGCTGGCTTTGAACCATGATCCTCAGATTTCAGCCTCCATCATAGTTACGACTGTATGCCTGAGCCACTGGCACATGTGTGTATATTTTACTGTTTTTCATTTGACTATTTTTGGACTGGCATTTACCTTATGCTGTCCTGTGGTAAACTGATAATGCTTAGGTTTGATATGCACAGTTATCATATTTATAGTACTTTCATAGGAAAAGCTTTCTTGTCTTAACTGGTTTAAGCTACAGTTTCCTTTCCATTGGAAATAATGCTGTCAGATAGCTACAGCATCAAACTGGGGTCAGACTTAACCTCAGAAATGTTAGGCCAGCACTGTAGCACTCACACACATTCTCAGCCTTCTCCTTATTTATTTATACTTTTTTTTTTTCATTTTACATTACAAACATTTTGTTTCTGCATATTTTTGTATGCATCTCTAAAAATGAACATTTTCTTATATGCCAATAGTTCTGGTAATGGAGCAGATGAGTCTCATTATTTTCTTATCATCTTGTATGGTAGTCCCTTTTGGTATGGGTCTGGGAGCAGTTACATTGTATTATAGTATATTTATTGAATGCCCTTTGTGTGCACTTATTGAAAAAGTGAGGCGAAAGCCGGGCTCTGGTGGCTCATACCTGTAATCTTAGTTATTCAGGAGGCTGAGATCTGAGGATCATGGTTCAAAGCTAGCCCAGGCATGAATCCTTGAGACTTATATCTCCAATTATCCACCAGAAAACTCAAAGTGGAACTATGGCTCATCAAAGTGGTAGAGTGCTAGCTTTGAGCATGAGCTCAGAGACAGCAGCCAGGCCCTGAGCACAAGCCCCACAGCTGACCACAAAAATAGAAAATTGAGGCTAGTCATCTAAAGCTTGGCTTTGTCTGTCATTTCTCTTGTTTCTTCCCTATATCCCATACAAAGTTGTGGGGCCTGAACTCTGGGCTTGGGCATTGTCACTGCACTCTACCACTTGAGCCACAACACCACTTCTGGCTTTTTTTTTTCTCATGTGGTGCTGTGGAATTCAACCGAGGGCCTCATGCTTGCAAGGCAAGCACTCTACCATTGAGCCACCTTCCCAGCCCAAAGCAGAAGTTTTTTGTTTTCTTTTTTGTCAGTTGTGAGGCTTGAACTCTGGATCTTGGTGCTGTCCCTTAGCTCTTCAGCTCAAGGCTAACACTCTACCACTTGAGCCACAGCGCCACTTCCAGTTTTCTCGTGGTTTTATTGGAGACTCACAGACTTTCCTGCCTGAACTGCCTTTGAACCATGGTCCTCAGATCTCAGCCCCCTGAGTAGCTAGTATTACAGGCATGAGCCACTGGTGCCCGGCCAGAAGTTAATTTTAAAGTCTTGAGTGGATTCATATCTAAGTTTTATGGTATATATGTACTTTTATGATTTTCCCATCCTAACATTTAAAGAATTTTAACTGACCAAAGGTAAAATTCTATACTGTCATTTGAAAGTACTTATATTTCAAGATATAATTAATTTGTTGTTTTTTTGGTATTATTTGATAAAATAATTTGTCTTTTCAGTTTTTGTTTTTGTTTTCTTAATCAGATTCACCTGATTTTTGTTTAAAATCGTGGATGAATACTCAAGAGCATAAGGTAAATTTTTACATTTTTATGGACTTCTGTAGTATTTTAGAGGAGTAAAGATTCATATTTTATAGACATTTGTTAATATTAGACTTTTTTCTTATATCTGGCATAACAAATTGATAAAGCTTTAACAGAAATATAATTTATCTGTGGTAATAAAGACTCAAGAGTAATGCTGGCACTATCCTGTGTCTGTTTATGAAATGTGCTCAGTTCTGTCTACTCTTAAGTATAAAATGGTTGACATCCCATGTTTTTATCTAAAACTAAGTATATATTTTGAAATCTAACTCTTTTTTTTTTTTTGTCGGTCATGGGGCTTGAACTCTGGGCCTGGGCACTGTCCCTCAGCTCTTCAGCTCAAGGCGAGTGCTCTACCACTTGAGCTACAGCGCCACTTCCGGTTTTCTAGTGGTTTATTGGAGATAGGAGTCTCACGGTCTTTCCTGCCCGGGCTGGCTTTGAACCTCGATTCTTAGATCTCAGCCTCCTGAGTAGCTAGGATTATAAGCGTGAGCCACCGGCGCCCGGCTTGAAATCTAACTCTTAAACCTACTACCAGTTCTCTCTCTGTGTATATGTGTGTGTGTGTGTGTGTGTGTGTGTATGTGTGTACCATGGCTTGAACTCAGGGCCCTTGAGTTCTCCATTACCTGCACGAAGGTGATACTCTACCTCTTAAGACATGACTTCAGTCCACTGTTTTGTTATTTAGTTGAAAGAATCTCACAGATTTTTCTGTCTGGCCTGACTTCTGTGATCCTCTTATCTTAGCCTTCTGAGTACCTAAATTTATAGATGTGAGCCACTGGTGCCTGGCTTCAATTATTTCAATGTATATATTTAATGTAAGTATGAAATAGATTTGGTACTGAGAGGAAAATGTATTTCCATTCTGAGCCTTGAATGTCCTTAGTAAATTGCTGTGTGACTTTAGAACTTCATAGTCCCCAGACTGAGGACCAGAGAAATCAATTGTTTCAATGTTATATTATGGTGGTGTTGCTTAGCTAAAGGCTACTAAGACCTGTTTTTCTACCTTTTGTGTGTGTGTGTGTGGGGACGGGGGTATGTATGTGTATGTGCGCCTGTGCGTGCCAGTCCTGGGGCTTGAATGCAGGGCCTAGGTGCTATCCTTGAGCTTTTTTGTGCTCACGGCTAGCACTTGAGCCACAGCTCCACTTCTGGCTTTTTTTTTTCTTCTTCTCCAGTTGTGGGGCTTAAACTCTGGGCCTGGACACTATCCCTGAGCTCTTCAGCTCAAGGTTAGTACTCTACCACTTGAGCCACAGTGCCACTGATGGTTTTCTGGTGGTTTATTGGAGATAAGAGTCTCACGGACTTTCCTGCCCAGGCTGGCTTTGAACCTTGATCCTCAGATCTCAGCCTCCTGAGTAGCTAGGATTACAGGCGTGAGCCATCAGTGCCTGGCCACTTCTGGCTTTTTTTTATGGTTAATTAGACATAAGAGTCTCATAGACTGGACTTTGCTGCCCAGATTTGCTTCGAACCATGGTCCTCAGATCTTAGAATTGTAGGCATGCGCCACTGTCACCTGGCTTTTCTATTATTTTTATAATTCAAGAGCAAACTTTGTATTGCTCTAATTCAGATGTGTCTTAATATATGAACTATGATTCTTCTGACATGTACAAACAATTTGATTGAGACCTTAAATTTCAGGGATGTCTTATTGGTGGGGCCAGAAGGAAAATTACTAATACATGTAAAACACCTTGTTCTTTAGTGACAAAATTGTGATTTTTCAGATACTGTGCACAGTGTAGATTCAGAAAATACTTGGTCCATTTTGTAACTTTGTACTGTTCTCTTCAAAGCAGTGAGTGTGCTTCTCTTATATGTCATTTTATTTCTTTAGATTGTTGTGCCTGATGCTGGAAAAGAAGCCAAGACTCTAAACAGTGACTTAAACCATGTTAGCTTCTTAGAAAATGAAAAACTTATGTCACTGGCCAGTTTGGAAGACTCTTCTGGTACTGCATAGTAGTAACTTGTATTTTCAAGTTTTTACCTTGCCTTTCCACTTTATTTCATGTCTGTGATATAGCCATTACTATGGCAGCTTTTTCTTTTGCCTAATCATTTTCTTCCTATGACTGGCACCCACTGGTCTCTTCTATTGAGTGATAGGACTTTTCTGATAAGATTATACTCACCCCTTAGTTTGACATCATTAAGAGTACCTTTTAGCCACCTAGAGGGTTACATACTGTAGAGTACTGTATTAAGGAATTGAGGGAACAAAGAAATATTTAGTCTTTGTCCTTTAAGAGACCTTACCCAAATGCATAAACTGGGATTGGACAAAGTATATTTCAACAGTATAAAAATGTGCTTAAGCATCAGAAGGAGTGATAGATCAGTTATGATTGAAGAAGTTATCTGTGATATTCTCTGGAAATAAGATGGGATTTGGACTCGACCCTTTCTGGAAGCAGAACAGCTTCAGCTAAAACAATGATTGAGGATTAGTCATCAGTTAGTAAGGTATTTTTATAGCATGTTTCGTAGGCTTCACATTGGTGAAGAAACTCAGAAAAGTAAGCTAGGGCCAAACTATTTAGCTCTGCAGGCCAGGCCATGCTGAATTGGGTGTTGGAACATTGAGAATCATTGCAGTGTCACTTCCTTTCTCCTCTTTATGTCTCCCCTCCACTTTTCTGTGGATAGCTTTAGTTATCCTTTTTTTGGTAGAGTTAACTATTTACTATATAGTTTGTGAATGATCTGCTCTTTTCCTACCCATTTGTGATGTTTTATCATGTCCTAACTTATTGTGGAATCCAGAATCTCTGTCCTATTCTCTCAAAGTGGTTAATAATTACATTTCTATGCTATTATTACTTTTAACTAAAATTATAATAATTTGCTCATCTCAGATACAAAAACAAACTCAATGTCCACTGACCTATTAGTTTTAACAGGTTTTTTTTTTTAATTAAAAATTATGTGTAGTTAGTTGCTACTTTAAAGCCTGTTCTGTTTTTTTCCCTAATTAATTAATAGATGATGATATTAATGATGAAGAGTTTTATGATGAACATTTGGAAGCTTATTTTGAACAACTGGCAATACCAGGAATAATATATGAAGACCTAGAAGAACGAGAATCTTCAGAAAAATATTTTAAATTACCCAGTCAGGTATGCTGATTGAATTCTAATTCAGTCACAATCATAATTCTTATAATTTTTCAGAAATTTGACATTGAAAATTTATAATTGTCATGTTATCTGTAATAAATTAAAGCTTTTGATTTTCTTTGCTTCTTTGATGAGAAATGTATGTTTTTCTTCCCCACTCCCTCTTCATTTGCCCTGGTGATACATTCCTATAATCCCTAGGGAGGATGAGGAAGTATTTTGAATGTGAGGCTAGCCCTGGGGCTATCTAACAAGACTCTGTCTCAAAACAAAAAGAATGAAAAAGTTACAGTGGGAATCACCTTTGTCCACATAAACTAATTGTTAATATCTTGCCACCTTTTCATTTTCTTTCTCCCTCCATAGTAATGTCTTTCTTGAATCTGAATCTGAAAGCAATCTCTCTAAAGCTCTCCTGGAAACTAGTGAAGCTCTCTTGGAAACTAATATTACACTAGTGGTTGAAATGATGATTTTTCTAAATCCTCCAGCATTTGTTAACCTATAATCCCTCAGTATAATAGACATTTTCTGCTTTCCACATTTCTTCCTCAAAATGCTTTATTTTATTTGAAAATATTAATACAGCTAAGATACTCTTTCAACAGACAAATGAAGACAGTAGCTTTAACTCTAAGTCAGAATGTAGCAGTTCTCACCACGGTTCAAACTCTTTAAGAAGTTCTGAAACAGTTTGCAAGGAGTCTGAGGAAGCCCACACTTTTTGTCTACCTGGGACCAGTAAGTGTTGAACTTTGATTGCATTTTTCTTAAATTCTGTGCTTGACTTGATCTTTTTTTTTTTCTTTAAATTATTTCTTTGTTGTGATTTATCATATTTTAACTATTCTATCCCTTCAAATCTTCAGTCTAAAATTTTTCAAAAGAACTTTTAATAAGGCCTGAATAAGAAATGATTTACTTTGTTGGTTAAATTTGCTTCCAAGTGATTTTGTTATATGTTATTGTAAATTAGTTTCCTTTTGGGGCAGTAATTTGAATTCAGGGCGTCAGCTTGCTTGCTTACCTAGACTCTCCTCAGCAATGTTTTTTGTTAGTTATTTTGTAGATGGAGTCTCACTAATTTTTCTGCCCAGGCTGGCTTCCAAATGTGATCCTCTGGATAACAAGCTGAATAGCTAGGATTGTAAGGATGATCCATCAGTGCTCTACTTTTATTTTAATTTTAGTGTAATACCTTGTTAGAGAGACACTAAAAATAATTGTATATTAATACCTAAGTTAAATTGGTAGTATTGAAGTATAATATCAGCTGGGTGCTAGGGGCTTATGCTTGTTATCTTAGTACTCAAGAGGCTGAAAATCTGAGGATCACAGTTCAAAGACACCTTGGAAATAAAAGTTGGTAAGACTCTTATTTCAATTAAGCACCAAAAAAGCTGGAAGTAGAGATGGGCCCAAGTAGTAGATTACTAGCCTTGAGCAAAAAAGCTCAGGAATGACACTCAGGTCCTGAGTTCAAGCCCCAGAGCTGGCACAAGGGCTGGGAAGGTGGCTCAGTGGTAGAGCGCTTGCCTTGCATGCCTGAGGCCCTGGGTTCGATTCCTCAGCACTACATAAGCAGAAAAAGCCAGAAGTGGTGCTGTGGCTCAAGCGGTAGAGCACTAGCCTTGAGCTGAAGAGCTGAGGAACAGCGCCCAGGCCCAGAGTTCAGGTCCCACGACCGGACCCAAAAAAAAAAAGTGAAAAAGCAATATAATACTAATCTTGGAGTGACTGTTTTGAATGATTATATTTTGTTGAGACATGTAAGAATAGATAACTTCATTCTCTTTATGGTAGCATATTTGTCATGTTTATTGTTCCTTACTGGTGCTTATTTTCTCCTGTTTGCAATTTACTATTTTTGTCCTGTGAGTGCTAAGTGTTAGGCTTACTACAATAATTGGATTAATAAGAAGCAGTTATTAGATTACTCAAACATTGACATTGTTCCATTAACTATTTCCTTTATTTTTCAGGTAATTCTGTAGGTACTGTTGATAGTACAAAACAGGAAGGTGGTATGTTGTCATTTTACCCTAGTAACTGGTGTGCTGAGAAGGAAAGGGATGGAAGTTTGAAGGATATTTTTCCAGATCAACACAGAGTAAGTTGATAACATTTTCTTAAACATTTTATGAAAGGAGTAAGAAATCTTTTGTGTTTGCATACTATTACTTTTTTTTTTTTCATAGGAAGAACTATTGTTGACTTTTGAAAAATACAGTAAAGGACTTTCCTGCCTTGGCTGGCTTTGAACCATGATCCTCAGATCTCAGCCTCCTGAGTAGCTAGGATTACAAGTGTGAGCTACTAGTGCATAGCTTCCCTCACTTTTTTTTTTTTTTTTTTTTTGCAAATTCTTTATTGTAATTAAGTGATTACATAATTTCACAAATTTCACAGTATTGTGGGATAGTGATGCTTAGTTAAAGTCACAAACACATTCTAACTTTCATGGGGCAAATTGTCTATCATGATCTATAAAGTTTATGAGTTCTATGAGCTTTGACAATACAGTTATTTTTTCCACATCAGGTGATATGTACATTTCTTTTCTTTTGCATAGCTGTTCCCTCCTTCCCATTTCCCACTGGTTACCACCCTCCCATCGTTGCCATTGAGTTGCTTAGTTTGTTTTGATCAATGTCCAGTGCAGCTGATGGGTCCCACTGTTGTATGTTTTTCCCTGATTCCTTCTAGTTCTGTGTCCTCCTCCTAGTTTCTCTCCAGTGTGCACATATACACCATATATGTGATCAGCAGCATGGGGTTATTTAGTAATGATTTGACCAAATGAGTGGGGGTCCTTTGTTTCTCAAGTCTTGTTAACTGTCGTATCACCTTACATTTTGGATTTAACATTCACTTATCAGGGAGACCATGGCATGTGCTGTTTGTCTCTTTGCTATTGGCTTACCTCACTCAGCATGATTTCTTCTAGCTCCATCCATTTCCCTGCAAATGCCATTATTTTGTTCTTTCTAATGGCTGCATAATATTCCATTGTGTATAGATACCACAATTTTTAGATCCATTCATCTGAGGTGGGGCACCTGGGTTGTTTCCATATCCTGGCTATTGTGAACAGTGCCGTAATAAACATGAGGTGCATGTGTCCTTGTATCCTGTTATTCAGGATCGATACCTAGGAGTAGTATGGCTGGGTCATAGGGGAGGTCAATATTTAGCTTTCTGAGGACCCTCCAGACTGCTTTCCACAGTGGTTGTATTAGTGTACATTTCCACCAGCAGTGTAATAGGGTTCCTCTTTCTCTTTATCCCCTCCAGCGTTTGTCATTGGCTGATTTTGGATGTGGGCCATTCTGACTGGGGTAAGGTAGTATCTCTTTGCATTTCCTTCACAACCAGGGATGGTGAACATTTCCTCATGTGTTTCTTTGCCATTTTTATCTCTTCTTTTGAGAAGTCTCTCTTTAGTTCCCTTGTCTATTTAGTAATTGCTTTGTTGGGCTTGGGAGGAATTAGTTTCTTGAGTTCCCTGTATATATTGGATATTAACCCCTTGTCTGATAAATTGCTAGTAAATATTTTTTCCCAGTTACTTGGTTGTCTTTCTAGCTTGGTTGCTGTGACTTTAGCTGTGCAGAAACTTTTTATATTAAGCTTCCCTCACTTTTGAAGGATAGTTTTGCCATTGTCTTAGTCTAGTTTTTGTTTGTTTGTTATGCCAGTATACTGAGGCTTTAACTCAGAGCCTCATGTTCTTGGTTGGCTTCTTGCTCAGGTCTGAGGCTCTACTGTTTGAGCCTACTTCCAGTCTAGTTTTTTGTTGATTATTTTGGAGATGGAGTTTCACAAACTTTTCTGCCCATCTGGTTTAAAACTCATCCTCCAAGTTTCAGCTTCTTGAGTAGCTAGGATTAATGGTGTGAAGCACTGGCACCTGACTTAATCTGTTTAGTGTTGCCATAAAAGAAAAGTAGTTTATAGTGAAAAGCAATTTTTTGGCTCATGATTGGAAGGTGGAAGAAGTGAAAGTATCTCCTGTGAAGGCTATGTGATTGCCACCATACTCTGCAGTCGATCTCAAAAAGTTCCTCTTGTCTCATGAACTTTGTACCATTTGACCAGTTTCTCCCCATTCCCTCATCTTTTCATTGTCTCTGAAGACTAACCTTTTCTGTTGTGTGGTATTATTGAAATCATTGAGTGTGTAGCCTTTACAGCATGGATTCTTTCAGTAAATGTGTTTGAAACTCCTCCATATCTTTTCATGTCTCAATAGTACATTTCATTTATAGCATTTTGTTGCATTTAGTTGTCTGGATATGCTATCATTTTTTTTTGTTGTTGTTGTTGGGTCCGGTCGTGGGGCCTGAACTCTGGGCCTGGGCGTTGTCCCTCAGCTCTTCAGCTCAAGGCTAGTGCTCTACCACTTGAGCCACAGCACCACTTCTGACTTTTTTCGTTTTTGCTTATGTGGTGCTGAGGAATCGAACCCAGGGCCTCATGCATGCAAGGCAAGCGCTCTACCACTGAGCCACCACCTTCCCAGCCCTATGCTATCACTTATTTACCAATTGAAGACTCCTAAATTTTGGCAGTTCTGCATAGTACTGTTGTGAAGGACATGTTTTCAGCTTCTTGGGATACATACCAGTGAGTGCATTTGTGATATAATTTTTTATTTTTTTTTGGGTCTGGTCGTGGGGCCTGAACTCTGGGCCTGGGCGCTGTCCCTCAGCTCTTCAGCTCAAGGCTAGCGCTCTACCACTTGAGCCACAGAGCCACTTCCGGCTTTTTTGTTTTTGCTTATGTGGTGCTGAGGAATCGAACCCGGGGCCTCATGCATGCAAGGCAAGCGCTCTACCACTGAGCCACCTTCCCAGCCCATGCAATATAATTGTGAGTGGGCTCCTCAGGAATAATCTTTCCAGAAAGATACTAGTGATTACACCCACCCAGGGCCTCATTCTTTCTAGACAAGCACTTTACAACTTGATTGATCAGTCCAGGGGTTTGAACTCAGGGCCTGGGCTCTGTCCCTGAATCTCTCTGTGCTCAGGGCTACCACTCTAGCCACAGCACCACTTCCAGCTTTTTCTGTTTATCTGGTACTAAGGAATCAAACCCAGGGCTTCATGCATGCTAGGCAAGTACTCTACCATTAAGTCATATTCCTGGCCCTTGTTTTGTTTTTGAAATAGGATCCCCTCACTTGCCTACGCTGACCTCAGTGTCACAGTCTTTTCCCCTCTGCCTCTTAAATAGCTGGAATTACAATTGTGTGCCATTATTCCTGGCTGAAAAAACATAGATATTAAAAATCTGTGTTCAGTGGCTTTTTTTTGTATATAGTCTTTTATGTTTGTTTTCCCTTATCATTATACCTGAGTGTTTATCTGTATTGTGTTGTTTTTTTGTTTTTTTTATCCCCCCCCAGTGGCTTTTATTCATTTTATTTTGGAGCATATCTTACTAATGAACTTAATACTTTTATAGAAACTGAAAGGATCCTTCAGGATCCTCTCAGGGGACCACACAAAGGCCAGCAGGCAGGCACAGGGGAAACATTATTGTAAGGTTTATTAGAGGGGCCTTATCTCCCCTGGAGAGGGAGCACATGGTGTCTGCCCCCATCCAAATCATGGGTCGGTCTGGGGGAAGTGAGGTCAGGGGGAAGTGAGGGCAGAAGTGGGTTAAAATGTGTGGGTGGGTGGGTCTGGGTAGAGAGGGAGTGGCCAGCTGTAGTGTGGGAACTCCAGAGCAGTGGGGAGCTCACCTTTGGGTGGAGCTGAAGACCAAAAGTGGGGATAATACTAACAGAAACTTTTATTAGAAATTATAAAAACTTGCCAGCCAGTGGCTCACGCCTGTAATCCTAGCTACTCAGGATTCTGAGCTCTGAGGATTGGGGTTCAAAGCCTGCCCAGGCAGGAAAGTTCTGTGAGACTGTTTTCTACAATAAACCACCAGAACACAGAAAGTGATGCTGTGGTTCAAGTGGTAGAGCTCTAGCCTTGAGCTGAAGAGCTGAGGGACAGCGCCCAGGCCCAGAGTTCAAGTCCCATGAGTGAAGAAAAATAAAAAAAGAAATTATAAATAGTTAAATTCACAGTTATATCATCTTATAATAGAAAAAGAATTTAATTTTAGTGTCTAAGTCTGTTGATATGTGTTTGCTGGAACTACATTTTTAAAATTGTATTTTGGTAAATTGTGTGACATTGATTTATACATAGTCTAGAATATAGTGTATACTATAGGGTCTGCAACTTAGTATCACCATAATTATATCATTTTTCTCAAAAGTTTAAAATGAATAGTAAAAAATAAAACTTACTGTTGCTCTGTTACCTGTTTTTAAAGGAAATGGTAAGAGAAAACATTCTGGAGAAGACTCTAAATGCTACCAGTGAGAAACTTAACTCAATTTATTTTCATACTACAAATGCTGAAAAAAGTGATTGTGACCAGACTGATTTCATAAAAGATGGGGAAGAGTCTCCTCATCAAAATAAGCATTTGCCATCTGATTTAGAAAGTGTTCTGCACAAGGATAGATGTTCACATACAGAGACTCCTACAATTTCAATTAAGAAAGATATGGGCACTGAATCTTCGATGCCCACTAATGATGGCGGAATCAACTCCACTAATAATCTTTGGTCATCTAATAGTGGAAGGATAACCTGTGAATATCATGAGTCAATTGAAAAGAGTAAGTGAATTATTTGCTCTTCTTAGATAAAAATAAAGAAATATAAAACATGGTTACACATTTTGAATAGGTTGTTTCCACATGGAGCTTGTCATTATTTCATATAAATACTTAAATGTTTTATAGGTTTTAAAGATTTTTTTAGTTATATACTGTTAATACAGGATTTTTGCTCAGAAATAGTACCTTTAAGCAAGTAAGTGTATCATTTGTGTTTTTTTGTTTTTTTTTGTTTGGCAATACTGGAGATTGAACTGAGGGCCTCACAGGTGGTAGGTAGGCACTCTACCACTTAAGCCACCCCTCCAGCATAGTTTCTTTGTGTTTTTGTGAAGTTGGGGTCTGCTCAAGACTAGAACCCTATATCTTGAGCCACAACTCTACTTCTGGCTTCTTTGTGGTTAATTTGAGGTAAGAGTCTCTTGAACTTTTCTACCTGGACTGGCTTTGAGTCATGATCCTCAGATGTCAGTCTCCTGAGTAGCTAGGATTATAGGCATGAGCCACCAGTACCTACCTGTATTTCCCTTTTTCTGTCTAGTTTTGGAGAGTCTTACGTACTATTGATAGCTAAAGTAGTCACAAAAAATTTATTTGGAAATGTATAACTTTAATTACTACATATGTCATTGGATGTTTTTGGAATTTAATTTTTAGAAAGAGATCTTTCAGAAAATGTAGTCTATCAAAATGAAGAGGGCAAATGGGTCACTGACCTTGCCTATTATACATCTTTTGATAACAAACAAGATGTACAGATGTCTCCAAATAATGGGATAAATGAAGATTTCAGATCTGGTTGTAAGTATTTAGATAATCACTGTTTTTTTGTTGTTGTTTTTATTTTTTTGTTTTGTTTTTGGTGCCACTATCAGGGTTTGAATTCAGGGCCTCATGTTGTAGCTCAGCTTTTTCCCTCATGTCTGGCATGATTTTATTTTTCTGTTACTTTTCTTCCATCATTTCTACCACTTTTCTTCACTTTTGCTCTAGAATGGACTTTGGTAACTGCACCGTTCATTATGCTCAGGAGAGAATTTTAAAATAAAACAAGGAAAGCTTTTAAAGCCCTTTACAATCTTGCAAGAACATGGGTCTTAAAAGGAATCAAAGGAATGCTGTTGTGACTTACTGTCTTTGCTTAAGGAAACAATTATAACTGATAGACCCAAGCCTTTTTTTCCTATATAAGATAGTGAATAGCTTTCAGAATATGATTATATTCCAGAAAGAAAATTTAATGTGGCTGGACAAAACAAACAATATCACAATCTCAGAAAGATAGCAATCTCAGAATATCATCACAAACAAATTAGTACAATGCAAGTGGTTATCTTGCTGGGTGCCAGTCTTCTAGCAACTAAGGATTGCGGTTTAAAGCTAGCCTGGGTAGAAAAGTCTATGAGATTTTATGTCCAAAATAACTTGTGTGAAGTAATAGGGCTAGCGGTGTAGCTCAAATGACAGAATACCATCTAAGCAGTAAACAAACAAATAATATCTTTACCATTGTATTAATTGAAGAAAAACTAAAAGCATTTCTCCTAAATTTATAAAGTGCTTGAAATTTTAGCCAGACCAAGAAGGCAAGAAATTAAAGGAATACAAATAGGAAAGGAAGATATCACATTATCCCTGCTTATAAATGACAGAATCATTTATAAGCAAATACTTGACCAGAAAACTCTTAGATGTAATAAAATGTATTGCACAAAGAAGCAGGATACAAAATTAATATACAAAAATTATTAGCTTGGTCTGGGAAGGTGGCTCAGTGGTAGAGTGCTTGCCTTGCAATGCATGAGGCCCTGGGTTTGATTCCCCAGCACCACATAAGCAAAAAGAAAAAAGCCGGAAGTGGCGCTGTGGCTCAAGTGGTAGAATGCTAGCCTTGAGTTGAAGAGCTGAGGGAGGGACAGCGCCCAGGCCCAGAGTTCAGGCCCCATGACCGGACCCAAAAAAAAAAAAAAAAAAATTATTAGCTTTTCTATATACCAATGATGAACATGCTGAGAAATGAGAAATGCAGATCCATTCATAATATCCTCAAAAGAAATTAAGTACTTAGGAATAAATAAGCCTGACCTGGGAGGTGAAAGATCTTTACAATGAAAGCTATAAAATACTGAAGAAAAAAAATAAGAAGGAGCCAGACACTGGTTGCTCATACCTGTAATCCTAGCTATGAGGCCTGAAGATTGTGGTTCAAAGCCAGACCGGGCAGGAAAGTCCAATAAACTACTCAGGAAAAGCCAGAAGTGGTGCTGCGGCTCACCTGGTAGAGCTCTAGCCTTGATCAAAAGAAGCTCAAGCACAGTGCCCAGGCCTAGAGTTCAAGCCCAAGACCAGCAAAAAAAAAGAAAAGAAAAGAAAAAGAAATTAAGATATTAGAAGATGGAAAGACATCCCAGGGATGTTCATCAATCAGCTGAATTTAATATTGTGAGAATGAGTATATTACCAAAAGTGAACTGTAGATTCAATGTAATCCCCATCAAAATTCTAGTGACATTATTCACAGAAATAGAAAAACATCCTAAAGTTTACATGGAAGCACAAAAATCCCAAATAACCAAAGAAATCCTGACTAAAAAGAGCAATGCTGGAGGTATCACAGTTCTTGACTACAGAGCTATATTTAAAACTGCATAGTATTCACACCAAAACAGACGCTTAGATCAATGCAATAGAAGAGAAGACCCAGAGGAAAACCCATGCAGCCCATCTGATTTTCAACAAGTCTCTAAAGCATACATTGGAGTAAAGGCTGCTTCTTAAACAAATGGTATTGGGAAAACTGGATATCCATATGAAGAAGACTGAAACTAAATGTCTCTATTTCACACTGTTCAATAATAAATTTAAAACATAAAATTTAACTACTTTGATAGTTTATTGGAGATAAGAATCTCATGGGCTTTATTACTGCCCAGGGGCTGGCTTCAAATTGTGATTTTCAGATCTCAGACTCCTGAGTAGCTAGGATTATAGCTGTGAATTACTGGTTCCCAGCTGGTTAATCTTTTACAAATAAAAAACTTAGTTGTAAAGCCTTTTGGCAAATTGTGGCTTATTGTCAAGTGATGTAATCAATCATAGTAGCATGTTCATTAGCAAAAATTTGACAATCATAATCACAGAAAACATTCTTTTTGTATTTTTTTTAGGTAAAGCCTTTGAATTTTTTTTTCGGTCGGTCGTGGGGCTTGAACTCTGGGACTGAGTGCTGTCTCTCAGCTCTTCAGTCAAGGCCAGTGCTCTACCACTTGAGCTTCAGAGCCACTTCCGGTTTTCTGATGGTTTATTGGAGATAAGAGTTTATGGACTTTTCTTGCTGGGCTGGCTTTGAACCTTGATCCTCAGATCTCAGCCTCTTGAGTAGCTAGGATTATAGGCATGAGCCACCTGCGCCTGACTAAGCCTTTTAATTTTAATTTTATTTATTTATTTATTTTTTGTTGGTTGTGGGTCTTGAACTCTGAGTCTGGATGCTGTCCTCAACTCTTCAGCTCAAAGCAAGTGCTCTCCCACTTGAGCCACAGCACCACTTCTGGTTTTCTGGTGGTTAATTGGGGATAAGAGTCTCACAGACTTTCCTGCCCGGCAGGCTTTGAACCGAGATCCTCAGATCTCAGCCTCCTGAGTAGCTAGGATTACAGGCATGAGCCACTGATGTCTGGCTTTTTTTTTTTTTTTGGGGGGCGGGGGGTCCAGTCATGGGGCCTGAACTCTGGGCCTGGGCGCTGTCCCTCAGCTCTTCAGCTCAAGGCTAGCACTCTACCACTGAGCCACCTTCCCAGCCCCTGATGTCTGGTTTTTATTTTAATATTTTCTTTAGTTATTCAAATTAATTGCCATTCAACAAAGCGGTTTACGAATACTGTGCATCTTGATTACTTGTTACACCTTTTGTTATTCTCCCCTTCCTAACCCAATCCCTTCCCTCAGTTTTCTTCATTTTGCAGGATATGCATTGCCTGTTATGATTGTGTTCTCTTCCCTTCCTCTCTTTACTTGATAGAAATTTCTGCAGATACATAAGCCATGTGAATCAAAGTTTCACATACTTTGAAAAAACTGCTTTCCATGATATTTTGTTTTCCTAACTTGTATATACGTGTTTGTTTAATGTGATATGTAAACTTAAATTCTTATTTCTTTTAAGCTGAAGCATTGGATTTGATTGCACGAGATGAAGAAGAATTTAATAAAGAGCATCAGTTTGTACAGGTTTGTAACATTTACTCTAAAGTTCAAAAGTTTTTGTTTATTAATTTAAATATAGGCAAAATGTTTATTTCTTTCCAAATAATATCTTTTTTTTGTTTTTGTTTTTGTTAAGACAACTTCTTTTTTCTTTATTATGCTAGTCTTAAGGCTTTAGGGCCTGGGTACTGTCCTTGACTCTTTTACTTAAGGTTAGTGCTCTACTAAGTGAGCCATAGCTCCACTTTTGGCCTTTTGGTAGTTATTTGGAGATAAGAGGCTGATGGACCTTCCTGCCCAGTCTGGCTTTAAACCATGATCCTCAGATCTCAGCTTCCTGTGTAACTAGGATTACAGTTGTGAAGCTACTGTGCCCAGCTATGGTTAAGACAGCTTCTGCTTTATTCTTCTATATTATTGAAGATGGTATATATATGTATATATATATACACACATACATATATACATATATATGTATGTGTGTATATATATACATATATATATACATATATATATATATATATATGTATATATATATATATATATATGAGAAGCTGGGTGCTGCTGCTTCTGCCTCTTCTCCTTCTCCTTCCCTTTTCTTCTTCCCCTTCCCCTTTCTTCTTCTCCTTCTTACATGATGAGAAGCTGGGTGCTACTGCTGCTTCTTCTGCTTCTTCTCCTCCTTCTCTTTCCCCTTCCCCTACTTCCCCTTCCCCTTTCTTCTTCTTCTTCTTTTGCCAGTCCTGGGGCTTTGAACTCAGGACCTGGGCACTGTCTCTGAGCTTCTTTTGCTCAAGGCTAGCACTCTACCACTTGAGCCATAGCTCCACCTCTGGCCTTTTCTGTTTATGTGGTACTGAGGAATCGAACCCGGTGCTTCATGCATGCTAGGTAAGCACTCTACCACTAAGCTACATTCCCAGCCCCTGAGTACTTCTTTTTAAGAGACAGCATCTTGATTTTTACTTGGGCTCATCTCAACTGTGATCCACCTATTTACACTTCTTATTGTTGCTGGAATGACATATGTGCCCCACTGTTCCAGCTATTTGTTGGGATGAGTTCTTATAAACCTATGAGCTGGCTTTGAAATACAATCTTCCTGATCTTCACTTCTTTAGTAGCTAGGATTACAGGTGTGAGACATCAGCATCTGGACAAGATATATCTGCATATCTACATCTCTCTCTCTCTATCTATATTTGATTTACCTAAAATTGCTTTAAAAGCATGTATAGCTATTTTTGTATTCTTTAAAAACTATTTTTTTTTTTTTTTTGGGTCTGGTCGTGGGGCCTGGGTACTGTCCCTCAGCTCTTCAGCTCAAGGCTAGCGCTCTTACCACTTGAGCCACAGCACCACTTCCGGCTTTTTTGTTTTTGCTTATGTGGTGCTGAGGAATCGAACCCAGGGCCTCAGGCATGCAAGGCAAGTGCTCTACCACTGAGCCACCTTCCCAGCCCCTAAAACATATTTTTAAAAGAAGTAATCCTGTTTGATTTTAGTGGAGATATAAGCTTTCTAAAGGTTCTGATTTGAGATGGTGTTGTATATGTTGACTATGCTTATTGTAATGTAAGTATTTAAATACGATTTTTTTTTCTTTCTTTCTTTCTTTTTTTTTTTTTTTTTTTTTTTTGGGTCCTGGGTCCGGTCGTGGAGCCTGAACTCTGGACCTGGGCGCTGTCCCTCAGCTCTTCAGCTCAAGGCTAGTGCTCTACCACTTGAACCACAGCGCCACTTCCGGCTTTTTTTTTCTTTTTGGCTTATGTGGTGCTGAGGAATTGAACCCAGGGCCTCATGGATGCAAGGCAAGCGCTCTACCACTGAGCCACCTTCCCTGCCCAATATGAGTTTTTTAATGAATGCCATTAACTGCTTATTCTGAATTTGTCCAGATGTTTGGATAATGTTTTAAAAATGTGAAAATTGAAATTTAATGAACTTGAAAGTTGTTTTTAGTTTCTTATATTAGGATACTCAAAGACAAGTTGTTAGAGTAAAAAAATTTTTTTCTTCTTAGGCAGAAAACATAGATGTTCAGAACATTTCAGCTACATTTGGGGATTCATCCTGGGTAGCTACAATTAATTTTAATCTGTTGAAGAAATCACATAATACATCAGAATTTGACCCAGATGATGCCAGTTATTTACGTCTATCATTAGGAGAGTTCTTTGCTGAAAGATCTGAAGCTCTTGGTTGCCTTGGTGGTGGTAATAGTGAGAAAAGAGTAAGTATGGAATTTGCTGGAATTGATGACAATTACTGATATATTTTTTGTTGCTATAGCAAAATATACAAGATATGAAGCAAAGTTTGTTTTTTTTCCTTCACAGTTCTGGAGGTGGTAAGTGCAGGACTTGGTGACCACATCTCATCAGTGTCTGCTGAGGGCCTGTTCTGTAATGGCCTCTAATGTAGCTACTCTGATTAGAGAAGTAGGTGCAGGTAGTTTGGGCATATGGGTGAGATAGAAAGGGAGCAAGAGAAAGCCGAAGGAGCCAAACTAAGTCTCCTATTACAACAAATCCACTCTTTAGAACCATATTAATCCCTTCAAGTGGCCCATGCCTCATAACCTTCTGAAAGGCTTCACTATCTTTTGATATTGTGAATATTGGGGATCAGATTTTAGCACTAGTTTTGGTGAGAACAAAAGATATTCAAACCATAATAATAGAATTTGTGCCAGGTGCTGGTGGCTCACACCTGTAATCCTAGCTACTCAGGAGTCTGAGATCTGAGGATCACAGTTCAAAGCCAGCCAGGCAGGAAAGTCCATGAGACTCCTATCTCCAATAAAGCACTAGAAAACCAGAAGTGGCGGTGTGGCTCAAGTGGTAGAGTGCTCGCCTTGAGCTGAAGAGCGCAGGAACAGTGCCTAGGCCCAGAGTTCAAGCTCCACGACCGACCAAAAAAAAAAAAATTGTATTTTGAGGGCTGGGAAGGTGGCTTAGTGGTAGAGTGCTTGCCTTGCATGCATGAGGCCCTGGGTTCGATTCCTCAGTACCACATAAGCAGAAAAAGCTAGAAGTGGTGTTGTGGCTCAAGTGGTAGAGTGCTAGCCTTGAGCTGAAGAGCTGAGGGACAGTGCCCAGGCCCAGAGTTCAAGCCCCACGACCAACCAAAAAAAGAATTTGGATTTTGAATGTTTCGATGGTATACCTAGAGCATAGTAATTGTAGAGAAGGAATGGGGCATGATAGCCTAGTACTTTTATGGTTAGACATGATTCAGGTTCTAAGTCTTAACTAGTTCTATAATTTTGAATCATTTATTTAATTATCTGGGCCTTGTTTTTCCCATTTCTAAAATGGGATGCTGTTTCTTTCATGCATTTGTTTCTAACACATTTTTTTTTGTCTTTTTTGGTACTGGGGATCGAACCCAGGACGTTGCCCTTGCTAGGCAAGCGCTTTGCCACTGAGCTACTTCCCAGCCCTGGGATGCTGTTTCTGATGATGTTTTAAGAATTAAATGTGAGGATGCATGTGAAGTATTTAGCACTAAATATGTTGAAACTGTTTGTTGCTATTGTATTGGTGGGAAAAATTCTAAAAGTCATTTTTTCTCCATCCTAAAAGATGTTTTGAAATGCAGGAGGGTTTTGATTTAATAAAATTTAATAATACATAGGAAAAATTATTCATGTAGTGAGTGGTAAGTACTTCAAAGAATAAGTGAGAAGATATTTTCACTTTGCAGTTAAGAATAATGTCTGAGGGCTGAGATATAGCTCAATGGCAAAGCACTTGCCTAACAAGTACAATGTCCTGGGTCTGATCCCCAGTACCAAAAAAATAAAAGAAAAAATACAGTTAAAAAAAAAAAAGAATGATGTCTAAGGGATGACATTAAACTGGCATTTACATGGCATAAAATAGGCAGTTGCTCAAAGATCTAGAGAAGCAGTATTCCCAACCAAGGAAGACAATGTGTATGAGGCCCAGAGTTTAGAATGAGGCCTAATGCATTGAAGGCAGACAGAGCTAATGTGAGTGGACATGAATTAGAATGGTCTACTGAAGGCACATAACTAATAGGGGGAGCAGGGACTAGAGTAGTTCACTGAAGGCATGTAGAACTAACGTGAGGGGCTATAGTAGAGGTAGAGGGCAGAGTGGAATAATATTGTATGATTACTTACAAGGACCTGATTATGAGAGCTCCTTGTAGGAGTTGGGTTGTACTCAGAAGGTTCCCAGGTTCATCTACAGTAGTAACAGGATGCCACTATCTTTATGAGGGCAGGGTGGAGAAAGGTAAAGTAGAGGAGAAATAGAAGCAGGAATACACTTAATAGAAGGGAAGAGAGGTGGTGAAAACTAGGGATTATGATGATCAAAAGTAGAAGTATTCAAGATTTATCCTGAGGATTTGCTGGCAAATTCTATATGGGGAATTAGGGATATTGGACAGGGTATTTCTTAAAGTTGAAGTCAAGAAGAATAACTTTATTTACTGTTACTATGACAAAAAATGGCTAAGATCAACTTGAGAGGAAAGAGGATTTATTTTGGCTTATGATTTCAGCAGTATCAGTCTGGAGGCTTAGGCCTATTGCTTTGGGCAACATTACTGTGACAGCATAGTAGTATGTTGACAACACAGTAGTACGTATGTCATGGTAGGAACACATTGTAAAAGAATCTGTTCAGCTTGGGATAGCCAGGAAGCAAGACTTGGGAAGGGGCAAGAGTCCCAATGACTTAATTTCCCACCTGGCTCCATTTCTACCCCAATTCTACCACCTCCTAGTAGTAACATAGATTGGGGACTTAGTTCATGGATCTTTAGGGAACACTTCAGATGTTTACTATGGCAGTGTATAATTTCAAAGTAATAGATGTAGTACTAGAAATCACAGTTAATATAACAAGTTTGGAACTGTAAAAAAAAAATACTTCAGAGGTAGAATGTTCTGCCTAGATTAATTTGAGATTCTGAGGGAAGTAACTGAATTTCTGCTGTATCCTTTTTTTTCCCCTTCCCTTTTTGGTCAGTACTAGGGCTTGAACTTGGGATTTTTTGCTCTTGCTTGAGACAAGCTAGCTTGCTCATGGCCTATGCTCTACCACCTGAGCCATGCCTTCCCTTTTTGGTGGTTAATTGGAGTCTCACAGCCTTTTATCTGGGTGGCACTGAACTGCAATCCTCTAGATTTCAGATTCCTGAGTAGCTAGAATCACATTACAGGTGAAATCTTTTTTATAGACTTTTCCCTTCCCTCCCCTCCCCTTTCCCTCCCTGCCTTCCCTCCCCTCCCTTTTCTCTTCCTTTCCCCTCTCTCCCTTTCCCTCTCCCTCTCCCCCTCTTTCCTTCTCTCCCTCTCCTTCTCCCTCTCCTTTTTTTCTGACTTTTTTTTTTTTTTTGGGAGGGGGGTCAGGTACCAGTCTGGAGCTTGAACTTGGAGCCTGGGTGCTGTCCCTGAGTTGTCTTTTTTTTTTTTTTGTTCAAGGCTAGTGTTCTACCACTTAAGCCACAGCTGCACTTTTGGCTTTTTTGGTAGTTACATGGAGATAAGAGTGTCATGGACTTTTCTGCTCAGGTTGGCTTTGAACTGCAGTTGTCAGATCTCACCCTCCTGAGTAGCTAGAATTACAGGTGTGAGCTGAAGGCACTTGGTTTTTAATTTTATTTTTCCTTTTGGGAGATATGTTCTTGGTATGTAGTCTAGGCTGACCTTAAATGTGATCCTGAACCTTCTTTTTTAAAAATAAAATTAAGGGGCTGGGAAGGTGGCTCAATGGTAGAGCGCATGCCTTGCATGCCAGAGGCCCTGGGTTCGATTCTTCAGCACCACATAAGCAAAAAGAAAAAAGCTAGAAGTGGTAGGCTCAAGTGGTAGAGCGCTAGCCTTGAGCTGAAGAGCTGAGGGACAGTGCCCAGGCCCAGAGTTCAGGCCCCACGACCAGACCCAAAAAAACAAACAAACAAATAAAAATAAAATTAAATATATATTTTTATTATAAAGATACTGTACAGAGTGGTTACAGTTACATGAGCAAAGTAATGAGTCATTTTCCTATCAAGCATTGTTATTTCCCTTTCCTCCCCACCTTCCCCCCCCCCCCCCCCCCCCCCGCCCTCCCATAGTGTCTTGTACATCTCATTGTTACAATGGGTCATCCTGTATCCTTATTTCAGCATTTTGTTATTTCCCTTCCACTCCCCACATTAGAAAAATGCAGGACACCAGAATCAAATACAGTGAGAAAACAGGTGTTGTACCATGGGGGAAGAACATACAAAGAAACAACAAAAAAAAATCACATAGTACATTATAAGTACATTAAAAAGAACAGGAAAGATAAAATCTCTGTGTCCCTATCTTGAGGTTCATTTTGTTTAGTATCAGGTTATGTGATTTATGTGATCATATGTACATAGCTTTTGACCTCTTCTGCTTGTCTTAGATATATACTAGTTATTGCAGATAAGGAAAACCATGGAACCTATGTTTCTTTGAGTCTGGCTTACTTCACTTAATATAATTTTTTCCAAATGGGAAATGTCCCATTTAACAAATGGGACAGTATCATTCTTTCTGATGGAGGCATAGAATTCCATTGTGTATATATATACCACATTTTCTTGATCCAGTCATCTACTGATCTTCAACCTTCTGAGTATAGTTGTGTCTGAATTCTTTCTTACATACATGAACAAAGCACGTTATTCAGAATTTTTGACAATTATAAAATTTTATACTTCGAATGATTGCATCAAGGAAATTCTCAGTGAAGATTAATAAAAATTTAAGTGCACTTAGTTAATTCATACTTTGTGTCTATCATGAGAAGGTAGTGAAAACAAGTAAGAATTCCATATTCTGTTTGATTGTAGAACTTTCTGAAGTCAGTAGGAACACATCTAATCTTTACATATATTTTCTCAGATGTGTTTATTCTAGAATAAATAATATAGAATAAATACTACTATATTCTGTACTGTCAGTTCCCTGAAGTAGGGACTTTTTATCTTTTTTTCTCATTAAAATATTAGTAATAAATGGAGCAATACCTAATATATAGTGAATGTTTAAGAACAATTATTGGGAAATAAAGTGTCACCTCTGTGTTTTCCTTTTGTGGTCATATGCGGTTTAAACTCTGGGCCTTACTCCCAATCCTTTCTTGGTTTGTTTGACGAGTTTTTGCCCAGGGCTGTCCTCAGATTGCTAGTCTCCTAATCTTCACAGCTGTAACTGGGATAACAGTCAGGTACCACCATGCCCGGCATTGTATTGTTTTAGTTCAGATTTCTTGGTAAGACTAACTTATTTGACAGAGGTAATTCTAATGATTAAATGATAGTTAATGTTAGGGAAGGAAATGGCTGCATTAATTTAAGGCTAAGTGGAAAGAACAGTCTTGTTGAAGTAATTTTTCTTTGTTACCATTATTAGATAAAGTAATCTATAATTTCCCAAAGCTTTTGAACATTAGGTAACATTAATTCATGTTTAATTATTTTGTAGCCATCGTTTGGTTATTTTATTAGATCACCAGAGGAGAGAGAACCTGTTGCTTTAATACAAAAATCTGATGTGTCAAGAGATAATTGGGAGGAAGAAATAGCTCATCCTAACCCGGATCAATTTTCAGGTAATTAAATGAAAAGATTTTTAGGATCTTTTTTTAGGAACAGTATTGGGGTTTGAACTCAGGGTTTTACACTTGCTATATGGATGGTCTTCAACTTAAAACTATTCCTTCAGCCTTTTTTGTGCTGGTTATTTTTGGCATAGAATCTCATACCTGGTTCTAGATCTTTTTATATATATCTATATATATATATAATTTATTTATTTAATTTTTGTTGGTCATTGGGTTGAACTCTGGGACTGGGCGCTGTCCCTCAGTTCTTCAGTTCAAGGCCAGCACTTTACCACTTGAAACACAGTGCCAGTTTCAGTTTTTTGGTGGTTAATTGGAGATAAGAGACTTACAGACTTTCCTGCCTGGGCTGGCTTTGAACCCCAATCCTCAGATCTCAGCTTCCTAAGTAGCTAGGATTATAGGCGTGAGCCACCAGCACCTGGCTACTAGATCCTTTTAGTTGTACTTTCTCACATATTTTGGCTGACAGAGATGTGCCTAGACATTGACTGAGATGGAGTCTGACCTTCATAAACTTTTGCTTTCGCTGGCTTCAAACCATGATGCTGTGGTCTTTTTCTCATTAAGAACTAGGATTACAGGATTGACCCATTGTGCCCAGCTTTTTTTTTAAATGTGTAATGTAATTATTTTTGTGATAATGTTCTTTATGGATTACAATGTACAGATTATGATTTTTCAATTTTGATTTTTACATAATTTCACATTTCCTTTTTAATCAAAAGTTGAAGCAATCAGCTAAAATTTACCAAATTCTTTTGCAGAATACTAGTGTAAACCAGGTGCAGTGATGATCTCTTGTTACCCCAGCTACTTGGGAGGTGGAGGTAGGAAGATTTCAAGTACAAGGCTTGCCCAGACAAAATTACTGGGACCTTGTCTCAAAAGCATAGGGAAAGGGCTGGGAAGGTGGCTAAGTGGTAGAGTGCTTTGCCTTGCATGCATGAGGCCCTGGGTTCGATTCTTTAGCACCACATAAGCAGAAAAAGCGGGAAATGGTGCTGTGGCTCAAGTGGTGGAGTGCTAGCTTTGAGCAGAAGAGGTGTGGGACAACACCCAGGCCCAGGGTTCAGGCCCCATAACCGGCAAAAAAAAAAAGCAGAGGGGATAAAAACAAACAAAAAGGGTTAGAGGCATACATCAAGTAGTTGAGCATTTGCCTAGCAAGCCAGAGGACTTGGATTCAATTCTCAGTTCTGCAAAACAACAACAAAAAACTACTACCAAAAAAACCCCTCAAATGGACTAGTTAACTATAAGTATTGAGCCACTTCTTTTTGCTAATACAGGTATCATGTGAAGTTGTGTAAGATATATTCCTTTTTTTTTTTTTTGTCCAAGGCAAGTGCTCTACCACTTGAGCCACATCTCCACTTCCGGTTTTCTGGTGGCTTATTGGAGATAAGAGTCTCATGGACTTTCCTGCCCCGGCTGGCTTTGAACCAAGATCCTCAGATCTCAGCCTCCTGAGTAGCTAGGATTATAGGTGTGAGCCACTGGTGCCCAGCTTTGTATTCCATTTCTTAATGAAGAATTGGGATAGAGTCTCTAGATACGTATAGTTAGTTCATTTTCTACTCTATGGAAGTATACACTTTTGGAACTAAAGGCTTATTTCAAGTGGTAAGAGTGCCAGCTGTGAATGGAAAAGCTGAGGGGAGAGCACAAGCCCCTGAATTCAAGACCCAGTACCAGTATATATATATATATATATACACACACAAATATAAGTATATACTTTTTAATGTGAAATTTTGAAACTGAAAAATATTAAATCAGTTAATGAGAATGCTTTCAAGGGAGAGATTAAAATCCACAATAGTCCATCAGATTTCTTCTTTGTCCAAGTGGCTATACACTTAAATAATCTTAGGACAACTGGTGCTTGGGGTATTAAGATTCTTCCTTGACAGTTAATTATGTATATATATATATATATATATATATATATATCCATATATATATATGCACACACATGTATATATACATATCTATGTATATATCAAAAACAAAACAAATACAATTTCTGACGAACTAAACAAATTCTAACTTTTTTTTGGGGGGGGGGGGGTCCGCTCATGGGGCCTGAACTCTGGGCCGGGGTGCTGTCCCTCAGCTCTTCAGCTCAAGGCTAGCGCTCTACCACTTGAGCCACAGCGCCACTTCTGGCTTTTTTCTTTTTGCTTATGTGATGCTGAGGAATCGAACCCAGGGCCTCAGGCATGCAAGGCAAGCGCTCTACCACTGAGCTACCTTCCCCGCCCCATGGGCCTGGTTCTTGAACTCAGGGCCTACCACTGGTACCCAGCTCTGTTTTGATTACTCTTTATTTAGAATTGTTGCCAAGAGATAGTATAAACTTGTAAGTTGAATGTTTTTTTTTTCTTGTAGAAGATGTAAATGAAACATCCCAGGCACAGCTAAGTGAAGGATCAGTCACACTACAGGCAGAAACACTGGAGAGTATTTCACAAGTGGATGAACATGATGTGACATTAACTGCCAATAAAGTCAAAACAGAGGTAGTTTAAGCCTTTCTTAAAGGAAGTCTAAGATTATCTTGTTATAGTTTCTGAGTAAGACAATATCATTTGTGAAAAATATATGCCATTGCATTTGTTTTATTTCCCTGGTTTCAATTTTCTTATAAGTTTCCTTTTAATGAAAAGAAAAATCCATTTCACTAATTTTGATATACCCACAAAGGAGTTTATAAAATACATCTAGTGAATGAATTATCACCATTTGTATACCCATATACAAGAAAGATTGCCCAGATACAAATACACAAGCCACTCATTGTCTCTTCTTATGGGATGTCCTGCTCTATTTCTATGGTCTACCAGCAAGAAAGCCATCACCAGATGTATCTTGCATCTTTAGGGCTGTGGGGGGGCAAACGAATATTTCCAATAGTTAAGAAACGATATTTTTCTTCCTCCTCAACAGGATTGCATGACATCTAATATTGTTAGAAGATCTAAAGATTGCCTGTTCCTAAACATTTTTCTCTGCCTATTTTTCTCTTGTACTGTTTTTCCTTACTAATAGCTAGAGCCCTTTTATATAAATATGGCAAATAATTTTTCCCTGTTTGTCACGGTTTTTGACTATGGCTTTTCCTCCAGGAGAAATTTAATCTATTCATGTAGGTCAACTCCCATGTTTTAGGTGATAGCAAGATTTTGAATGCAATGCTTAATGCTTGCTAGGCATATCCTCTGCCATTGGGCTATGCCTTTAACTCTTTGATTTTGCTATTTTTCAGGTAGGAACTTTCAGTTATGTCTAGACTGACTTGTACATCAATACACCTATTTATGCTTCCCAGAGAGCTGAGATGGCAGGAGTATATGGAGCCCAGTAATTTTGCTGGTTGAGATGGGTCTTTTGAGTTTTTTGCCTGGGCTGGCCTCAAGCCACAATCCTCCTGATCTCTGCCTTCTTCCTGAGTAGTTAAGAGTTATAGGGATGAGCCATTGTGCCCATCCTGTTTTTGAATATGCATATAAAAAAGAAACCATATAGCATATATTCCTGCTTTACTTTATTTATTTTCACTTTTTTTTTTTTTTACTTTTGCTTTGCTTGTTACATGAGAAAAACAAGTTCATTTTTCTTACTTTGTTTTAGTCTATTTTATGAATTTACAGACATTTTCCTGTTGGTAGACAGTTGGGATAGTTGGTATGTTAGAAAACTAGTTGTAGTTATTGTGTTAACAATACTATTATGTATTTTAATTTATAAATGGGCTTTAGTATATGCATAAATGTTTCTAGGAAAAGCAATATTTATACAGTTGGGTGTCATCATTCATGGTATCAGGCAATCACTGGGTCTTAGAACATTTCTGTGTGGATAAAATGGGCTTCTTTAAATAAAGACTAAATATATGTACTTATCTGTGAAAGTAGAATAAGTTTATCTGGTGTAAATTTTCTCATTTTAGGATACTTCCTTCAGTAGTGTCAAACACAAGGAATGCAATGACTCACTGCATAATGATGGTGATTCTGTACTTAGGATCAGCACCATTGCCTCAGCAATTGCAGATGTGTCAGTGAGTGCTGATCCTGCCCAGCTCGTTGTCATGATGAAGGCACTTAGAAATAAAACCAGAGACAAGACTTCTTACCAAGATGATAACCAGAAGGGCCATTCCACAGTGTCTCATCCCTTACCTAATGACTTAGAAAAAAATAATGGGTACACTGCATTTGATATGGAAAAATACCTTAAGAAGACAGAAGTTAGTAGGTCTGAAGGTGGATTGGAAGAGCCTTCAAGGGCTGGCACATCTGATATTTGGAATTTATCTTTACCAAAAGAACAAACTATTCAAGACATCCATATGGTTGACTCATGTGCTACTAATATAATTATAAGGGAACCAAAAGAAAAGATAGCAACTCTTTTTTGTGATGAAAATGGAGAACAGGACAATCAGGAGCCACTTGGAACCGAAGATTCTTCAGGCTCAGTTCTTAAAATTACAAGAATAGTTGATACAAAGACGTGTTTCATTGATAATAATAAATTGTCAGATATGCATAACAATGAGAAAGAAACTTCCTCAGTTTCTACTCCAACAACCAATAGCTACTCATCAGTAAGGAACCCCAGAATAACATCCCATTGCTTCTTACAAGAGTATGAAGAAATACGTGAAAATAGAGAAAATCAGAATCAAAAAGAGTGTGTTAGTGAAGCAAGCAGCAGTGACAAGCATGTGACTTTTGAAGAACAGTGCAATGTCCCATCTGAAAGTGATGGTAAGTATCTAAGTGATTGACTACATTCACAAAATCATGCTTTTTTTTTTTTTTTTGTTTTTTCTCTGTTCTTATTGGCAAATACGCTTTTCTGATAGGTTTGAAAAATACCTCTCCTGAGCATGCTGGGTCTGGCTTACAGGAGGATCCGGAGAGCTTCAGGCCTTCTACCTCATCACTCAGCCATTCTCCTAGTGAAATTTCTGGAACAAGTTTATCAAGGTATGTGCTTATCTTGGTTGTTTTTTGTTTTTTAAATAAAATATGTGCTCTGTTTAGAAAATTGGAAGTGTAAATTTCTCCTTTAGATTCCTTGCAAAGGTAAAAAATTAAAAAAATATTTTGTGAATTTTTTCTTTTTTTTTTCTTTTTGGGTCCGGTCATGGGGCCTGAACTCTGGGCCTGGGCGCTGTCCCTCAGCTCTTCAGCTCAAGGCTAGCACTCTACCACTTAAGCCACAGCGCCACTTCCGGCTTTTTTTCTTTTTGCTTATGTGGTGCTGAGGAATCGAACCCAGGGCCTCTGGCATGCAAGGCATGCACTCTACCACTGAGCCACCTTCCCAGCCCCTTTTGTGAATTTTTTCTGTGTAAACTTTTATGCTCTGCGATTTTCACTTATGATCATTCTCTGTCTACAAAAGGAATAATGTTGCCAGGGTTTATGCCAAGAATCCTAGCCACTCAGAAGGCTGAGATCTGAGGACGCAGTTTGAAGCCAGCCTAGGCACACAGATCTGAGACATTCTTGAGAGCTTGTTTGGAGTTCTAGCAGGGGATGGCAGCTACTCGTATACCCTTGACCGAAGACCAGTCCTCCTCTATCGGGGATGGTCGTCCTCTTCGACCAAGTGCGCAGCTTCGGGAGGGACGCACATGGAGCAGTGAGGGAGGAAGGGAACACCTTCCTAGCCAGCCAGATCAGCCGAATCAACCCTGGCGATCAATGGGGTGACGGATGTCGCAGCCAGATCGCCCTCACATCCCTTAGACATTCTTATCTACAATTAACCAGCAAAAAGCTGGAAGGGGAGAGTATGAGGCTTAAGTGAAGAAAAGCTGAGTGAGAATTGAGGCCCAAAGTTCGAGTCTCTACCTGCAAGTGAAGTGTGCCTGTGCGTGTGCACACACAAAGTATATAAATCGATTTGTTTCAAAATAGTGGATTTCAGTGTTTTTTATTAACTATTTTATAAGCTGTTATTAGAGTTTTGCACATTCATTTGAAATGTGATGCGGGTTAGTTAGAACTGAGTACCAATGGAGAGGTTTGTCTTCCATGTTTCAGTTACTCTTTTGTAGATGCCTCATTTTGAGAGTTTTTCATATACGACACTTACTTGACAGCCAATTTAATATTAAAAGCCATTTGGAGTCATTTAGCCCAACTAGATCTGAAGACCTTCTGGTGATGACATGTTATAGTATGCCTTAAAGCTTTGATTTTTATCTCTTAAATTTTTCGGAGGAGTTAGTTTACTATATGTGGAATGAGGGAGGAAAATCTAGGGTTAGCCAAATTGTTTGCTTTTCAACTGACTATCTTCTTTAAGGATTTTTTGCAAAGATGGCTCGTTTTATTGTCTCACAGCTCTATGTTGGCTCACACTGCCACACAGTGCACTGTACAGATTGAACCTTCTTTTGTTTAAGGAAAAACTTTTATCATTTCTGAAAATGTTTTTCCTGCTTTACTTCCTGCTGCCACTAGGAGTGAACTCCAGTGATGTGGATGTGGGATTCATTTTGATTTCTGTCTCATCCTCTAATGTTTTTTTTTTTTTGCCGGTTGTGGGGCTTGAACTCTAGGCCTGGGCCTCTTCAGCTGAAGGCTAGCGCTCTACCACTTGAGTCACAGCGCCGCTTCTGTTTTTCTGGTGGTTTCTTGGAGATAAGAGTCTCACGGAGTTTCTTGCCCAGGCTTGCTTTGAACCGTGATCCTCAGATTTCAGCCACCTGAGCAACAGATTACAGGTGTGAGCTACTGGAGCCCAGCTCACCCTCTAATTTTATTTTTTAAAGTTTCCTTAAATAATTTTGTCTACCACAGTTACTTCATAGGCTCTGTAGATATGCAGTTTGTAGTAAAATATATAATTTATTTCACACTTACTTACAGAGTCCTTATTACATCTAAGTGTCTTAGTCTATTTTGGCTGCTATAACAAAATACACAATAAAGTCATGGCTTATAAATAATAGACTTTATTTCTCCCAGTTCTGAAGCTTAGAAAGTCTAAGATCAAGGTGCTGGCAGATTTAGTGTCTGGTGAAGGCCTGAATCCTACCTAGTTTACCTTTTTACTGTGTTTTCACTTGGTAAAAGAGACCAGAGAGTACTCTAAGATCTCTGTTATATGGACACTCGTACCATCCACGAGAGTGCTGTCTTCATCTCTTAGAGGACCCACCTCCAAGTATCTTCACATTGGGCATTAAGATTCTACTTATGGATTTTGGATGGACACAAACATTCAAATGACGGCATTAAGGCATTGTTTCAGCACAGGAGAGACCACAGAAAATAAAATGACTAGAACAGAAAGTAGGGTGGGTCATTGGACCCTTCACTCCAACGAGAGCAGCCTGACTTCTGATCATCAAATAAGTAGATGGATATTCATCCATTAATGGATGGAAGTTTATCCATTTATTTGACTGTTTTGAGTCTACTCTCCTTAACCTTGAAATTTCTGAAATATCTCAAATGTGCAAAAATGAAGGGAACAATCACAATTTTGATTTTAAATGTCACCTAAAGGCTTGCATGCTTGAGGCTTGGTTACGAACCTGTAGCACTATATATAAGAGGTACTGTACTAGGAAATTTAAGAGGTAGAACATAGTGGAATCAGTTCAGATCAGGGAGGTATTCTTTTTTGTTTTTTGTTGGTCCTGGGGCTTGAACTCTGGGCCTGGGTGCGGTCCCTGAGCTCTTCAGCTCAAGGCTAGTGCTCTACTACTTGAGCCACAGTGCCACTTCCAGTTTTCTGAGTCTCATGGACTTTCTTGCCCAAGCTGGCTTTGAACTGTGATCCTCAGATCTCAGCCTCCTGAGTAGGTAGGATTACAGGTGTGAACCACTGGTGCCCTGCTTTGGGGAGGTATTCTTTTGAAAGAGATACTGAAATTTTATCCTTTATTCGTCTTTGACTTCTAGTTGCCATGAGGTAAGCAGCTTACTCTACTATGTTATCCTTACCATCATGTTCTCTGCCTTCTTGAGAGGTCTCAAGACAATGGATTGAATCATAAACTGAAACCTCTGAAACTGAGTCAAAATAAAGCTTGTCTTCTCCTGTTTATTCAACTTTGTCACAGTACAGGAAGCACGTAACCATGTACTGCCACTTACATTTGCTAAATATTAATAATGTAGTGTGTATATTTTAGCATCTTTGAAAATGAAATTGTTCCAAATGCAACTAGTGCATTGATCTTCAGGTTTGTTTTAACTACTCTAGACCTTTGCATTTTGTTTTGTAAATCATAGAATAACATTGTCCTTTGAATTTTAAAGCTAATCTCTAATTTTGAACATTTTTCTCAATTAATTTGACTTTGGTGAGTCCTGTCACCCTCTAATTTTTAAAGACACATTTTAATTTAAAAATATCGATTGGTTCCCACACACACAAAATTGCAGAAGGTATATACAGAGGGCCTAGAATCCTTCGCACCATTTCCTTCATTGATTACATCATGGATAATTACAGAGTAGAATTCAATGTCAGTTTATCACAGGTTCACAAAGCTTCTTGTTCAATCTTAACTACTGATGATCCAGTCATCACAGTCATTTAGCTTTGCATTTCACTTTTATCATCCTTATGATTTAGTGTTTTCTTCAGTGTATCTTTCCTCTTCTGTACATTTTGTTTCATTCTGTTGTCTTTGGTTTAGACTTTCAAAAACATTTGATAAAAACTAACTTTTTAAAAAAGCATTTAATAAAAACTAAATTACAACTTTTTTTTTTTGGTCGGTCGTGGGGCTTGAACTCTTGGCTTGGGCACTGTCCCTGTGTTCTTCAGCTCAAGGCAAGTGCTCTACCTCTTGAGCCACAGCACCACTTCCAGTTTTCTGGTGGTTTATTGGAGATAAAGATTTTCACAGACTTTCCTGCCCATGCTGGCTTTGAACCGTGATCTTCAGATCTCAGCCTCCTGAGTAGCTAGGATTACATGTGTGAGCCACTGGCGCCCGGCTAAATTACAACCTTTAACTTGTGATCTTGCAGAAAAATCTCCATGTTTACTAATATGTAGAGTATACTGTAGGGTAATACTGAACTTTCTCATGAACTTGACATGTGGTCAGAGATTTTGAATGAGGACATCATGTTATCTTTCTGAAATGGGTAACCTAGCTAAGCACCTGTACCTTCATCTCTCAGTCATGGGAAAAACTATGGGACTTAGTGTGAAAAAGGTCAAGTACACTAAATGAAAACTATTGGGGAATACAATAGGAAAGTGATCTTACATTGCTGACTTGCTTGGCATACATTCATGGAAGAATATATTGATGGTCTGTCTTGGAGCTATACCACTTTATATTTCTTTCTTTTTTTTTTTTTTTTTTGGGTCCGGTTGTGGGGCCTGAACTCTGGGCCTGGGTGCTGTCCCTCAGTTCTTCAGCTGAAGGCTAGCGCTCTACCACTTGAGCCACATCGCCACTTCTGGCTTTTTTCTTTTTATTTGGTGCTGAGGAATTGAACCCAGGGCCTCGAGCATGCAAGGCAAGCGCTCTACCACTGAGCCACCTTCCCAGCCCCACCACTTTACATTTCTATTAGCAATATTAGCAGCATTTCTTTGTTCTTATCTATATGATTCTCTTTTGTTTCTGCTCTGAGAGCAGGAATTTTTAATGTTTTTGTTAATTGCTATATTGGGTATTTAATAAATTTGTTGAATAATTAATATATGTGTCTGTATATAGTATTTATTAATGAAAGTGGGCAACATTTCTGTTTTATAGTAGCATACTATATAGGTCATTCAATGGAAATATAATTTATAATTTTAAATAATTAAATATAAACTGAGTTCATGGTTGAGTTATGTGCAGGCAAAAATGTTTCTTGGCTGGTATAAATTCTAACGTGAGGTACTTGATTCTTTTTCAGGTGTGCTTCCGAGTGTCTTGCTTCAATAGCTCATCATCAGAAGCTCTCTTCTGAGAGTGAGTTGTCTCAGTCGGTATGTTCCCATACTGATGATATGAGCAGGCTGACATATATGTCTGAACAGGAGAGTACCTGTCCAGCCACAACTGCTGACAGTTGCCCGGAGGACCACAAGGTGGGTGGCACTTTGTCTGATTCTTTTGTATGGCCTTGATTCCTTATATGTTAGTAATGTTTAACTTCTGAAGTTTGGGCTGGGGAGGTGGCTCAGTGGTAGAGTGCTTGCCTTGCATGCATGAGGCCCTGGGTTCAGTTCCTCAGCACCACATAAGCAGAAAAAGCCGGAAGTGGTGCTGTGGGCTCAAGTGATATAGGGCTAGCCTTGAGCTGAAGAGCTGAGAGACAGCGCCCAAGCCCAGAGTTCAGGCCCCACGAACAAAAAAACAACGACGGGCTGGGAAGGTGGCTCAGTGGTAGAGCACTTGCCTTGCATGCCTGAGGCCCTGGGTTCGATTCCTCAGCACCATATAAGCAAAAAGAAAAAAGCTGGAAGTAGCACTGTGGCTCAAGTGGTAGAGCATTAGCCTTGAGCTGAAGAGCTGAGGGACAGTGCCCAGGCCAAGAGTTCAGGACCTACGACCGGACCCAAAAACAACAACAACAACAAAACTTCTGAAGTTCTGGGCTATTTGCCTTCTGTATTACTGTTTACCTTTAACAAGAATTAGTATGCTGGGTGCATGTGACTCATACCTGTGGTTCAAAGGCAGCTGGGCAGAAAAATCCATGAGACTTATCTCTTAATAAACTACTCAGAAAAAGCTGGAAGTGGCTATGTGGTTCAAGTGGTAGAGTGTTAGCCTTGGGCACAAAGAAGCTCAGGGACAGTGCCTAGGCCCTGAGTTCAAGCCCCAGGACAGCAAAAAAAAAAAGAATTAGCATAGGTATATGTGCATTCATATTAACTAGTTATTTCTGTTGTGTTAGTAAGTGTTAGAGGTAGTTTACTGAACTGATTTCAGAAACTGTCTGCTGGAAGACACACTAATGCATGTATGCTCTGGGGATTCAGAAGAAGTTTCCTGAAAATAGATTTCAGGGCAAGGTGAATTGATTCAGCAAAAGTTTATGGGAGGAATGTCTGTGAAACCTTATTTTGCAGACCTGTTTGGAATTCAGCAGGGAGGAAGATGTGGAATTGTGATTTGGGCACTGCATTAGATAAACTCAAAGAAGTTTAGAATGGCTTTAGTGAATCTTATGTGTGGAGGAAGGGAAGTAAGGATAGAAAAGAGTGCAGGGTCTAATAATAGGGAATCTTAGATATAAAACTTGGGAGTTGAAGGGCTTTTATTTATTTTTTATTTTGAAGGGCTTTTATCTTTATTTATTTATTTTGGGGTCCAGTTGTGGGGCCTGAACTCTGGGCCTGGGAGCTTCCCTCAGCTCTTCAGCTCAAGGCTAGCGCTTTACCACTTGAGCCACAGTGCCACTTCTGGCTTTTTTCTTTTTTTTGCTTATGTGGTGCTGAGGAATCGAACCCAGGGCCTCATGCATGCAAGGCAAGGGCTCTCCCACTGAGCCACCTTCCCAGCCCCTTAAAGGGCTTTTAATAAAAGCTGGACACTGACATGACCTGTTTTAATATTTTTAAAGTTTATTCCATGACTAGACATAGTAGCTTACATCTGTAATCCAGCTATTTGGGAGGTGGAAAATGTGGGAGGATTGCAGTTTTAATTAAAAGAGTAAAAAATGAATATGGTGGTACTTGCTTGTAATCTCAGCTACTTGAGTAGTGTAGTAGTAGTATCAAAGTCCCAAGCTAGCCGAGGTCAAAAATGAGAGAACCTTATTAAAAAAAAAAACTAAAGCAAAAAAGAGCTAGGAGCATCATAGAGTGTCTTATCTAGTCAGCACAGGGCCTTTAAGTTCAAATCCTAGTTTTGCCAATAAACACTCCAGTAGATATGTAATAGGTTAAAATGAGTTAAATTAGAACCAAGGAGATTTGATATGAGGCCATTATCATTAAGACAAGAGATAGTGTGAGCTGGTACTAAAGTGGTAGCTTTTAAAAAAATTAATTGATTAATTATTTATTTATGTTAATTATCTTTAAGTAGTTGTACAAATAAGTTCCCATTCTATAAAACAATATATAAGTACAAAGTATCTGACAACATTGTTACTCATCTCTCCTAACCCATCCCTTCTCTCACTAAAGTGGTAGCTTTAGTGGGAGGAGATGAAGAGATTGGAAATATTTATCCAAGAGAAGCTGATATTTTCCTTGTATGGTCTGGTGTGAATGTAACAGTATTCAAGATGAGAGAGTGTGTGCATGTGTGCTTAAACTGAGCCTGGGTACTGTCCATGAATGTTTTTGCTCTAAGTTAGTGTTCTATCACTTTGAACCATAGTTTCATTTTTGGCCTTTTTGGTGGTTAATTGGAGATAAGAGTATCATGGACCTGCCCTGGCTGACTTTTAACCGTTGATCCTCAGATCTCAGACTCCTGAGTAGCTAGGATTGCAGGTAGCAACTTCATATCCAGTTGTTTTTGTTTTTTTTTTTTTTTTTTGCCAGTTCTGGGGCTTGAACTCAGGGACACTGACCTTGAGCTTTTTTGCTCAAGGCAAGTACTCTACCACTTGAGCCACAGCTCCACTTCTGGCTTTTCCTGTTCATGCATAACTGAGGAATCAAACCCAGGGCTTCGTGCATGCTAGGCGAGCACTCTACCACTAAGCCATGTTCCAAGCCCTTCATATCCAGTTTTAAAGAGTTGAATATGACTACTGTAGGTATGTTGAATATATCTCCACCAATCAGCTAAATACATACTGTACAGTTACTAAGTACATGATGTAGTGTTCAATATGGTATTCCATCCATTTCATTGGATGCCATTTTTTTTGGTGTTCCCGGTTATGTAGTCTATATATTCTTAGCCTACTGAGCTTAGTGATAGCCAGGCATGGTAGTACATATCTGTAGTCCCATCACTTAGGAGGATGAGGCAGGAGGACCATCCTGTCTCAACAATGAAAATAGCTGATCCAGAAAACTTTTCTTCTGTTACTTCTTCAGAACCTCCTTAAGAACCTTAAAACCTCCCTAAACCTATTTCTTCACCAACTAGACAGAATAATATGAGAAAAGTAGTGGTATTCACATAGTAATTCACCCTTGAAATACATATTACTTCTTAACAATAATTGACAATCTGATGTTTATCGGTAGTATTGTTTCTAAAACTTTGGTCCAAATTTTCTTTTCCAAGGTAAGTACTAGAAATAATCAATGAGAACTAAATTCTTGTGCATTTTAGCTAGTTATCCTACAGAGCTATAGCTGTCACCTGTCAGGTAATACATTATAAAGGAATGAGAATATTAGCATTCACTAAGACTATTACTTCATACTTAAGAGAAAACTACACACGTTTAGAAATTGGAAAATGCAAGCCAGATGTGATGGCTCATGCCTATAATCCCATGTACTTTGGAGTGTAGATCAAGAGGATCTTGATTTGAGGCCAGCCCAAGCAATAAGCTAGTGAGACCCCATCTCAGGCAGTGTGCATCTGTTCACTCCAGCCACATGGGAGCTATGTAGGTGTAGCAGTCCAGATACATGAGAGGCCAGAGGTAGGGAGATTATAGTCTGAGTCTGGTAAAAACAAGTGACTCCATAAAAAGTACAAAGCAGTAAAGTGCTGAGAGTGTGGCATAATTTGTAGAGCACTTGCTTAGCAAGTAACACCAAAAAGAAAAAAAAGTACAGACAGAATTAAGTATCTTCAAATCTTCCACACATATGACATAGATTAGACCCATAATGGGCAAGGGAAGACCTGGGAATGGCTTTGTGTTGACTCCAATTTGATTTCCATATTATTTGACAGCTTGCCACTGCCCTCATCCTTTGTTAAGTAATTGATGTTTTTTATTATAAAGTTTGCTGATGTAAAACTCTTAATTCACAGAAAAAAATAGGACTTTGCCTGTAATCCTAGCTACTCAGGAGGCTGAGATCTGAGGATCACAGTTCAAAGCCAGCTCGGCATGGCACAGAAGTCTGTGAGACTCATCTCTAATAAACTGCTCAGAAAACTGAAAGCGGCACTGTGGCTCAAGTGGTAGAGTGCTAGCCTGGAGCTGAAGAGCTGAGGGACACCACCCAGGCCCAGAGTTCAAGCCCCAGGACTGACAAAAAAAAAAAAAAAGACTTTACCCTGGTCCTTTGTATAAGCTTTTCAGATGTGACTGATGTATACTGCTTATTTATTTTCCCCTTTTTCTTGGTGCTGGTCCTAGGTCTTGACCTCAGGGCCTAGCTACTGTACCTGAGCTTTTTAGCTCAAGGCTGGTGGTCTGTCACTTGATCCACAGCTCCAATTCTGAAGTTTTGGTGGTTAATTGGAAATAAGAGTGTCATGGACTTTCCTTCTTGAAAAGTTTCAAGCAGCATCATCAGAGCTCAGCCACTTGAGTAGCTTGGATTATAGGTGTGAACATATAATTCTTTTTTTTGTTGGTTGTGGGGCTTGAACTCAGGGCCTGGGTGCTGTCACTGAGCTCTTGTACTCAAGGCTAGCACTTTACTAGTTTGAACCACAGCTCTACTTTCAGTTTTCTGGTGGTTAATTGGAGATGAGAGTTTCATGGACTTGGCTGCCTGGGTTGGCTTCAAACTGTCTCAGCCTCATGAGTAGCTAGGATTACAGGTGTGAGCCACCAGTGCCTGACTGTAATTCTTTTTTTTTTGTCGGTCATGGGGCTTGAACTCTGGGCTTGGACGCTGTCCTTGTGCTCTTCAGCTAAAGGCGAGGGCTCTACCGCTTGAGCCCCACAGCACCACTTCCGGTTTTCTAGTGGTTTATTGGAGATAAGAGTCTCACGAACTTTCCTGCCCGGGCTGGCTTTGAACCGGGATCCTCAGATCTCAGCCTCCTGAGTAGCTAGGATTACAGGCCTGAGCCATTGGCGCCCGGCTTGTAATTCTTTTTATAAAACATTGACTGTAGGCTGGGTGCAGGTAGCTCACGCCTGTAATCCTAGCTACTCAGGAGGCTGAGATCTGAGGATCGCGGTTCATAGCCAGCCAGGGCAGGAAAGTCTGCAAGACTCTTATCTCCAATAAATGACTCAGAAAACCGGAAGTGGCGCTGTGGCTCAAGTGGCAGAGCGCTTGCCTTGAGCTGAAGAGCTGAGGGATAGCACCCAAGCCCAGAGTTCAAGCCCCACGACTGACAAAAACAAAAAACATTGACTGTAGTTTTCTTAGGTAAGTCTGAATTTTATAGGTGTATATTTTAGTTATAGTTATATATTTAGTTATATATTTATATAAACCAACTCCTTTTAGAGGCAGGATGCATATATATCTCCTTATAGTACTTGAGATCATAAAAACACGGTTGAATTTATTATATTTAGTTTATATATCTGGGGATTATTTTTTACTTTGTCACACAGAGTGATATCACCAGTGAATTGAGCAGCACAATTACGCAAGCCGATCTAACTCTATCGGAGGAACAGGCTATTGGAAATCTTAGAGAAAAAGTACCAGTTCATAACAGAAGAAAAGGAATATTATCATGTATTGCTCAAAGCAAGTTTGATTTGGAAAAAGGAACTGAAACCACTTCTTTGAGTAGCAGACCTGAGGATGGAGAATCTTATTTTACATCGAGTCAGGATTCTTCCTCGAAAAGTAGAGAGCCTGTGGGAACCAGTGAGGAAGGTTTGACACCAAACCCCAGTGAACTAGACCTGATCAGTCTGACTCTGCTGAGCAAAGCAGATGTGGGCCTTCAGGCTGGATCAGCCTCATCACATCTTTCTGGGTCAAGCCAGAAGACTACAGAAGAAGGTCAGAGGATAACTTCTAAAGACCCTTCAACTGCCAGCAGTGATACCAGTGGCCAGATTCTTAATCAGAGCACTTTGGGAAACCAGCTCAACCTCCCTCCATGTCTTATGGGTCATGGCTCTGCTGTTGATATGCAAAACATGCCTGCTGTGCACCCTTCACTTTGGACCGGACATTCTGTGAGCACAGCTCCCTTGGCCCAGCAGTATTTGGGGACCTTCCCTTCAACTGCAAATGTTAACAGGCCTCCGTGCCATGCAGGTAGCACTTCAGTCTGTGGATTCTCTGGATATTCTTACCCTTCTGTTGCTGGAGAACATATGGCTATGGGGATATGTTTAGGACCAACTCTTGCTTCCGGATTGATGGGTCCCTCTTCCTTTTGTAACTCATGTTCTAATGCCTTACGTCAGAACCTGTTGAGTACAGCAAAACCTTTTTCAGTGCAATCTGTTGGTGCAAACTGTGGAATTGAACAGTGGAATTCAGGAACCATGCCAAGATTTGGTGAGTTTTTCTGAAGTTTTTCCTTTGCCCATATTTAGCATCCCCAAATACTTCTGTGTGTGGCAGGAATCACTGAAGTAGGTTTAGAACAACACTAAGTGTATGTATGTGGGTGGAATGTGCTCCCCATACCTTTGTCTTCCTAGTTTTTCTTTTCCTCTTCACTGGATTTTTGTTATTCATCCAACTCTCAAGTATGCACTTTAGGGTTAGATCTCAGAATGAGTTACTCCATTGAAGTAGTGTGTGGGGCATGGTAGTGGGAAAAGATGGTGGTAGTATTAAGAATCCAAGTAGTAGTATACATCTAGAAAGTCAAAGCCTCTGTGGTTTCTTCTTCTTTTTTTTTTGGTTGTGAGGCTTGAACACTAGGCCAGGGCACTGTCTTTTAGCTCTTCAGCTCAAGGCTAGTGCTCTACCAGTTGAGCCACAGAATCACTTCTGGTTTTTCTGGCAGTTTATTAGAGATAAGAATCTCATGGATTGGACTGGGATGTAGCTCAGTGGCAAAGCGCTTCCCTAGCAAGTGCAACGTCCTGGGTTCAATCCCCAGTGCCAAAAAAGAAAAGACAAAAAAAAATACAGTTTAAAGAATCTCATGGATTTTCCTGCCTGGACTGGCTTTGAACTCTGGTCCTCAGATCTCAGCTTCCTGAGCAGCTAGGATTATAGGAGTGAGCCATCAACATCTGACTCTCTGTGGTTTCTTATGAGGTTAAGTAGTAGATTATAATTTGGGAGAGAAAAAGAGGTCAGGATTATCTGATGATAATAACATCAAAGAATTGATTATCTTGTAAAATAAAGATTTTGTTGACGCCCCCTGGCGGCTCCCCCCCCCCCCCCCCCCCCCCAGCTAGATAGAGCTTCAAAAAAATAGTTTTTCAGTTTCTGCTGAGACTCATACAAAATGAGGGATTCCTACACGTCAGAGGCATTAATACTATAGCTCTTACGTATAAGCAGGCAGTCTTACATAATAATTTCCATATAACCAGTAGTGCTTTTAATCAAGTGTTTGATGTAACTTGCATTCTGACTTTTCTTACATAGGGAATGTCAGAGTGCCCGAGGAATTGAAGTTTCCTCATGCTTGCTGTGTTGGTATTGCTTCGCAGACCCATCTGAGTGTGCTTAATCCAACTGACCGCTGGCTACAAGTTAGCATCGGGGTTCTCAGTGTTAGTGTTAACGGTGAGAAGGTGAGCTCTGATGGTCTTTCTCATTAAACTTTACAGTGCATTGCAGTGGAGTGGGTAACTTCCCTTTCTCTCTACTGGTCTGGAAGTTTTCCACTCCCCGTTTACCCAATCCAACTATAATTTTATCTTCTTTCAGTCCCTTTTTTAGTTTTTAGTTTTGTATTTTCAATGTAAGAAGTGAAATGTGGATATTTTACATTTCCATCAGTTACTAATCATTGTATTTCATTGTCAGTTTTATAAAGTCATGTCAGTTTGCCTTTAGCAATAAATCACTGAATGTTCTGTTTATGACTTTGTTGGTTTTGCTAAATATGATTATTTATGAGAAAAAAAACTAAGCTACTGTTTCAACTTAGTCTTCATTTAGTAAAGGGAATCTTTTTGATAATTTATCTGATCATTGTCTTTAGAAATACTTGGAAATACAGTTTTAGCTTTAATTCATACAGATACACTCTTACTTGATCAATTACAGCTACTATCATTCTGGACTGTGAATATTCTTTCCTTAGGATAATGACTATTTGAATGCCAGTGAGTAGAGAGAGTGGGAAATAAGGTTAGTAGTTTCTGTTCTGACATGTCTTGGCTTTGTGACTGCTTCTTACCAGACAACGTTTGTAGATGGTTTTACTCCCTTGTTTTTCTACCAGTAGCCTAAATAATATGGTAAAATAGGACTTTCTCAACTTTGCTTCTTGTTTTCATTATTTCAGATCATCAGGTTAGATGAAAATCCAGTTCGTATCAAGGAAAGGGTTGTGGGTGGGAAGTAAGACTTTACAGGCTCCTAGGAGTCTGAATGGTGCAGTCTGTGGATGTACAGGAGGAGGATAGGTGGTTAGAGTCATATCAGAGGAGTTCTGAAGGCTAGTCTGACACTTTCAGAAGCAGCTTAACTTTTCATCCCACTGCATTATGGAGATGTATAAAACATATCCTAGAAAGACTGTTGGGACTATGAAGTGCTCCATTTTCCATGCCCTTCTAATCCTTCCTTCCTTCCTGCCTGCCTGCCTGCCTGCCTGCCTTTCCTTTCCTTCTCTTCCTTCCTTCCTTCTCTTCCTTCCTTCCTTCCTCCCTCCCTCCCCCCTCCCTCAAATTTACATTAGCCTAGACAGACAAGTCATGGTAATTATAAACCATCTAGGGTTGCTTGGACTTTGGAATATACTATGACCTTATATCTTCTAGCCATGAGTTTGACAAATGGTGTGTTTTTACACCATAAAAAGTTACAAGTCTGCTTTTTGATGATGTGATGGGTACTCCCCTTGCTATGATACCACAACATGTTTTGTTCTGGACCTCTCCTGTTTCATCAACACCTAGTTAGTATTATATATTATATTTGGATTCATACATTCTTTCATATGAATTATCACAAAGCATAATTCTGAGATGAAATTTGACATTTATTAAACTTTTTCTACCAAGTGTGTCCTATCTTCCTTCCTTTCTTCTTTTTGGGGGAGTTATGGGCTTGAACTTGGAGCCTGGGTGTTACCTGAGTGTTTTTGCCCAAGGATAGTGCTCTAACACAGAGCTAGAGCTCCACTTACAATTTTTAGGTGGCTAATTGGAGATAAGAGCCTCACAGTTTTTTCCTGCCCAGTCTGGTTTTGAACTGACATCCTCCGATCTCAGCCTCCTGAGTAGCTATGATTATAGGTGTGAGCCACCAGATCTGGACAGTACTTCCTTTTTTAGAGAAATGTGTAGAGAAATATGTTTGCTTCAAAATAGACTACCGAGTCTCAGTCCTTATGCATTAAATTCAATTAGAGACATTTTGACTAATTCTACTATGGGATGTTTTTAAGCAGCTGATGTTTAGATTTTGTAATTGGAGTGATTAGGGAGAGGACTTAAATTAGGTGAATCTTCTTGATTTTTAAGATAAAGCCATTTCTTGACAGATCATGTGGCTTTTTTTTTTTTAAGGTGGACCTTTCAACATACCCTTGTTTAGTTTTCAAGAATAAAGTCATTATAAGACCTCATGTTACAGAAGAGATAAAAGTACTTTTTATACCATCCAATCCTGGGATTTTCAGATGTATATTCAGCGTCACATCTTGGCCATTCTCAGCAGATACTGAAACGATAGTACAAGCAGAAGCTTTGGGAAGCAGAGTCATCCTCACAGCGATTGCCGAGGCCCCTGCTATTGAGGTAACTTGATTGCTGTGAGCGTATTGTTGGAGGCTGTTTAACTGAGAAGAAACATTTGGCAAAATGTATTTGTGGGAAAATGTGTCACTAAGTTTCAAGCTAAGCAATTATTATTCCAAAATTCTTATTCTGTAATTCTTACTCCAAACTTATTAGTTTTTTTCAGAAATATAAATATAGTGACTAAGATTTTTATCTTAATAGGTATAACATTAAAATCTTTCTGATAATTCTTTATTTTTCTTTTGGTCAGTCGTGGGGCTTGAACTCTGGGCCTGGGCGCTGTCCCTCAGCTCTTCAGCTCAAGGCAAGTGCTCTGCAGCTTGAGCTACAGTGTCACTTCTGGTTTGGCCACCCATGCCCGGCACGGGCACTTCTCTCTTTTTTTTTTTGCCAGTCCTGGGGCTTGAACTCAGGGCCTGGGTGTTGTCTTTGAGCTTTTTTGCTCAAGACTAGCACTCTACCTCTTGAGCCACAATGCCACTTCCGTTTTTTTTCTGTTTATGTGGTACTGAGGAATGGAACCTAGGGATTCATGCCTGCTAAGCAAGCACTCTTACCACTGATCTACATTCCCAGTCCCTAATTCTTATTCTTCATAAAGTCATCCATTTTCTGACAGTCCCTCTCCACTTATTAATTACTTACCTACTTAACTATTTACTTATTTATTTCTGGTGCTGGACTTGGGGTTTGAACTCAGGGCCTGAGCACTGTCTCTGAATATCTTGCTCAACCCAGCATTCTACCACTTGAGCCACAGTTCCAGCTTTCTTTTGGTAGTTAATGGGAGATAAAAGTCTCTTGAACTTGTCTACGCAGGCTGGCTTTCAACCATGACCCTCATATCTCAGCCTCCTGAGTAGCTAGGATTACAGGTGTGAGCCGTCTGTGCCTGAGTATTTATTTATTTTTTGGCAGTACTAGAGCCTCTTGCTCTCACTCAGCTTTTTCACTGGTGCTGGAACTCTACCATTTGCCTCCAGTTTTGGCTTTTTGCTGGTTAAAGATAATAGTCTCTCAAATTTTTCTTCCTGGGCTGGCTTCAAACCTCAATCCTCAGATCTCAGTCTGGTAAATAGCTAGCATTATAGGCATGACACACTGGTGCTTGGCTGCTGTGGTTATTTTTTTTTTAATTTTTTATTGTAAAGATACTATACAGAGGGTTACAGTTACATGAGTAAGGTAATGAGTACACTTGCTATTGAGCATTGTTACCCCCTCCTTGTTTTCCCCCTACCATCCCTTACCTCCCTACCTTCCCCGAGGTTCTTTTTTTTTTTTTAATTGTGATTAAGTGATTACATGATTTCCCAAATTTCACAATACTGTGGAATAATGATGCTCATTTAAAGTCACAAGTTCATTCTAACTTTCCTGGAGCAAATTGTCTATCACAGTCTATAACATATAACGGTGTACACGTATACACCATACATGTGATCAGCAGCATGGGGATATTTAGTAGTGGAAGTTCTTTGTTTCTTAAGTCCTATTAATTTTGTTGTATCACCTAACATTTTGGATTTAGCATCCACTTATCAGGGTGTTGTGGTTATTTTTGACAAAAGGTCTCATTCTTTGTTGGTGCCTACATGGACTATGATTCTCTTATATGTGCTTTGGGCTGTAGCTTGGATTACAGATGTACACCATCATGCCTAGCCTTTTCTATTTAGATGGGGGTCTTTGGAACTTTTTCCTTCATTGGCCTCAAATCATGATCCTCCTGGGTCTCTCCTTCCTGTATTCAGGATGACAGGTGTGAGCCTCTGGTGCTTGGCCTCTCCCCTGAGTCCAGTACTGGGGTTTGAATTCAAGACCTCATGCTTGTTAGGGATTATTCTATTTGGGCCATGCCTCCATTGTCTGAAAGTGAAAGAAATTTTATTTAGCACAATGACTGTTAGCTGTGGCCGCATATTAAAATAACATTGGCGGGGGGAGGGGGGGCTCTGGGAATGTGGCTTAGTGGTAGAATGCTTGCCTAGCATGTATGAAGCCCTGGGTTTGATTCCTCAGTACCACATAAGCACAGGTGCTGTGGCTCAAGTGGCAGAGTACTAGCCTTGAGCACTGAGAGGCTCAGGAATAGTGCCCAGACCCTGAGTTCAAGCCCCAGGACTGACAAAAAAATTTTAAAAAATAAAATAACACTGGGACTTTCTTATACCTGAGTTCCATCCATATTTGAGTGGGGCAGGGATTATATATGAATATCAGCATTTTTTTAGTCTTCCCAAATGATTACAAATTGTAGCCCTAGTTACCAACTACTGCTTTATGGGAGATACCTTAATTGACACAAAGTGACCTCAGAATTAATACAGTGAACAACATGGAGGAATGGAGGGAGAATTGGGGAGGGTACAAAATAGGAAAGGCAGAGTAGCTCTTTATAGTCATTAGAAGTAAAATAGCTATTTTGACAATAGTGTTCCTAAAAATACTGACATCTCTTCTTTAGATAGTATATCTAACTTCACATTATAGGTTACATTGTAACTTTAATTGAGCAAGAGGCCATCTTAACTGATCAAAACTGTTTAAAATATAATAAAAATACATATACATTTTGTTGACTCTTAAGGAAATTTGCTCTTACACAAATGCCTGAAACATTTCTAACTTTGTATTCTTTTTTAACATTTTTTATTGTAAAGATACCGTACAGAGGGGTTACAGTTACATGAGTAAGGTAATGAATTTCCTATCAAGCATTCTTGTCATGGTAGGTTGTTTGACCCTCTTCCTAGTTTCCCGAAATATAAATACTTTTAACTTAAAAAATAATGAATAAATTGATTTCTGATAGGTGAGTTGAAGTTAAAAATGTTATTGAACCACAATTAACTCCTGCTAAAAGTGAATTTGTCATCATTTTATCCAACAAAGCTATAGCTATGACTTACAGTTTAGAGCTGACTTGTGGGGCACGAAGGGCAGGCAGTCTCCTCAAGAGGACAACCAACCATTCAGGCTTTTTCCCATAGTATATTCCTCAGGGAAATACATGGTAACTCAGCAGTTTATTTACTAGGATATGAAGGAGAAAGTTGAGTTTGTAGATGTCCTCATGCTGTGTTCTCATGTACTTAAGAGTTTTCCTTTTGCTTACATGCCATTTAGTGAACTTGTTCATCAGTTCTGCTATGTATACCATACTCTAGATCAGGGATTTCAGCTTTAATTCTTTAACTCTTTAGGGAGAGGGAGCCTGTCTTAGGCAGTATTGGATGTGTAGCTCTTTTCCTAACTACCCATTAGATATGAGCAGTAGTCATTTCCCCTGTTGTTACAACTAAAAGTGTCTTTAGACACTGTCACCCCTCCTACCCCATTGAGAACCACTGAGAGTGAGTGCTATTAGTTTTCATCATGTCAATGCATTCCTCTATATGAGGCTTTTGAAACTGCCTTTAAGCAGCTTACTTTTTCATTTTTATAGAAGATGTGAAAATTTACAATTGTGAAGATAGCGATGTCACTATCTTCTATGTAAGTTATTGGTTGACCAGTTAGGACTCACATAATGAATTTCCAATAGACTGAATTTGTTTGAGCTTTGAGTGTAATAAGCAGAGAAGTTTGGGAACCTCAGTGCTAGCCAGGGCCATGAAAGCCACCTTTGTGGAAGAGGACCTAGGACCCTGAAAGACTTACAGCTTTGACTAGGGAACATAAGTCACAGTTCAGGAATTTTATACAGAGATCCCATCCATAAAAATTCTTGGAGTAAATCTTCAAAGTATGTACGACAGATGTATTTAATGGTATAATGTATCTTTCCTTTGCATAGATATTGCCAGTTGTACTTTATGTTTCCATAAGTAATAAATGAGATTCTTATAGCTGAAATTTGTTACTGTTACCTTTTTAATTTTGTGCTTAATTTAAGTTTGCTTATTTCAGTTTTTGAAGACTCATCTCAATTTAATTGATTCTTTTATTGATTGATTGATTGATTGATATTGGGGCTTGAACTTGGGGCCTAGGAGCTGTCCCTGAACTATTTTGGTCAAGGCTAGCACTGTACCACTTGAGCTACAGATCCACTTATAGCTTTCTTTGACTGTTTAGTGGTGATAAGAGTCCCACAGATTTTCCTACTCAGGCTGACTTCAAACCCCAATCCTTAGACTTTAGCCTCCTGAGTAGCTAGGATTACAGGTGTGTGCCACTGACACTTGACTGGCTTGTTCTTGTGTTTCTAAGAGTCTGACATACAGTGTTAGGTAATTTATTTGACAGCTCTGATGATTTAATGTAGACACTCATAGCTATATAAAGTTTTCTCTTACCACTGCTTTTTTTGTGTTCCAAAGGTTCTAGTAAATGGTATTTTCTTTTTCCTTTGGTTCTAGGAATTTTTGGGTTTCTTCTCGTAGTTCTTTGGTGATCTACTGATTATTCACAAGTATGTTGTTTGGAGTTGAGGCAGAAAAGTTCGTGTGATGCTTATCTCCAATTAAAACACCAAAAGAGCCAGAAGTAGAACTATGGCTCAAGTGGTAAGAGTGCTAGCTTTGAGCACAAAAAGTTCAGTAACAGCACTCAAGCCCTGCCAGGTCCAGCATACAGACACACAACAAAAATAATACAGATCTTCAGTTGATTATTGGTAGCTCATGTCTGTGAAAACTTAGCTAAGCTTACCTAAAACTTACTTACAACAGTTCTATAGGTAACTTTAGCCAAGTTTGTGTATTTAAGAGGTGGTAATATGTACATAAACTATGATATTTATTATCATATTGCCTTTGCTTTTTTATAAATAATTCCTTTCTTTATACTTAGGTAGAAACAGAAAAGAAAGGTGTTCTAGATTTTGGTGACTTGACATATGGAGGCTGGAAGGTTCTCCCACTGAAAGTGATAAATAGGACGAATGCTGTGGTGCCTATCAGAATGATTATTAATGCTGTAAGTACAAACAAGCACTAAGAATCTGCATTTAGAGTTGATTTTGAATCTGCAGACACTAATTTTTTTTGTTAATTTTCTACATAAAGTAAATTAATGTTGTTAAAGGTTTTGTTGAGAAAGGTAAATGCAACCCTGATTTTACTGAGTCTGATGCTTCTATTTTTAAATAGAATGCCTTTGCATGGCGCTGCTTCACATTTTCAAAGGAACCTGTGCATGCTTCTCTGAAAGCTGCTCCTTACGCTGATGTGATTGCTCAGCTAGCGGCTCCATCCGTGGTCAGTCACATCATGCCAGCCAGTTTTGATGGACAGGTAGGCTGGGTGGATTGAAGAACTGGCTTAGAAGTAAAGAAGTTTTCAAATTGCCTTTCTCCTGTTTATTTGGATCTTAATTTCATCATATACTTAAAAAATTGTTTTTCATTCTGTAGGACCCAGAATTTCTGATAGTTTGGGTGCTGTTCCATAGTCCAACGAAACCAGTAACTTCTTCAGGTACTATGTTTTTAGCTAAATAAAATACAAACTTAAAAATGTTTTATTTCCTCTCTCAACTGTAAATATTTTGAGTAATTTATTAAGAATTTTATGTTGTTTGAAAAATTGAGCACATGGTATACTTTGAGTTAAACCTGTTTAAGTATGGGTAATGAGAGCAAATGCCACAGTAAACTTAATGTGATATTTTGTCTCTTCCTCTCTCTCTACTCATTGCTATTCCTCTTAAAATCTTCTTGCCTTGGGATTGGGAATATGGCTTATTGGTAAAATGCTTGCCTGGCATGCATGAGGCCCTGGGTTCAATTCCTCAGTACCACATAAACAGAAAAAGCCAGAAGTGGCGCTGTGGCTTAAGTGGTAGAAAGCTAGCCTTGAGCAACAGAAGCTCAAGGACAGTGCTCAGGCCCTGCGTTCAAGCCCCAGGACAGGCAAAAAAAAAAAAAATCTTCTTGCCTAAATTTTCTTTTGGTCCCTTAAGGGTGTTGTATGGAAATGTTGGGTGGGTTTAAATAACTGGCTTCTGGCCTAAAAGAACATATTTTTCTAGAGATTCTAGACTCAGCAGAAGAATTCTTGGCAAGAGTTGATATAGAAGTTGACAGCCCAAATCCTACACCAATTCTTATGAGTGTGAGTCTCCGAGCAAGAGCAGGCATAGCTAGAATTCATGCCCCCAAGGATTTACAGGTACTCTTAGCTCTTTTCTGCTGTTGTTTGGTGTTGAGGTTGATTTCAGTTGATTTCAGTTGATTGACAGTTTTTTAAGTGTATGTTTTGTCCTACCTGTAGACTGTGCATTTGTTGGCCAGTGTGAATTCCTCAATGAAGCAGCACTTGCCTTTGAAAAATGCTGGGAATATCGAGGTTTATTTAGATATCAAGGTAAGAATTTTTGTGGAAGGGAAAAAGTCTGTCTTTTGTCCCTCACCATCTGAAGGCTGCCATGTTCCTACCCAGTTAAGATCCAATGGGGATCAAACCAGACAATTTCTATGAAGTCAAGCATGCTGGCATATCCCTATTATCTCAGTGTTTGGAAGGCTGAGGCAGAAGGATCTTGAGTTGAAGGCTAGCCTGGGCTACATAGCACATTCATGGCTAGCCTGTATTTTTTCTTTTTTCTGTCTCAAAAAAAAGGGACTGTCGGTGTAGCTTAGAATTTCCACAAGTGTTGTAAAACCTTGGTGTTAACATAGCATGAAATATATGCTGTGATGCTTTAATGTTGAAGTCTAATGCTTTCAGTATAAGAGCCTCGTTTTAAATTAGTTGTTGGAATGTTTCTGTGCCATATGTGGTTAGAGAGAATTGGAGAAGAGTGGTCCACATGGATAGATTGTTACTAAGATCCCTGGGTGGTAAGAGGTGCTGGTGACCAAGAATTGGAGATTGGATGGGAATAGGAAAGAAGAACAAATATCCTTTCAAAAGGGAGTACAATAAGTTGGGACAGTGATGACAAGGAGAAAGGAACTTATAAACCTTCCTAGCAAATAAGAAAGGCACCTAAGAAAAGAGAACCAGAGAAGCTGTATTTGTGTGAGTTAGCATTGAGTTGTGATTATGTAATTGTTTAGGTCCAAGAACAAGGAAGTCACTTTTCAGTGGATCCAGAGAATCTGTTTCTTAGACCTGGAGAAGAACATGAAGTGACAGTTTCATTTACACCAAAGGATCTCAAATCCTGTGAGGAAAGGTAACCTGAAAATATTTATAATGACAGGTCTTTACTCATCTCTGAGAAGAGCCATTTATACAATATAAATGTAAAAATTGAACTTTATCTAATATATCATGTAGCTTGGTTATTGTCAGGTTTTCTTTTTTTCTTTTCGCTAAAAGTTTTTAAGTAGCTGAAAAGAAATTAAGAAATCAGTATTTTCAAATGTATTCTGACAGAAGTAAAATAATAGGATGTTCGTTAGCCTTATTTTCTTTCTCCCAAGAACTCCTTCTTTGGTCTTATCATTTTAGTTTAAGGATTGGCTTTCCCTTCTCCAGGTCTTTGACCTTATGTACCCGAATAATAAGCAAATATTAACTTCTAGTCAGAAAACCATTGTTCCTGTGTGAACTCTAATCTGTAAACCAACCTGAGACGACACCTTTGAGGCACCATTGCTTACTCCCAGCTTAGATCCAGAATGACTGCATCTGTTTAGTCTGCTATTGGAACCCTGCATGCAGAAGAGTCCGGCATGTATCTGGAATGTTTAACCTCCACTCAGGGCTAACTTCTTTTTTTTTTCTTGGGGCTTGAACTCAGGACCTGAGCACTGTCCCTGAGCCTCTCTATGCTCAAGGCTAGCCCTTTACCACTTGAGCCACAGCGCCACTTCTGGCCTTTTCTGTGGTATCCGGGAATTGAACCCAGGGCTTCATGCATGCTAGACAAGCACTCTTACCACTAAGCTACATTCCCAGCCCAGGGCTAACTTCTTCCTAAATTCCTCATAATTATTTTCCCCAGAGTACTGTGATTTTCTCATGCCCTACCATGTAGATGTTATTGTGATTTTTCTCCCCCAGTGTGTATTTTTCCCTGAAATAGTACTATCATTGTATTTTCAGCACCAAGCTCACTCTCTTTAGGACAAAGGGAGTCCAGAGGAAATATTTGCTAAAAGAATTAAATATATTGCCTTTGACTTGGACTTTTTTCTGTATTAGGATCTTGAAAATATTTGTGCAGCCATTTGGACCTCAGTATGAAGTACTGTTAAAGGGTGAAGTCATTTCTTCAGAAAGCACACCTTTGCCTGGACCCTGCTGTTCAGATATTCCATCAATTTTGTCCAACAAACAGTTTCTGACTTGGGGTGGTGTACCTCTTGGTAGAACACAGTAAGTGTGCCTTGCTCAGAATGCCAAGGTTTTGCTAATTTCCTAATGTCATTTCCTTGGTGTTAATCATGTCTGTGTTACTGTTTTTTGTTTTTTGTTTTTAAGAATTGGGAGAATAGTGGAGCTAGGTGGCTCAATCCTATAATCCTAACTATGTGGTAGGCAGAGATTGGAGAGATTGAGGTTCCAGGAACATTAAAAGTTCAAGACCAGCTTGAACTTATCAAAAGGTTAAGATGGGATTGCCGGGTCATAGGGGAGCTCTATGTGGAGTCTTTTGAGGAACCTCCATACTACTTTCCAAAGTGGTTGAAAAAGTTTATACTCCCACCAACAATGCAATAAGATTCTCTTCTGTCCACATCCCCTCCAGCATCTGTTATTATTAGAGTTCTTGATTATAGCCATTCTAACTGGGGTGAGGTGGTATCTCAATGTTGTTTTGATTTGTACTTTTGGGCATTTACCCAAATGATCACAAACAAGACCATACTAAAGCTACCAGCACAACTATGTTTATTGCAGCATTATTTACCATAGCTAAGATATGGAACCAATCCAGATGCCCTCAGTAGATGAATGGATCAAGAAAATGTGTTATATATACACAATGAAATTCTATGCCTCCATCAGAAAGAATGACATTGCCCCATTTGTTAGGAAATGGAAAGACTTGGAAAAAAATTATATTAAGTGAAGTAAGCCAGGCCCAAAGAAACATAGGTCCCATGGTTTCCCTTATTTGCAATAACTAGTATATGTCTGAGACAAGCAGAAAAGGTCAGGTAAGTTGATGTTAGGTGAAATGAACCCCAAGATAAGTATTCAAATTTTTTTTCGTACGAATGTTTCTAACATATTTATAAGATGATTTCTTTGTTGCTTTGTATGTCCCTCCCCCATGGTATAATCTGTATTTGATGTTGGTATAATTTATGGAGGGGAAGGGCAAAAACAAGTCATTTAACTAGGGATATAGGTGGACCCATTGCAACAGTGAGATGTACAAGTCGTTATGTCAAAAAACGAACTTTACAACTTTTGCCGGGGGGGTGGGGGGCTAAGGGGGGTGGGGGGGTGGGAGATGGGAAGGGATGGGAAGGGGAAACAAAGCAGGAGGCACCAATGCTTGATAAGAAATGTACTCATTATCTTGCCCATGTAATTGTAACCCCTCTATATGGTATTTTCACATTAAAAAAAAAAAGGTTAAGATGGTAGTACTAAACAAAATGACTTCCGTGATGGCACCTGAGAGTCTGTATTTGCACTCCTTATTACCATATATGTTTGGCCCTACTACTGCCAATTCTGCCTGGCAGTGTAAGAAATCTGCACTGTCAATGCCATCAATCACAGTTACTGCATGAACAAATACATTTCTTCCAACGTAAGGCTTTTGGGAGCCATACTTTCCAGAGATCCTTTGAAAGATAAATCTATACAATAAAATCAATATTAAAGAAAACAAAAATAGCAGTTATGATATTGCAGTTCCTATCACCTGTCTGCATTTTTTAAGGTACTTCTGTATGGTCTGATGCCCAAACATGGTGTAGCAAGAGCTCTTATTTGGGCTTTGCCAATTCTGTGTGATAACATAAAATAATTCAGGTTAGTTAGAAGAATGAATGGGTTCTATGTTTTTTTAAACAGCTCTCTCTCAGTAAACAATTTTCTTGACTAAGGTCTTGAACAATATGAGTATCTCTGAGTATGAGGTAATGATTCCTCTATAGTAGCTCCTGTGTTATTGAATATATGTTTCTTGTGCTTTTGTACCCAGTTAAGATAGAAGCAGGATTGAAGCAGTCAATAGGCAAGGATAAATGAGCCATATGCCCGTCTAGAAGATGCTTCCAGTTCTCTATCAATTGAGCCTGAACTGTGCCTTGATGACAAAAATCTCAAAACTAAATATACAAATGGTTGATTCAAAGCCTTTAAGTTAGTTCTATGCTGTGGAAGGTGACCAAAATATTTTAATTGTTAGATATAAACATAAAAGCTAAAAAGAAAAGAGAAATTGATTAACAGCTCTAGCCTACAGCAAAACAAAACTAAAACAAAAACAAAAAACCCCCAAAAACCCAGCTGGGCACCAGTGGTTCACACCTATAATCCTAGCTACTCAGGAGGCTGAGATCTGAGGATCTCGGTTCAAAGTCAGCTGGGGCATGAAAGTCAGTGAGACTCTTATCTCCAATAAACCAACAGAAAACCAGAAGTGGCTCTGTGGCTCACAGTAGTAGAGTGCTTGCCTTGAGCTGAAGAGCTGAGGGACAGCACCCAGGCCCAGAGTTCAAGCCCTATAACTGGAACAACAACAAAAAAAGAAACTTCAAGGGCAGTGCCCAGACCCTGAGTTCAAGCCCCAAGACTGGCACCAAAAAATATAATTAAATAAAAATAAAAAGACATTAGTTAGGTTGAACACAGAGCAGAGCCTGAGCAGACTATCAGAATTTCAGCCACTCTTTCTTTGTGGGAAGTCCTCAGGCTACCTTTCTTTACTTCACTCTTCATGGGGAGTTCCTGGTATATCTTGTCATCAAACAGGTATATAGAGTATGTCCCATGGTGGTGCAGGGAACTGGCCCATAATCCTGAAGTGGCCCTTACTTATAAGAGTTGGCAGGATAGTCTTATGAGAACTGTGTGCAGCTGATGGTACTCAAAATGATTGTGAAAATTGGCTTCCTGAAAGTTGCCATTCTAAAGCATTGAATTGGACAATAAAGATGCTGTTTGTATATATTTTGTGTTACACTCAGATACATTATTAATTGCTTAGTTCTCCTTATTACTATCTTGATGTCCTGCTTAGAAAAGTAATTTTTCACACAACAGACAGCACATACTGCTATTCTATATTTTCAAGCAGAGTTCATGATGAGGTAGGTATATTATCATACTATCTGCTTAGAAATGAAACTTTCTCTTCTCCGTGACATGTCCTAGGAGACAATGTGTTCTGAGAGTATTCAGCAAAGGGGCCTTCTACCATGATCTTATTAAGGCCTCCCACACAGCTAGGATAACAGGAATGACCACCATACCTGGTTTGTTGGTTGAGATGATGGAGTCTCACTAACTTTTTTTGCCCAGGCTGGCATCACTGCAGTCTTCCCAATCTCTACTTCCTGAGTCTCTGGCATTACAGGTGTATATCATCTAGCTCAGTCTTTCTCTGTCTCTGTCTCTATCTCTCTGTCTGCCTCATTCTCTGTCTCTCTCTCTTTGTGTGTGTGTGTGAGTCGTGGGGCTTGAACTCTGGGCATGGGCGCTGTCCCTCAGCCCTTCAGCTCAAGGGTAGCGCTCTACCACTTGAACCACAGTGCCACTTCCAGTTTTCTGGTGGTTTTTTTTGTTTGTTTGTTTGTTTTTGTTTTTGTGTCTGGTCATGGGGACTGAACTCTGGGTCTGGGCGCTGTCCCTCAGCTCTTCAGCTCAAGACTAGCGCTCTTCCACAGCGCCACTTCCAGCTTTTTTCTTTTTGCTTATGTGGTGCTGAGGAATCAAACCCAGGGCCTCATGCATGCAAGGCAAGCGCTCTACCACTGAGCCACCTTCCCAGCTCCTCTGGTGTTTTTTTTTTAAGCCAGTCGTGGGGCTTGAATCAGGGCCTGGGCACTGTCCCTGAGCCTCTCTGCTCAAAGCTAGCGCTCTACCACTTGAACCATAGCACCGCCTGTCTTTTTCTGCTTATGTGGTACTGAGGAATCAAACCCAGGGCTTCATGCATGCTAGGCAAGCACTCTACCACTAAGCCACATTGGAGATAAGAGTCTCACTACTGAGTGGGCTGTCTTTGAACTGTGATCCCAGATCTCAGCCTGAGTAGCTAGGATTACAGGCATAAGCCATCAGCACCTGGTTTGTCTCTCTCTCTCTTTTACATAGACACACATACACATTCATAATTATAAGTCTGCTTATAGACTTTGGCAGTTTAAGACTTTTTTGTTTGGTTCCTTTTAAAAATGATAAAGCAAGTTCTTCCTCCATGAACTTGATAGCTCTTTATAACAATAGCCATATTTTGGTTGAGCCAGTGGCTCAGGCCATTAATTCTAGGTACTCAGGAGGCAGAGATTGGGAGGATTGTGATTTAAAGCCAGCCTGGCAAAATATTAGTGTGATATCCACCCCCAACTCCCCTCATGGACACATACTATCTCCATCTCAACAAAGCCAGGAGTATCCTCTGAGTAATTCAGGAAACTTATATAGGAAAATCACAGCCCAAGTCAGTCCAGACAAAAAAACTTGACACTATCTGAAAAAATAATGAAAGCTAAAAGGACTTGCGACCCATGGCTCAAGTGTTAGAGAGCCTGTGTCACAAATTTAAGACCCTAAGTTTAAATCCCAGTATTTTAAAAGATAAGCAAACCCCAACATTTCTTTTAAAATTAAATGCTAAAAATGAAAGTCTTACCAAATGATATTGCTTTCTTTTTTTTCCCCAGTCATGGGGCTTGAACTCAAGGCCTGGACACTGTCCCTGAATGTCTTTTGTTCAAGGCTAGCACTCTACCACTTGAGCCATAGTGATACCTCTTCTGTTTATGTGGTACTGAGGCATTGAACCCAGTGCTTCATGCATGCTAGGCAAGCACTCTACCACTAAGCCACATTCCCAGACCCAAATGGTATTTCTTTTAAGAATGTCTTCTTCAGTCAGCATACTTGTAGAAGCTTTTCCTAGGATTTCGGATAGCCAAAGGCCTTTCCGTAGCACAGGTGGGTGGATACGGCATAAACTAGCTTAAATGATTAACTGATGATATGCACATTTTATGATAGTGATTTGCTCACATATTTTGTATTGAATGAAGATACAGTTTCAAGAATATTACTAGCCAGCTATATGCAACAAAATGTTTTTAAATGAGAATTAATTCAGCCTATTGCTTAAAAGCCTACTTTGTACTAATGAGACCCTTAGCCAGGACATCTTGTTTTCCTGAAACCTAGGTTGAGCCTGGTATTCCAGTTAGGTATATAATATTGACTTAATTTTTTCAATGATTTTCATTGGTTGATATTTTATAAGCCTGGTAATATATATATTATACATATACATGCACATATATGTTGTATAATGTATGCATGTACAGGTATACAATTATGTATACTCTAATGTATGTATACATATATATGTGTATAATATTTATACATATATGTATGTGTATAATTTATACACATACATACACATTTATGCACATGCATACATTTATACATATATATTATAAAGAATGAGGCAACTGAGTAAAACCCAAGCCTTCTCTGATAAGTAGTAAGCCTCAAACCTTATAGTTTTAGAAATTAGAGTTTTAAGACTATGGAGACATTCTAGCCTGCCAAGGTGAAATATGCAATCAGCCCATCTCTAGACATTGTGGTTAGTTTTAATTGTCTTAGTCTTTATCTAGGTAGCAATATTCATTTAAAATGTATCATTGTGTTTAGGCTTCAGAAACTAGCTTTAAGAAGCAATTCTACATCTACAACCCAGCACTTGCGACTGCTCATTAGAGGACAAGATCAAGATTGCTTTCAGGTTTGTAGAGTGCAGTATTTTGTTGTGTCCACTGTTGTTTTTATAGTATTGGGTTGTTTTTTTTAAGTTTGTTTTGTTGAATTAAAATTTTTTTTTGAGACAGGATCTCTCACTTATAGCCCAGACTGGCTGGGAACCCATGATCCTTCAGCCTCCACATTCTACATGCCTAATAATAGGCCTGTACCTATCATTTGGTTTCTAGCCAAAGTTTTATGTGAGTTTCACATATACTCTCAATTTTTTTTTTGTCTTGTAATGTTGGGAATCGAACACAAAGCCTGTGCAAGTGCTTTACCACTGAGCTACATCCTCAGACTGACCAAATTGTCTTTAAGATTTGTGTATTTTATTTGTCCTATTGTTTCATTTTATTCAGTGATGGTTTTTAAATTATAGTTTCAGAATACTTTCGGCTCAGAAGAGCGGTTGACCAGTTCTTGTGAGATCAGAATACACCCCAAAGAAGACATTATAGTCTCTGTATTATTTACACCTACTCGATTATCTTGTATGTTGGCCAAACTAGAAATCAAACAACTTGGAAATCGATCACAACCAGGCATTAAGTTCATGGTAGGGTAATTTTATTGCTTTTTTCTTCCTGTAGAGTCTAACCATTGCTTTAATGTGCTACTTTTTATTAGTTTTAGATTTACAAACAAGTTTAGGAACAATTGTCAAATTCTAAAAGCAATATTGTAATGTTCTTATAATCACGAATTTCTTGTAATGTTTTAAAATTTTCATTTTATTTTGAAAAACTTGAAGTGCATCCAAACTTTTCATGGACACATCTTTGAGTAAATCTGGTTAGAGCTCTTTAAGAAATTGACATTCCAAGTAAAGTTTACCTTTTCAACTTAGAAAAAATAGTACATGTGGTCTGCAATCATCACATATCACTGTGGAAAAAATTTAGGATTAAGGTGCCAACAGATACAGCGTCTGATGAGAGTTACTCTCTGCTTCAAAGAGAAGGCCATCTTGCTATGTCTTTGCATGGTAGAAGGATTAGTACATTCCTTTCATCCTGGTTTATAAGTATACTAATCTTATTCATGAGCATGGGAGCATCTTGGGATTTAAGACACTTCCTAAAAGGCCCTGTCTTTTGAAACATTAATATTAAGTATTGACTCAGTATATGAATTTTGGCAGATACCAACATTCAGACCATAACAGTTACTTGTTTTTAGAATTTACTCAACTTTGGGGTTTATAGAGTGGCTCAAGTAGCAGGGCACCTGGCTAGCAAGTGCAAGGTCCTGCATTCAAACCCCAGTACTTCCAAAAAAGAAAGAAAGAAAGGGCCTGGCACCATGGGTCACACCTATAATTCTAGCTATTCAGGAAGCTGAGACCTGAAGATCAAGTATCAAAGCCAGCCATGGCAGGAAAGCCCATGAGACTCTTATCTCCAGTTAACTACCAAAAATCCAGAAGTAATGCTATAGCTCAAGTGGTAGAGTTCTGGTCTTTAGCCAGTGAGCACAGGGACAGTATGTAGTCACTGAGTTCAAGCCCCTGTACTGCTACAAAAGAAAAAAGAAAAAGGAGTGAGGGAAGAAGCAATGGAAGTAGGAACAGGGAAAAGAGAGACAGAGAGAGAGAGAGAAAGTGGAAGGAATGATAGAAGGAAGGAAAGAAGGAAACAAAAGAACTTGCTAGCATGTTCTGGGTATTAGAGCTACAAAGACAAAAAATTTTATATTGTTTATTTTCAATATAATTTTTTAAACATTGAAGACAGTTTGCATAGAAAACATTCAGAGCAACTAGAGATAGAAAAGTCGCTGGGTGCCAGTGGCTCTCGCCTGTAATCCTAGCTAATCAGGAGGCTGAGATCTGAGGATCACGGTTCAAAGCCAGCCCGGGCAGGAAAGTCCGTGAAACTCTTATCTTCAATAAACTACCAGAAAACCGGAAGTGGCGCTGTCGCTCAAGTGGTAGAGTGCTAGCCTTGAGCTGAAGAGCTGAGGGACAACACTCAGGCCCAGAGTTCAAGCCCCATGACCAACCAAAAAAAAAGAAATCATTTAAGGAGGAAAATAAGGGCTGGATAGTCAAATGAAAAAACTCTACACAAAAGTACACATCTTTAAAATGTATCCACCTGGTGGTGGATGTGGGACTGAAATGTTAGTCCCATTTCCTTTTGTCAAATTGGAGAATGATAAATTACAAGATAATAATTTAGAAGAAAGCTTTATTTGACACTAGAGTCTGTGGAGCCTGTTGACTTGTCCATGGTAAGCGTAATTGTTTGATAAGAGTTCTTTTAAAAACTGCTATTTTCATATGTGAGGAAACGGAAGCATTAACACATATGGGTGATGTGAACCGGAAAAACAATTGAAAGGGAAGGATTATTGATTTTTGGTTTCAGAGGGTTCAGTCCATAGGTGGTTAGCGTTGTGCAGTTGGGCAGAACATCATGGCATCAGGAGTGTGTGGCAAAGAAGCTTCTTCATCTCATGTCCTGCAGGAAGCAGAAAGTAGTCAGCTCTTCTTTTTTTATCCAAATTCATGTTCAAATCCCACTGTGCTTTTTGCTTCTGATCCTCACTGTATACCTCACTAAAAAGCAGTCAGCAATAACCATGAACAACCTGAGTGCTATTATCTTGAAATTTCTTTCAACAGATTAAACAGCCTTATTCAAAATCTCAGGGCACAGATAAAATGTAGACAAGTTCTTTGCTAGACTGTACCACATGTGGTCTCTAGTACACTTCTTATCAGAAACCTCCTGAGTATGGCTTTCACTGTTCACATTCCTGTAGACACTGAGGTCTTCTGAGATTCTACTAGAACTACCCATTAAACTCTGCTTAGCTTTCTATTGCTTCTTTAGCCTATATTCTAAGTGTTTCTAAATTCCTCCCTCAAATCAGTTCTGAAAGTTAGAGTCACATAGTCAAGTTTAGTTATTGTAGTGATTCTACTTCTGAAACCATTTTTCTGTTAGCTTTTCATCACTATAAACAAAACACCAGATATAAGCAATTTAAGAGGCAAAATTATTTATTTTAGCAGTTTCAGTTGATTCAGTTTATGGTTGCTTGGCCAGGTGTCGATGGATTGGTGGAGTTGCTTCTTTATCTCTTCAGCTGGTGATTTTTGGTACAACTACTTGATTTGATAGCCTCCAAGCTGAGGTTCTTGTTTGATGTCTTTTAAAACTAAGATCCTGGTGAGATTTCTGCCTAAGATTTCCACAGCATCTTCTCATAGAGGTTGGCTCAGTAGGGATCGCCTGTGATAATTATGCTATTATGGCTCTTTTACTTTTTTTTTTTTTTTACTGTTTTGACCGATTGGCTATGTAACTCTCTGACTGACCTTGAACTCATGATCCTCCTTGTCTTAGCCTCCTGAATGCTGTACACACTTACACAGACCGTGTCTCTGACACTTACACTTACTGTGACTATTGTAGTTACTTCATTGCAGTTATCTGACAAATTCCCTTATGTGTGACATGCAGCTACTTGCCGTCCAATTTCCCAATAAAAATATACTACTTATTGAAAATTGAGTGCATGCTAGGCCCTGTCCTTCATCTGTATGTGGATTATCACATTTTATTTTTAAAATCACCTGAGATAATATTGTTCTCTACATTCTACTTATGGTGAAATCAAGACTTTGAGAAAGGTCTGACCATGATTGTGCCTCTTGTCTGCTAAATGATAGAGGCCATATTCAAATTTAGGCCATCTGACTGCAAGCCCATGTTGATCTATTATGCAGTCTTTTGACTACTAAGATCAGCTCTGTTTTGTAGTTCTCTAGAGCAGTGATCCTCAACCAGGTGCTTTATTACCCTCAGGGAACAATTGGCAATGTCTGGAGACATTTTTGGTTGTCTTAATTGGTACAAGGGTGCCAATAGCATCTGCCACAGATGCTGCTAAACAATACTTTGGTAAACAGGGCAGCTCTCACCATCTCTAAATTTCAGTAGTATTGAGGTTATGAAAACCTTTCTCTATAGCAATAGGTTTACTTGGTTAATCTATGGGTTTATTGACATTAGTTGGATTTCTCAATCATTTTTTCAAACCTTTCCACTCAGTCATTTGTGACATTTAGGCTTTGAAAATATAGTTGGTCACATCTGCAGGTTCCACATCTGCAGTCAACTAACCACTAATCTAAAGTGTTTGGGAAAAAAAATTGTCTGTAATGAACAAACTTCCTTTAATGAACAAACTTTCTTTCTTTCTTTCTTTCTCTCTTTCTTTCTTTCTCTGTTTCTCTCTTTTTCTTTCTTCCTTCCTTCCTTTCCTTCCTTCTTTCCTTCCTTCCTTCCTTCCTTCCTTTCCTTCCTTTCTTTCTTTCTTTTTTTCTTTGTCATGGGGCTTGAACTCTGGACCTGGATGCTTTCCCTCAGTTCTTCAGCTCTACCACTGAAGCCACAGTGCCACTTCCGGTTTTCTGGTGGTTTATTGGAGATAAGAGTCTCACGGACTTTCCTGCTTGGGCTGGCTTTGAACTGTGATCCTCAGATCTCAGCCTCCTGAGTAGCTAGGATTACAGGTGTGAGCCATTGATGCCCAGCTCAGACTTCTTCTTTGTATTATTTCCTAGAACATGGAGTACAATATCATTTACATAACATTTGCCTTATATTAGATAATAAAAAGTCATTGTAGATTATTCCATGTTTGCAAAAGTTTCCTAGGAAAGAAATGCACATTGTTAAGTTTTTATCCTTAATTATAACAGTGTCATTTTGAAGAATATAGGGGTTATTTTATTCCCTTATGTTCTGGCTAATGGAAGGTATCTGTAAATCCTCGTTTCTTGGACTTGTGCCCTGTGGAAGCAGCAACAGTCTCCTTTTAAACCTGGCTCCAGTCTGTTGCTTCCACATTACCAGTCACTGTCTTTGGAGAGTTTTTGAGTACTTGTCCTTAGTTCCTTTTGCATACTTCTCTTTGACACTGATTGTACCAAATGATTTTCCCTCTAAGACATTTTTTAATGAAAAATTTCAGAATTACTGAGTTGGAAGAACAATGTAGTTAGTAGTCACATGTTTTACCACAGATCCTTACAGTTCATATTTTGCTATATTTCTTTTACCACATATTTACATCCATTAATTTCATCTATTTTTCTTTTTTTTTTTGTCGGTTATGGTGCTTGAACTCTGGGCTTGGGCACTGTCCCTGCACTCTTTAGCTCAAGGCGAGCACTCTACCGCTTGAGCCACAGCGCCACTTCCGGTTTTCTAGTGTTTTATTGGAGATAAGAGTCTCCTGGACTTTCCTGCCTGGGCTGGCTATGAACCACGATCCTCAGATCTCAGCCTCCTGAGTAGCTAGGATTACAGGTGTGAGCCATTGGCCATTTTTCTTTGGTCATTTCAGAATAAATTACAAATGCCAGTATGTTTCACTGTAAAAAGTTCTGAAGCAGGCATAGTTACACTAATTTCTTGTTTTTGTTTTTTAGTGGTTCTGGGAATCAAGCCCAGTACCTTGAGCATGCTAGATAAGCCATCCACCATTGAGCCCTCTACTAATTTTTTATTTTCCTCTGTCACCTTGAATTTATACAAGGAAATAATTATTCTTGACATTAAAGATTAAACAATGTTTGCAGTGCTTTGATTTGTTTTTCTCTGAAGATTAAAGTCTTTATATAACATTACACTGGAAGTAGAGTCACTTACTAGACTAATTACATGAATACTAAAAACTTTAATTGTATTAAATCTTTCTATATTTTCTTCTAACTGTAATTAAATATTCTGCTCTCTTACCTAAAATAATTTGGGATTATATATTCTTTTAGATACCTTTGTCTGGATATGGAGGAACAAGTAATCTTATTTTGGAAGGTGTTAAAAAATTATCTGACAGTTACATGGTGACAGTGAATGACTTAATTCCTGGCAAAGAAAGTAAAATTGTTTTTTCTGTCCGAAACACTGGCTCTCGAGCAGCTTTTGTTAAAGCAGTTGGCTTTAAGGATTCTCAGAAAAAAATTTTGCTGGATCCTAAAGTATTAAGGATTATTCCAGATAACTTTATACTCAAGGAAAGAACACGAGAAGTAAGTATAAAGTTTTCTGCTTTGAAATAACTCATTTTAGATGAATAATTATGTATCTTAAATATGTGTTTATATATTTAAGATATATATGCTTATATATATTTATACATACATAGAATATGAGTTTAAGGGATTTATTAGGAAGAGGAGGGGAAGAGGGCAGGGAAAAAGAATAGATAATTTTGAAATATATGGCAAATAAGTATGAAAAAAGAACCTGATGATAGCTTTGATTAATAGAGAGTTAGAGGGATGGTAAAGAAACAGGTTTTTTTTGGGGAGGATATTAGAGGGAGAGGTTGGGCTGGCAAAGTAGGATTAATGAGGATGAATATGGTCAAATGGTTGAAATATATTGTTTGCATGTATGAAAATAGAACAATAAATCCTGTTGAAATTGTTTTAGGAAGGGGGAAAGAACAAGAAAGAATGCTAGAGTAAATGAGATTGATCGGACACATTGTATAAATGTGTAGAAATGTCACAAATATATGCTAATAAAAATTAGGTATTTTATGGCAAAAATGAAAATAATATTTGAAGTAATGAGGGAGTATAAGTGCTTATCTAGTCTTGGAAATATGATACATATGCACTGTCTATTGAATGGTTAGGCCTAGAAGATACTAGAGTGAGATTTTAAAAATATCATCTAGAATTATATTTTTCATACTCAGGAAAATTACTTAATATACTCCTTTTTTTATATCAGGATGTTACTTTAATATATAATCCATCTGACAGAAAGAGTGATAATAACACTGCGACAGAACTGTCGACTATATACTTCTTTGGTGGTGATGAAATTTCCAGACAGCAGTATCGAAGGTAGATTACTTACCTTGAACAATGTTGGGAGCTAACCAATGGATGCAAGGAATGCTTAATAGATGCTTTAGGACATGATAGTTTTAGAACATACATGTTCATTGTTTATTAGTGAATTGACAAATTGGAAAAAAAAAACTTGGTAAAATTTGTATGGTTGATAAATTGGCATAATATAGGTTGTAAATACCTGTAGCAAACATCTATATATTTATTTTTGCCTTGTGCTTCTTAATCTTAATGTATGTACCATGCCTCTTTTCCTTTATCTAGTAGGAACATCATACCTTATAATAGAACAGTATTCTTAATGTACTCTTGAGAATATATCCAGCAATAGATCAGTTTCAGAAAAGAATTTCACAACTACTGAAAGATTATTATTATTCAGATGATTAGAAATCTGAATTATTTGAAATGCCCACTGTATTTTAGAAATGTGTAGGTTATCATTTATAAAATTTAATATATCTAGTTTAAATATAGTTTGATATACCAGAATGTTGACAAATGTAAGATACTGATCTGGCTCCAGGTATTATTTAAACATGTTCCATTGTTACTAAATTCTGGATTCTTTTATTATTAGGCTTAATATAAAATGGGTAAAGCTCATGATGTTTTATCTATTAGTAGAAAATCACTAACTTTAGTAGATTTGGGTGAATATCATAGGTTGTCTTTCCTTCTTCCAGCTCTTTATGCTCTGCTGTCTTTTATTCTGATACAGAACCTAGATTTTTTTATATTTTTTGGGCCTTGAACTTGCTAGTCAGGCACTCTAATAAAAAGTAAGTAATAAGTTCTTTTGTTTTTTGTTTTTTGGGTCCGGTCGTGGGGCCTGAACTCTGGGCCTGGGCACTTTCCCTCAGCTCTTCAGCTCAAGGCTAGCGCTCTACCTCTTGAGCCACAGCGCCATTTCCAGCTTTTTTCTTTTTGCTTATGTGGTGCTGAGGAATCGAACCCAGGGCCTCATGCATGCAAGGCAAGCACTCTACCACTGAGCGATCTTCCCAGCCCAGTAATAAGTTTTTGCTTAAGTAATTACTTAAGCAGTGCCCACCCTTTTTGCTTTTTACTCTTTAGATAGAGTCTCATCTTTATGCCTAGACCATTATCTTCCTATTTTTGCATTTTGGTTTGTTGGAAACACAGGTGAGGTGATCACTATCATGCTCAGCTGTAGGGTTTGTCTCACTAATTTTTTTGCCTGCTTTGCTTCCCCCCCCCCCCCCCCCCCCCCCCCCAGCCTGCTCCTGTCAGTCATGGGGCTTGAACTCTGTGCCTGGGTGCTGTCCTTGAGCTCTTCAGCTCAAGGTGAGCGCTCTACCACTTGAGCCACAGTGCTACTTTGGGATTTCTGGTGGTTAATTGGAGATAAGAGTCTCACAGACTTTCCTGCTCGGGCTGGCTTTGAACTGTGATCCTCAGAACTCAGCCTCCTGAGTAGCTAGGATTTCAGGAGTGAGCCACCGGCACCTGGATTGGTCTGGCTTTAAACATTGATTCTTCTGATTTTCACTTTCCAAGGAGCTGGGATTACTGATGTCAGTCATTGTACTTGATGATTGTTTGGTTTTAATTGGTTGGTCACATTGGAATAGTAAAAGATTAAGATTGGAATAGTAAGAGATTAAGGTTGACTTGCTATATGATATTATAACAGCCAACTGTGAAGAGCTAACCTGTTGTATTTGTTTCTTTCTTTTTTTGGGGGGGGTCCAGTTGTGGGGCCTGAACTCTGGGCCTGGGTGCTGTCCCTCAGCTCTTCAGCTCAAGGCTAGCACTCTACCACTTGAGCCACAGCGCCACTTCCGGCTTTTTTCTTTTTGCTTATGTGGTGCTGAGGAATCGAACCCAGGGCCTCATGAATGCAAGGCAAGCGCTCTACTACTGAGCCACCTTCCCAGCCCCTATATTTGTTTCTTAATTATTTTATAAACACGAACTTTTTTTCCCCTTTGGTTTACTGGGAGATAGAGATATGTTTCACAGCTGTTTGCCATAAACTTTACAGTAATGAGATTCCTTTTGTTATGAATACATGAATATAGTAGACAAGTTTATATTTCTTTTCAAAGATTCTCTGCAAGAGGCCAAATAGACAAAGTTATATGGTAATTTACATATTTTTCTTGGTGTCTTACAATTCCCTCCCCCAACGCAAATTTCTGACTGATCAAAGTTGTCAAAGATAATGAAATGTAACACCTTAAAACAATCTAACTTTAGTTTTCTGTCTGTTCTTAGTCCCTGATTTTAATTTAACTGAAAGTGACTATTGCACAATCATGTGCAATTTTCAACTCAACCTCCAAAACAGGTTTTCTATTTTAAAAGCACTATTAGGACTAAGGCATGAGATGTATATACACATGTAACCTGTCATTAGTGAGATTTGCCAAATGAATTAATAAATATCTAATTGAGGTCATTTATATATAAAATCACTTTTTTCATAAAAATCTCTCTGGCAGAGCCTTGCTGCAGAAACCTGGAATTATAAAGCAGATACTTCCAGAGCATAGTGTATTGCAAAACATTAATTTTGTTGAAGCATTTCAGGATGAACTACTGATAGAGGAAGGTAAGAATTTCAGCTTGTCTTCCATGTTTTGGTCACTTGTAGTGTTGTCTGGTCATCATGTGACAGAAGGGAAGAAATGCTAATTTGGATCTGGTATCTGGCTGATTTTGAGCCACAGCTTTGCTCTGTGACTTTAAATAAATTACATCACTGTAGTTTATTCAAATTAGAGCAATTTCTTCTTTGTAGAATGAGAAGAGTGATAGCAAGCTTCTCATTCATGCAGAATTGTCTTGAGAATCAGAGGAGCTTCACTTTATATTTTTGGTGTTAGTAATATTTCATATAGATTCTGTGTGTAGGCAGTATATAAGCAGAGAGAATGAGCATGAGGTAAATAGTGATCATTCTCACTTTCATTTTGAGATTTCAGTGCCACTGTAAAATTATGGAGGATATGATGGAAGAAGGAATTCCACAAAAGACATGTAAGATGACTATAACCTAGATGTTTTGTCCTATTTGAGCACAGCAGTTCAAATATTTAATAGTGTCTTATTATTCATACACTATAAATGTAACAAGACAGAAAAATTGTGTAAAAATATATGTACACATTTTTTACCATAGATTATGTATATACATATAAGTATTATTTACAGAGGTTATTTACATAGATTTACATATTATTTACATAGATTATACATATACATACATAAATAGCTTATACCATAGTTTGTACAGTAGTAGTTAAAATTGAGAGGTGACCAAAATGCCCAAGAATAGATGGCAGTTTAATTACGCAGAATGTTTTGAAGCTATGAAAACAATATAATTCTATACTAAGTGGCATAGGAAAATTAAGAAAAAAACAGCTTTTAAATTTTTACATAGTAAGATCTCATTTTAATAAAAATAACTTAATGTGTGAATATACATAAATACAAAAAAAAAATCAATGTTTTGGTGGTCAGATTTCAGGTGATTTTTTTTCCTTGTTAGTTTTAGTTTTGTTTTTTTGTTTTTTTCTTTCTTTCTTTTTTTTTTTTTAGTTTTAGTTTTTAAATGATGTAATGTTCTTTTGTCCTGAAAAATTGATGATGAAAGTAAAGCATAGTTATATCTTTGTAGGGATGTTGTAGATTAGTCTGCTCTTTTTATTAAATTAAGAATCTAGCTCTTCTCTAGGCATAAGTTAGTTGAAAATCATTAATAAAAGATTGGATGTGGTCATGTCATCAGTGTGCTAAGGGAATAAAGCACACTCAAGACTCATCTCTAAGGCTGGGCATCCGTGGCTCTCGCCTGTAATCCTAGCTACTCAGGAGGCTGAGATCTAAGGACCTCGGTTGAAAGCCAGCCCTGGCAGGAAAGTACGTGAGACTCATCTCCAATAAACCACTCAGAAAACCAAAGTGACACTGTGGCTCAAGTGGTAGAGCACTCGCCTTGAGCTGAAGAGCTGAGGGATTGCACCCAGGCCCAGAGTTCAAGCCCCACAACTGACAAAAAAACCTCATCTCTGCCACTTTAGTCCCTTATCTCTTTATAGGAAGGATATAGATAGTAGCTAAATTGAAAACTGCTGTGAAGATGAAGCATTGATACATCATCATATTGCAGCTATGAAGACCTTAAGTGGAAACACATAGCTAGACTGTGGTAGTTCAGAAGTTGCCATAGTTCCATGATACAGTAACATCCCCTTCCCTGACTGAATAAATACATATAGAGTACACATGGTGCTAGTCACTTGTGGACACAAGAGACTGACAGATGTAGACATCTGATCATTGAAGGGTGGTAAACAATGCTGTGCTGGAGTATATTTGGGAATGAGAGAAGCACAAAGAAAGGGCCTGCCCCTCACTGAGGATGAGGTGTCTCTCTAAGAAGACTTGAACAAAGAGGGGTTGACAAGGTAGAGATGTTCCAGGTAGAGAGAGCTGTGTCCATGAAAGTCAAGAAATAAGTTATAATACAGGTTGTTTGATAAACCCAACCAAGAACTCATGCAACTTGCCAATATCACCTATCTGAAGTGCAGGTGAGTTCAAACTTGGTGTGTCCTTGAATTCAAGATACAGGATATATTGTGGTGATGTATTACATATCTTTGAGACTTTCATTTAAATTATGTGTGTTTTCAACCTCCTTGTGCTTTAGATTTTTAACAGGAAATTGTAATACCTTAATATTAAGATATACTTTAATACCTTAATATTAAGATAGTAGAGCAGTACCTGGCCCACTGTAAGTTTTATGTAAATGTCTGCTACTATTCATATCTTCAAAAACATTCTTACTTTAATAAGGCTCACAGTTTTCCTGAGATAGAGAGCTGTTATGCCAGATTCTAGTCAAGGAAACTAAAGCTCAGAGTGAATAAGTAATTTGCCAGAGGTCACAGAACAAATGAGTGACAAGTGAATCTCACATTCAGGTTCAGAGCCTGTGCTGTCCTAATGCTGGGTTGCCTATCATTTTGTGCCTCTCAGTAGCGTTAATCAAAACACCACCTACCCCAACCTAAGAAAATTACGTTAATATGTAATTTTTTTTCTGTTATTTTGCATTGTGCTTAATGTGAAGGTTCATATGCTTCAAAACATTTTCTTTTCTAGTACATGATCTTCCCCAACGGCCTAACGATATTCAGCTATTTTATGGAAACATGCGTAAAATTATGCTTTCAGTAATTGGAGAATTCAGAGATTCTGTTCCTAACAGAGAACTTCTTCAGCCTTCTCCCAAAGCTAGCTTGGAATCTAAAAGGTAAAACAAATATACCAGCAAAATTCCTTTACCAGATTTCAAGATTATTTGACTATAGTAGATCTTTTTTTTGCTGTCCTATGTTTTCTATCAAAATGTTTATTTTCCCTTTATATTTTAGTTTAAGTTGAAATCATTTCAAACTCTGAGGGAAGTTTAAAAATAATACAGAGAATTCCTATAAGCCCTGTTCTCTGATTTCCCAATTATTAAACATTTTTCACATTTACCTTATCATTCTTTATATCTCTAACTTGTTTAAATCTTTTTTCTGGCCCATTCAAGAGTAAGTTGCAGCATGATCACTTATAAGCCCTAAATTGTCTTAAAAATATTTTCTATGGTAAATCCACCCCATTAGAATATTTAATATTGATTTAGTAGTATCACTTATTCCATAGATTTCTATTAAACATGTACAATAATGTCCTCCATAGTTAAACCACAGAACAAAACCCTCTTCTGCTCTGGTCCATAATCTCAGATCACATCTTGCATTTAGATGGTCTGTCTTTTTTTTTACTTGCTTTTAGTATAGAGTAGTTCCTTTATCCTTTCTTTACCTTTCAACATTGTGATAATGGAGGTTTAGATGATCAAATCAGATCTTCAGAGAACTAAGCTTCTGTAATGACTTTAGGTGAAGCCTGGAGAGGCTGGGATGCCACTGCACTTGTGGGTACTTGTTATAAAATTAAATGCTCATACTCTGGTTCAAACTTAATACCAGTTCTTTACTGGTAATATACATGGCTTACAAAAAGGGGCAGCTGAGTATGGGAGTTGTGTTTTGTTCTTTGATGACATAACCATGTAATTCTTCAAAGAGCTGTTCCCCATATACACATCAAATTCAGTTTTATTCCACATACAATTTTGGATAGATCAAATAAATATATCCTATTAAAAGCAAATTCTATATACATAAGGACATTAGAGTGTTTACTGAGAGATCTGTTTTCTCCAAGATTACTAACTTTGTTAAAGTCATCTTTCTTTTTTTCTTCAGTATTCTCTAATAAAATAGGAGAAAATAGGGTGTAGTAAGAATAAAGATGACCTTTTTCTTACTAATGAGTTAGTTAACAGTTAACTAACTGCGTCAGTTAGTTAACAGATGAGTTTGAGATACACAAAAGAAGTGTTTCAGCAGTGATATTCACTAGACACTATGTTGAAAATGAACTATACAACTTGTTGGGGAGGGGAAAATGGAAGAGGTGACACTATTCAAAAAGAAATGTACTCAATGACTGACATATGTAGTAACTATAACCCTTCTATAGATCACATTTACAATTAAAAAATAATAATGCCATTTGTTTTTCCAAAGTATATTCCCAGGTGGTATATAATGCTAACTTGTCTATGACTGATTATATAAATATATGAGGTTTTTAAAAATAGTACTTGGGTTTGAACTCAGGTTTTCATACTTAATAGGCAGGCACTGTATTACTTGAGTCATACCTCCTATCCCTTTTTAATCTGGTGATTTTTTTTTTCCCAGATAGTTCTCCCTTGTTTTTCTGGGACAGTAGAAGTATAATTTGAAAACCGAAGATGAGAGAGCATTGGTTTTACAAAATTGATGATTTTGTAATAACATTTTATTTTATAATATTTATTTTTATTTTATTAAAAAATCACCAATTTTGAAGCACTAGTGATTACAAAATTCATCTGAATTACAGCTAAACAAACCCTGTTATAATAGTCTGGTAGACTGGATTAGCATTTCTTCCTATTAGAAGACTTTTCTGTTTTAGTATTTCTTAGTGTCATTCATTGTCATAAAAAAAGTTGCCATTGTGTAGTTCTATTATGTTAAGAATTTGAATTTTCTCACGTTTTTGATATTGGTCATTTTCTAGTCAATCTTCTTTTGGTACTGGTACTCAGGTTTGAACTTGGTCTCTCATTTGCTCAGCTTGCTAATGTTACTGCTTGAACAATGTCCTCAGCCCAGCTTTTGCTGGTTATTTTAAGAGATGGTGTCTCATGGACTTTTCTGTCTAGGCTGGCTTTGAGCCATGATTCTCTTTTAATAGATTCAGATGCAGAATCAGGCAGAAAAATAATGGAAATCACTGATTTTTTTATATCATACTATGTATACTATGTAACTTACATTGTATTTGGGTTTTTTTGTACACTATTTAATTTTCTTTGCAGTGTTTGGGGTCAAACTCAGAGCATTGACCATATTAGATAAATGCTCCAGAGTTATACTTCTAGCCTACATAAATAAAACATAAAAAGTATATAAGTGGGCTGGGAAGGTGGCTCAGTGGTAGAGTACTTGCCTTATACGCATGAGGCTCTGGGTTCGATTCCTTAGCACCACATAAGCAAAAAGAAAAAAGCCGGAAGTGGCACTGTGGCTCAAGTGGTAGAATGCTAGCCTTGAGCTGAAGAGCTGAGGGACAGCGCCCAGGCCCAGAGTTCAGGCCCCACGACTGGACCCAAAAAAAAAAAAAAAAAAAGTATGTAAGTAAAAATAAGGATAATTTTTTTTTTTTTTTTTTTTGGTTCTGGTCCTGGGGCTTGTACTTAGAGTCTAGGCACTGACCCTGAGTGAGCTTCTTTGCTTAAGGCTAGTTTCCTACCACTTAAGCCACAGCTCTGTTTTTCCACTTTTTGATGGTTACTTGGAGATAATAATCTCAATGACTTTCCTCCCTGAGCTGGCTTTGAATTATAGTCCTCAGATCTCAGCCTCTGGATAGGTAGGATTATAGACATGAGACACAGTGGTCAGCTTGATTTTTAATTTTTTTAATTATTACTATTAAGGGGTTTCAGTTGAAGAATGCATTTCTTTTTGGACAATGTTCCTCCCTCCCTCCCTCCCTCTCTCCCAGTTTTTCCCTCCCATAAGTACTCTCAAGTTGGATAGTTCATTTCATAGTGTCTAATGAGTACCACTGCTATGTTTGTTCACTTTTTGTTCCTGACTGGTGGATATTTCTATTCACTCAAAAGTATATGGCATGTAATACCCTTTTAGTTTTATCTAATTGTTTTTATTTTATAAAGAATTAATATTAGCCAGGCGTTGGTGGCTCATGCCTGTAATACTAGCTACTCAGGAGGCTGAAATCTGAGGATTATGGTTCAAAACCAGCCCAGCCAGGAAAGTCTGTGAGACTCTTATCTCTAATAAACCACCAGAAAACTGAAAGTGGCGCTTGTAGCTCAAGCGATAGAGCGCTCACTTTGAGCTGAAGAGTGCAGGAACAGCACCCAAACCTAGAGTTCAAGCCCCACGACAAAAAACAAAATCACTATTAAATGTGAAAGTGTCTGGCTTTTCATCGTTTTTGACTTTGCTTTTTTAATTTTTGAATAATTTTTTCCTAGTGAATTGAGACCTTCTGATAAACATGGTGGCAATATCTCTTTGGATGTTTTACCAGTTAAAGGTCCTCAAGGGTCTCCTTTTCTCTCACAAGCTGCCCACTCATCTCAAGATACAGCAGCCTCTGAAGAGATGTGGACCATCCAACCTGAACACTTAATTCTGGTAGCTCCTTCTTCTTGTGAGTATTTCAGCAAGTCATCAGATGTGCCTTTAGGGGTTGTTGTCTGTGTTCTGTCCTCACACGTAATTGGACAGACTGCACCACAGAGGCCTGATTAGAGCTCATCTGGAGCCCTGTCCTACCCAGCTCAGCGTCTTGAGAGCAGAGCCACACCCTGCCTTGATAGCTACTACCTTAACCCTGATAAGGCTGGTTCAGAGTCAGAACAAGGGTGGCTCAGTGGTAGAGCGCTCGCCTTGCATGCATGAGGCCCTGGGTTCGATTCCTCAGCACCACATAAGCAGAAAGAAACCAGAAGTGGGGCTGTGGCTCAAGTGGAAGAGCTGAAGAGCTGAGGGACAGCACCCAGGCCCAGAGTTCAGGCCCCACAACTGACACAAAAAAAACAAACAAACAAAAAAACGAATACATACACATGTGCCAAAATTAAAACCAGGAGCTAACAATTTTGAGATTGCTATTTTTCTCTTTGTTCAAGGTTTTCAGTGTCTTTGTAGTTTCCAGGAGTTATCAAGTATGCCTTTTTAAACAGATTTGAAATTCCCATAATTGAGTAGCTAAGAATTGCTAAGTAAGCCATTGTAACTAGTGTACTTATTTAAAACTTATTTTTATTTACACTTGTCTTTTTTCACTGTTGCTAAATGAAAGTTACATTCGATTTATTTGCTACAATAGGTGATATGACAAAAACTGGACGTTTCCAGATTGTTAATAATTCTGTCAGGTTGCTGAAATTTGAACTATATTGGCCAGCCCATTGCCTGACAGTCACACCACAACACGGATTTATTGCACCAGAGTAAGTGTATCTTCAGTGTTGTTCTGGGTGTTATTTAGATGACATCATGGCAACTTTAAGGATTAAATAATATTCATTTAAATTTGTTCAGGGTCTTAGCATATAGTTCAGTATAGAAGGGCTTGCCAAGCATGTGCAAGGCCCTGAGTTATGTCCAAACACTGCAAAATAAATTTTTTTCAGTAGAGGTTTGTACTGTCCTGACCATACAAGTGGATACCTACTTCTGTTATACATTAGTGGGCTCAAGACTTAATTCCTTTAGTGAAGCATAGATCTCATACCTAGCCAGGTAGACTGGGCCCTGAGGTGGTTGAGGAAAGTGTTTGAGGTGGAATAGGGACTCCGATATAGAAGACAAGAAAATATTTTCTATCATAGCACTTTGCCTACAAAGACAAGGAATAAAAGCAGAATGTGTGATAATGGATGACAATCTCTAAAGCCTTAGATGGTCTGATTGTCTCCCAATTTGGCATTTATATTCTGCTTTTGTTTTTTCCTGAAGGACACTTTTGAGAGTGAACTTCTTGACTTGAGCCATAAGATAGCTTACTGTTTTCTACATAGATGTTCTGAGAAAAGGCATACATTGGAGCCAGATGTTTACACAGTTTCCCTCTGTACATAGCCTTATTATTGATGAGGTAAAGCTACAGTTCTGCAGCTGTCCAGGACTTCATGTGTGGTTAGCACACAGTTGTCACATCTGGAAGGTGCATCCTACTTTGGATTAGCAGTTTTTGAAAAGAACAACTTGGAATTTCTTTACATTGGCAAAATGATGAATATGCATTTTTGGAAAGTTGGCTGAGCTAAAGTGTGAGCTAAAATATGGACAATGACACCCCAGAGATGGCTTTACTGAGACCAAAGCAATCTACTCAGTATTCTGTAAGCCATCACCAACTAATGGATAGAAGGATAGGGAGATAATAAAACAGGTGTTTCACAAATGCCTTATATAGTCCCACATATTTAGCCATTAACAGTGGAGAATAATCTTGACCTTCTATTTTTGCCACTTGTAAATGATGATTTTTGTTAGTTATAATTCTGATTTCACTATCCACATTTAAATTCTTTGGAACTCATTTTCCTTAAAGAGAATTTTGAGCATGAAAAAGCATGATTTCTTTCTCTTTCTCTCTCTTTAAAATACCTCCTTCCCTACTTTTCTTCCAGTTTGCTACCCAGCTCTTAATTAGCTTAGTGCCTTAACTGTATTATCCCTTATTATCATGTGGCTCAGAGGTTTTGTAGTACAATCCATTTGCTACAGAAATTTTATTTTGAATTGCTTTTGAGATAGCATTTCTATGATTTGGTTTGCCCTTGGACTCATGGATTCTTGTCATACAAGTTTGTGTTGGCCCTTGAATCAAGGGTTGAGGTCAGACGAACCATATATAGGGAAGTATAGGAGCTAACCTGGTTCTCTGGTGTTTTTCAGTCATGGGAAGACTTGGTCATTGACAGAACAGTGGTTGTAACCTTTATTGTTACTTCTGTTAAAGAATTGGATGTTTTTGGTTTTTATTATTACACCTTTTTTTTTTTTTTTAAAGGAGTAAACTACAAATTCTTGTGAGTCCTAATTCTTCCTTATCCACAAAACAGTCTATGTTCCCATGGAGTGGCTTGATCTATATTCACTGTGACAATGGACAGAAGGTACTGTACAATGCTTTGCTGAGAAATATTCCTTTTATTTTTTACATTCATTTTCATAATCCTTATTAGCAATTATGCTTTCTAAGTCAAATGAAGCCCAGCTAGCTATATTTCAACAGAGTATTTTGTATAGAACTTTTCCCTTAGTTATCTGTATCATTTCTATAGGGTGGGGCCTAGAAGCCATTGCTAATTTTCAAAAAATTACTTTAAGGGAAAAAAAAGAATATGGAAGCAGAGAAAAGACACAGTCTTTATAATTTTAATAAACCTTAATTTTTAAACTTGTCAGTGCTTCATTTCTTTGGATTTTTTTTCTCTGCCTCAAATTAAAAATCTTTGTTTCAAAATGATAGTTAAATTTGTGTCTTACAGCTGGGCGTCGGTGGCTCATGCCTGTATCCTAGCTACTCAGGAGGCTGAGATCTGAGGATTGTGGTTCAAAGCCAGCCTGGGCAGGAAAGTCTGTGAGACTCTTACCTCCAATAAACCACCAGAAAACCAGAAGTAAATGTGTTTCATGTGGTAGAGTGCTAAGCCTTGAGCTGAAGAGCTGAGGAGCAGTGCCCAGGCCCAGAGTTCAAGCCTCACAACCAAAAAGAAAAAAAAAAAAGTGTCTTACCACCTTATTTGGCTTATTTCAGAAATTCGTGAAAGTTCAAATTCAAGAAGATTTGACTCAAGATGAACTTTTGACTCGTTTGGCTTCTAGCACATTTGGAATTCTTAACACCACATCTGAACCTCCCATTAGTCATGTGATAAAACCAGTAGTAAAGCCATCTTCCACAAAAGTTGAAATAAGAAACAAGATGATTACTTTTCCTACAACAGAATCTGGTAAAACTTCAGGTATTGTATCACAAAATTATGTGGGTCAAACATCTACTGCTATATTAAGTCTAGATATGCTCCTTCCCTTTTTTCTTTTTCCCCTTCCCTCCCTTCCCCTTCCCTTCCCTTCCTTTTTTTTTTTTTTTTTTTGTTGTTGGTGGTGGTGGTCTTAGAGCCTGAACTCTGGGCCTGGGCGCTGTCCCTCACCTCTTCAGCTCAAGGCTAGCGCTCTACCACTTGAACCACAGAGCCATTTCCGGCTTTTTCTATTATGTGGTGCTGAGGAGTTGAACCCAGAGCCTCATGCATGCAAGGCAAGCACTCTACCACTGAGCCACCTTCCCTCCTTTACTTTTTTCTATTAATATATATTAGTTATATGAGAGATGGATTTCATTCTGATGTTTCCATTCATGTATGTAATTTATTCAATTTCATCCCTTCTATCAATCTCCCTTTCTCTTCTACCCCTATCCTAAGAACTGATCAATTGATCAGTTTTTTGATACATAGAAACTTTGACCCTATTCATCTTCATTCACTCTCCTTGTTAGTCTAACACCTTCCCACTAATACTCATCTCCCACAACAGAGCCTATTACTGCTTTTTAATACATTAATGTATCTTGGCAGTGCTGAGGGTTGAACCCAGCTCATAACATGTGTAAAGTGCTCTCCCATTGATTTCAAAGCACGGCCTTAAGATGTGAATTACATAGCTGGGTGCCAGTTGCTCATGCCTGTAATCCTAGCTGAGATACAGTGTGAAGCCAGCACAGGCAAAAAAGTCCCTGAGACTCTTTATCTCCAATTAACCACCAGAAAGCCAGAAGTGGAGCTGTGGCTCAAGTAATAGGGTGCTAGCCTTTAGCAAAAAAGCTCTGGGACAGCACACAGGCTCTGAGTTCAAGCCCCAATATTAGCACAATAAAAAAAAAAAAAAGGAAATTCTAAGATTAAAATTGACATTAACTGGGCATTGAGTTACTCAGTATTTCTGGTATTTTGGATTTTATTTGATGGCCAGAACTATCCTTCCCTAAATCTTAACAGATGTCTGACTGGAATTATCAAGTTAGAAGGAGAACCCAGGCCATTGGGTAGACCTGGCTTCCATCACTAAGTGACTTCTAAGGCTCTTGAGAGGCTAAATAGACTCTTCAGTGTCCCTGTTTATAAAATGACTATTATAACTTTCACCTTCCACAGAAGGCGTGGAGGTGAAATCATTTGTTCAATGTTATATGTAATTAGTATATTTGCCATCTCAAAGACACTATTGCTAATGCTTCTCAAAAAAATCTTGTGATATTTTTTTCTTTTTCCATCTCTTCCTTTTTCTGATGACTTTGACTAAATGAGTAGTGGTATAGAGGCTTTATTAGAAAGGCTTAAGGGGCTATCTCATTAAGCTGTTCCTCTTCCTTCTCAAAGTAATTTTGTCTTTCCTTCAGCCTCAGCATCCGTCTTCTGTGTATCTCTCCTGGACCTTTCCATCACCTCCAGGAACTTACTCTACTCTTAGTCCATTTTAAGCTCTTTCCTTCCTGGCTCACTTATTCCAGGGATTGCAGCAGTTCTCTAACCTCTTGGTAGCCTCTAGTCTAAGGCCCTGAAATCTTAGTATCTCTATTACCTTGCTGAGGTCCCTCTTAAACCTCTTGAATCATGTGGTCTGCCATGATAATCATTGCCTCTACTTTTCCATCTACATTATATACTGGTGAAACCTAGCTGAATGGCTACTCTATGCTCCTATTCCAGTAACAGAGTGATACTAGACAAAGCCATACAGCCTTTGCTGATGGATTCATCGTCACAATTCTCAGATACCTCTTGTCTTCTATCTTCCACAGTGTGTGTCTACACCAGTAGCCTGTGTCTCTATTCCCTCAGAGCTTCTGTACTTCCCTCTACCCCTCATTCCCTGCTCCCTCTCTCATTTTTTACAATTCTAAATTTTGCCTCACATATGGAAAATAGAAAAGCCATTAGACTAAAAGGAAGATATCTGTTTCTGTCACAGATGCAGCTCTCTTTTCTTGCCTTCTCAAGGACCCCTTTTTCCTGGGCCATAAGTTTCTCATTCTTTGTATATTTACCTTTATCTACGGTGTATACTAGCGTCATAGTCTGAAAGACACCTTTCTTGGCCCTGATTTCTCTTCCTGCAGCTGTCTCTTTTCTCAGTATGACTTGTAGTGGAAGAGTTCTTCCTTTCTGAGTCTGTTGTGCTGCCATTATCCACTGTACCTTAAACCTGTTCACACCCAGGTCCTTCTTAGATGTCTTTGTTTATCTAATCTTTTCACACTACTGACCTCACAGCTTCTGTACTGATGTCCTGCGTTTTTCAGCTTTACTTGCTCCTTATAAGATTTCTTTGCTGACTCTTTTGTTCACCAACTAATGAAGTTTGGCACATCTGGGCTAGTCCACCTGTATTCCTCTCTTTCTTGTCCCTGGGGATTACTTGTCAGTTGTGATGCTGATGACTGCCATATGCTTAGAAGCTTACCCAAGTGTCTGCTTGGCTCCTGCATATTAGTATCTCACAGGTGCAGCAAATGTATAAGCCCTAAAACAAAACCTGCTTCTCCTCCAGACTTATGTCAATAAATGACAATGCTGTCTTTTCATTCCTCACTTCAGTCCTTTTTTACTGTACAGAGGGGTTACAATTACATGTGTCTTTGCATTATGCTTTGAGTAAAATTCAAAATTGGATATTGGACACATGTAATTTTTTAAAAATCCTGTAGTTCCTGTTGGACTCTGTCAAGGGTCACTGCCTTGTTGGTGAGGTCCTAAGGCTTGTCACAAAAGTCTGCTATCACTGGCTTGTTAGAGTGTCAGTTATGGTTCATGTGTTCTTTTCAGAGAACTATCTGGAATTTGAGAATCATGGTCCTGTGGATGTGAAGTGGCACCTGTCATCTTTTGCTCCCCCGTATGTCAAGGTCAGTCAGATACATTCATTTTAATTTTTAGGTTTATGTAGTCTATGAAAACACAGGTTCAGATGTCAGTTATCAGTCTCCCAAACTCACTTGGTTTTCTATATAGATGGAGACAATACATGGAGTCTTCTTTTAACCAGGTGTTTTTGAGAGTCAAGAATTGGTGTAAAACATATATTCTTGCTCTACCTAATCTTAGTCCTGATTTTTCTTTACTGAGATAACTTTGAGAAGTAATAAGGGTTTTATTATTTTATTGAACACTGAGGGTGCACACAGATTCCTCCCAATATTCTGAGTGCTGTCATGTTCCAGCCATAGTTCCTGGTACGTAGGGTGGAACACTCTGCTTAGCAGCCTTTGTCTACTATCTTCTACATGGCTCTGCCAGTGGCACTGCCCCAAATGAGCAGCCTGTCATTTGTGTTCTTTACAACACTAATATGTCTGCCATATATTTTTTGTGACAGTTACAGTTTTCAATCATACCACTAATAAAAGGTGTTCAAGAGATAGCAGACCTATCACAATAAAACTGACATTGCAGTGGGTTTTAAAGTACATGTTTTGCAGCATCCGCATCAACCGTGAGGAAAAGACAGTGATTTGATATTGTGTACTGTAACATGGAGCTCACTACAGCCAAAGAAGTTGGTCATGAACACTGTTACATGTGATCTCATCACGCTGAGCCAGTACAATATTGGTCAGCCCAGGAACACTCTCTCTTGCGAGGGCATTGTGCTCTCTTTGTGCACTGCTAAATAGGCTTAGTATGTCAGGGTGTCCTTGGTAAACATGAAAATAATGATGTGTCTGAAACCAATCCACTGACTTTTATGGGTTTTATTTGACTATTTAAATGATTTCTTCACAGGGAGTTGATGAAAGCGGAGATGTTTTTAGAGCAACATACACAGCATTCAGATGTTCTCCGATTTCTGGTACACTGGAAAGGAATAGAATCCAGAAGGTGAGCTTTGCTAGATTTTTCATAGCCAGTTAGTAAGTACATGATGTTATTCAGCCTGGAGTACCTCATGTGACCCTGCCACTTCAGTTTATCTTCCCTAAACCAGTGCTAGTCTCATAGCCAGTCTACCTACAGAGAAAGAAGCCTCCTAAGTTCAACGTATTATACTACAATGAGGAAAATATGAGGTAAGCTGATAGTGTATTTGGTAAGGAGATTGCAGCTGCCAGTGCTTACAGCATACTTCTCTAATCCAGATGACTTTGGCTACCTGCCATAGCCAAAGAAACCTACCACTAGGCAACAACTCATGTTGATGACATAGGTACCAGTATTTCTTTATGGGCAGCAGATTCTTCCAGCTGCTGTGAAACTTTTCACACCTTAGTTTATTTCCAGTCATGACATCATCCCTTCAGAAGTCTCCTGGTGGCAGTCATCATCCATTTGGCCTTGTTAATATACTCTGTCATTTTAATTGCTAAAACTCAATTAAAGTGCCATACTTATAAAATATTGGTCCATTTATTCATAAGGGCTTTTGGTAAGTTCTAGGATGGAGCTATGAACTCACCATTGATCACAAAAGACTCTTGAGGCTTCTATAGTAATTGCTGAAACTTAGTCCTTCATTAGGTCTATGTAACAGGCCTTAGAAAGTCTCTGACTTTTGTTTTGAAAAGCACATAGTTCTCTAAAAAATAGTTTATTCTATTTTGTAAATCACAACAGAAACAAACCAGGAGAATAGGGAACAGACACATTATTAAAAAAAAACAAAACAGAACCAAAAAACTCAACATATGAAGAAGGATTGCAAAAAGAAAATAATCCAGAAGGAAAGATATCCCATGTTAATGGAGATGAATTATCATTGTTAGAATAGCAGTACTTGCTGAATTGATCTACAGATTTAATCCCTGTTAAAACCCCATTGAGCTATTTTGAAATTTTTTTTCAACATCAAAAAGGGTATAACTACATACAGCTTATAATCAGTTATATGGGTGAATACAATATAACTTATGCTCAGACATCATCAATGAGATGCAGCAAAAAAAGCTTGTCTAAGGAAGGCAGGGGGACTTTGACTTGTAAGAATTAGAACTGAGGGGGTCTGTACTCACCTGTCATTTACTTGGTATATGTATGGTTAGAAAGTATTTGGTAAGAATTCCAGGGATTTTCTCAATTCCTCATTTAAGGTGACACTTATTTGTAGCCACTTGTACCAATTTACTCTGTAACTAAGCAGTCATCTGCATAGGTTCCTTTGTGTTAGATGGTAATCATTCAAATTGTGGCTCCTTGGCAATTCTTAGAGCTTTTTGATACTTCTGCTCCAGTTTCTCAGTTTAAGTAAGCAATTACACAATTTGTTATGCAAGGGATACACTTGGCATATCGACAGTCCCTCTTTGACTATACTAAGTCCAATCTGGTTTTAATGGAAAAATTGACAAAGTTGGTAGCATCCAGGATGTAATAATATGGGCCCAGTTATGTATTATTTTGGGAGAATAAGCAGGATGTTAGAGACTGCTCTTCAGCTTATTGAGATATTTTCTTTCTTTTAGGCCTTAGTCTTTTTCCTTAATCCTGTCATTTCTGAGACTAAATATTCACGTCATAATCACATATTTTCTGGCCTGCTTTTGCTTTCCCTTGGTCATGCCACACTCCTATTTCTATTTGTTTTGTTTTGAGGCTTATCTTAAAATTTATATGAACATAGGACACAGAAGAATGAAAACAATCTTGCAAAAGAATGAGACTGAAGGATTTAGCCTTCTCATTTTAAAAACCTACAGAGCCAGAGTACTGTCACAACAGGGTGGTGTTGCCATAAAAGTAGGCATACTTGAGAGGAATAGAATTGAGAATCCCCAGACCTCATGTTTATGATCACTTGATGTTCTTGTAAAGTATACCAAGATAAGTCATTGGAGAAATGATACTCTTCAACAAATGGTACCAGGACACTGGATACCCAAAATGAAAGAAATACACGGGACCCTAAATGTAAGCAAAAATATAAAACCTCTAGAAAACATAGAAAAGTCTTTTTGGGGGTGGGGGTCCCCGTTGTAGGGCCTGAACTATGGGCCTGGCGCTGTCCCTCAGCTCTTCAGCTCAAGGCTAGTGCTTTACCACTTGAGCCACAGCACCACTTCTGGCTTTTTTCTTTTTGCTTATGTGGTGCTGAGGAATCGAACCCAGGGCCTCAGGCATGCAAGGCAAGCGCTCTACCACTGAGCCACCTTCCCAGCCCAGAAAAATAAGTCTTAATAACTTTGGTTTAGCTATTAATTTTGTAGAGATAGGACCAATAAAGGTATCAAAAATTAGGTGAATTAACAGAAATACAAGTATTTTTACATCAAATGGTGCTATCAAGAATTTAAAAAGCTAGGCCTGGTGGTTCATGCCTCTCATTGTACCGACTCAGGAGGCTAAGGTCGGAGGAGTCAAAAAAGTTTGTGAGACTCCATCTCAATATAAGGAGTTAGACGTGGTAATGAATATGTGTCATCCGAGCTATGGTAAGAATTATAAAATAAAGTAGGAGAACCCTGGGCAAAAAAGCAAATCTTAATGTCAACCATTACATAAAAGAGCTGGAGGCATGGCTAGCATGTCTTGAGGCTTGAGTGATGCAATTTATTCCACCATACTGCAAAAACATAAAAAAAAAATATCTACTAGTCTTTAGAAAATGCAACCATACTGCAAAAACATAAAACAAAAATAACTTAGAATTACTAGTCTTTAGAAAATGCAATCAAGGGGCTGGGAAGGTGGCTCAGTGGTAGAGTACTTGCCTTGCGTGCATGAGGTCCTGGGTTCAATTCCTCAGCACCACATAAGCAGAAAAAGGTGGAAGTGGTGCTATGGCTCAAGTGGTAGAGTGCTAGCTTTGAGCTGAAGAGTTGGGGGACAGCACCCAGGCCCAGAGTTCAGGCCCCACGTCCGACCAAAAAAGAAAATACAATCAAGCCAGAAATGAGCTATTACTTCATATCTGTTAAGATAGCTATAACTTAAAATGAACAAAAAAGCAGAAAATCTCTATATTGAGGATGTTGAGAAGCTGGAACTTTCATATTTCTAATGAGACTATAGTAATGCTACAGCCATTGTGAAAAAGTTTGAAAATTTTTCAATAAACTAAAGATAGAACTACCATATAACCCAGCATTTCCACTTCTAGATATTTGCTTTAAAAAATTGATACAGGTGTTCAAGGAAAAACTTGTGCACAATCATAGCACAAATATTCATAGCACTATTGTTCACAACCACCTATAAAGATAAAAATAACCTATTACGTGGCAATTAAAAGAACTGACAAAAGAAACCAGTCATGACAGACCATATATGGTCATGGTCACAATTATATAATTTACAAAGTGCCATTGACTACTCTCGAATGGGCACATTGGGTGGCACTCTGTGTTATCAGGTGTAGCTACATAAGTACACAGGAGAGATACAAGGCAACAAAATGTATCACATTCATGAGTTCCAGATAGGTTAGCATGTGCCATGCAGGATTCCAGCAGAAAGCATACAGGGGTCAGAATGCAGAAGATGGGATCAAGGGCAGAGCTATTAGGCCATGCCCTTTATTGGAGTTTCCACAAAAAAATACAAAAACAGTTTAGGATCAGCAACTCAGGGTTGCCTTGGGTTAATTGTTTTGGCAACCTATAGTGGTAGTGTAGTGTCTGGTTACTTGGGACATGGCTCCATATTACTAAGGTAGAGAAACCATGCCCTCTGGGATGTGGCATAACTAAGGCCAGCTCCCTGCTGAGCCTGTGGCTAAGTATTGACTAATCCTGCTGAAAAGAATCCTTAAGATATCTGACCATCATAATAGCGCCAAAATTGCAGGAAGTGGCACTATAATAACTCAAGTGGTGGAACACTATCCTTGAGCAAAAGGAAGCTCAGGAACAGTGTCCAGGTTGAAGTCCCAGAAAAAAAAAAAAAAAAGGCAAACTGAGCATTGGTACCTCATGCCTGTAATCCTAGCTATTCAGGAGGCTGAGATCTGAGGCTGTTTGAAGCCAGCCTGGGCAAAAAAGTCTGTGAGAGTCATCTCCAGTTAACCACCCTGAAACTGGAAGTGGAGCTGTGGCTCAAAATGGTAGAGTGCTAGCCTTGGGCACAAAGCTGAGGGACAACACCCAAGCCATGAGGTCAAGCCCCATGACCTCTACCCCCTTCTCCCCTCCCCCCAAAAAGATTAAAGATCAGAGTGTGTTTCAAGAATTTCTTGTTTTAAATATTTAGCATAGAAATGAAAGGCTCTTAGGTTTTTTTATTTGTGTTGTGATCATTACTATATCCTGGACCAAGTAAGTACTGCAAATAGTAAATCTTTACCAAATATGTAAAGATTTTCTTGCAACTTCACCTTTACACTGCCTGGCCAGCAGAGGGGACCACAAGCATAGTGGTGAAAGACTGGATTGTGTCTGCATTCAGGCTTGTGCTCGAGGGCTCTAAGAGTACTTTGAAAATTTTTTTCCTCCAAAAATCACTTACTATATACATTTTGAAGAATGTGCTATCTAAAGCTATATAAACAAACGTATATTTTGGATTTGGCATAGTACCAAGTCCACTGGACTATAGTCAGCGGGACAACTAGCTAATGCATAAACATTGTTCCTTTAGTGTTTTCATACTAAAGTTCTGAATTGACAGTAAGTGCAATGATGGTTTAGGACTAATTTTTCTATTCCATGCATTGGAATTTTCAAGGATACAGCATTGAATCTGTAGAGTACTTTATCATTTCAGTTCTGCCAATTTGTGAATACAGGAAGTCATTCCTTTTACTGGTTCATATTCAGTTTTTGACTTTTAAGCTTTAGTAATGTTCAAGGTTTACATGTCTTCTCCGGGTGTATTTTGTAGGTCTCCATCACATTTTTGCCCAGAGATAGAGGGGATTATGCCCAGTTTTGGGATATTGAGTGTCACCCTGTTAAAGAGCCTCACATGCAACACACTTTGAGATTCCAGCTCTCTGGAAAAGTGAGTATTACACTAGAGTTAAGCAAATTATTGTGTATACAAAAATAATCCTAAGTGAAACTGACCTGAAACTATCTGAAATACAGAATATTTTCCTGGTATTATTTCACTAATTCTAGTATGTAACACATGTCTTTTTTGTCTGTCTTAATTAATTGACATGTTTGGCTTTATTGTCCATGTAATAATTCATGAAGCCATGTTTGACTTAAACATGTACTCTGTGTGTGTTTGTGTGTGTGTGTGTTTGTGTGTGTGTGTGTGTGTGTGTGTGTGTGTAACAGTCTAGATACTACATGGAATAGGGGATTACAATTCATTACAAAAGAAAAAGAAATAGAAACAGAAAATAGAGTACCCACCCCCCAGAAGAAAACCTTTTTAAGTATCCTTTTTCATTAAGAATTGCATTATAATAAAGTGATCCCTTCTAAAAATAAAATATTTATAGAAAGCTATATAAATCATTCATTTTATTTACATGATATGTTGTTCAAAAAATGTGAATACTGAATATGATATTTTCACATTTGGTTAATGGTTTCTTTGATCTCTCACATTTTTCTTTCCTCTTTTAATAATATTTATAAATTTAACTCTTGACTTTTACCTATTACTGAGATTAGATAAGTATTTTCTTTCCTCTGTAACAAATGATGCTGGTTAGAATCATTCGTGTATCTAAAGTTAATAAGCATAAACTCACAGTAGTTTGCCATTTTATATATGGGAAGTTTGTGAACTTGCCAGCTATATCAAGTCATGGAAGTCTACCCATGGAGAACCCTTGTTCTGTACATTAAAAAAAAGACTTTCTTCACAAAAAAATACAATTTAGGATTTAAAAATCATCCCATCTTAAAAATTTAATTCCAATAGGTAAATGTCTATGTTTCCTCTATTTATTTTTCTCCTCTCCCAAACCTCCACCTGTGATTTTTCTATACAGAGCATCAGAGCAGAAAATAAACCTGGAAAGGCACGCTCTTCCACTGATAGACTCATTAAAGTAGATAATGTAGGTATGTCCCGAAAGTGTGCTTCATTGGAGGCTTCTGCTCTCCCACTTGGGTATGTATGCTGTTTATGTCATTTTTAGGAGTTTCTCCATATGTTACTGAGGTATAGCTTTAGTGTAAGATGTTTAGTAACTTGCCTGTGGGATCCTGTGGTTTACTACAGCTCTGATCAAGATAGAGAGTGTTGTCTCCAGAAAGTCTCTACATGTCCCTTTGCAGTCAAGATTTATTCCATGCTGGTTTGTTATAGATAAGTTTTGCTTGAGACTGTGTATGCCTAATGTACTCTTTGTTTTAGCTTTCTTTCAGTGTAACATTTTTAGGATTAATTGATGCATTTTTATGGGCATAATTTTTTTATTGTAAAATTAGTGTACAGAGGGGTTACAATTAAATGAGTAAGGTAATGAGTACATTTCCTATTGAGCATTGTTACCTCCTCTTTTGCTTTTCCCCTACCATCCTTTCCCTCTACATCTCCATCTCCTCCCCCCGCTCCCCCCCCCCCCCCCCCCGGCCAGTTGTAAAGTTCATTTTCAACATAGTTAGACATAAGTTTTCTTTATTTTTATTTTTTATTTTTGTCGGTTGTGGGGCTTGAACTCTGGGCCTGGGCGCTGTCCCTGCGCTCTTCAGCTCAAGGCTAGCGCTCTACCACTTGAGCCACAGCACCACCTCCATGGACATAAGTTTTTGTTTGGACTAAAAACATACCTAATTTCTGGGTCACATGATAATTATGTTTAACATTAAACAAGCTTTAATAGTTTTCCTGAAGCATTTGTGCCATTTTATATCCTCACAAGTAGCATATGATAGTAGATTCTTAAAACTTTAAAAAGTAAATTTAGCTGGGTGCCGGTGGCTCATGCCTGTAATCCTAGCTACTCAGGAGGCTGAGATCTGAGGATCACGGTTCAAAGCCAGCCCAGGCAGGAAAGTCTGTGAGACTCTTATCTCCAATAAACCACTAGGAAACCGGAAGTGGCGCCGTGGCTCAAGCAATAGAGCGCTCGCCTTGAGCTGAAGAGCGCAGGGACAGCATCCAGGCCCAGAGTTAAAGACCCATAACCAACAAAGAAAAAAAAAAGCAGGGGCTGGGAAGGTGGCTCAGTGGTAGAGCGCTTGCCTTGCATGCCTGAGGCCCTGGGTTCGACTCCTCAGCACCACATAAGCAAAAGAAAAAAGCCGGAAGTGGCACTGTGGCTCAAGTGTTAGAGTGCTAGCCTTGAGCTGAAGAGCTGAGGGACAGTGCCCAGGCCCAGAGTTCAGGCCCCATGACCGGACCCACCCTCCCCGCCCCCCCCAAAAAAAAAGAAAAAAAAAAAAAGCAAATTTATTTTTTGTCACTTGTGGGGCTTGAACTCCGGGCCTGGGCACTGTCCCTGAGCTTTTTTTGCTCAAGGCTAGTGCTCTACAACTTGGAGCCACATCACCACTTCTGGTTAATTGGAAATAAGAGTCTCATCATTTTCCTTCCATGCTGGCTTTGAACTGTGATATTCAGTTACCAGCGTCCTGAGTAGCTAGGATTAGAGGTGTGAGCCACCAGCACCTGGCTAACATGAAATTTTATATGAGCAATTTACATAAGTCAGGAGAGGGAGAGGTGAGTAAAGTTGCCAGCTGTAGAAAGGACTGGGCAACAGTCTGTGGGCTCTGGAGCCTTGTATGAGAGAGAGAGGCTGCCGAGGAGCTTGAAGGAGCATGATGGGACACATGTACCCAGAAAGTCCTCTGTGCGGAACAGACTGATTACAGGGAGACATAGCATAGTGGGCACAAGTCATGGCTGTGTTTCAGTAGTGCAGGAGTAAAACTGTGTCAGAGACATGACAAGAATAAACAGATTGGAGAGGTCTGTAGCAGAGAGACCTAAGGACTCAATGATGTGGATAAAGAGTCAAGAGAGAGAAGAGGGTGTCAGAGTGGCTGCCAGAACAACTGTCTAAATACTTAGAAGTACAGATAGAGGAAAGGGAGGTGAGGGATTACAGGTTTAAATATTTGTGTTTGTAGGGCCTGAGATGTCTTGGAGATACTGGGAAGTGGTCATTGTGTTCTGACTAAAGATGGAGTATGGTACTTAAGAGTCCCAGTGAGAACTGAGGTATACATGTAGGCATTGTAGAGCCCTTCAGGGATAGAACTGCCTGGACAGGAACATTGTACTAGCAGTTAGGAAGTCCCAGATCAAGCCTTGGGAAAAGGTTGCAGAGATGTTAGGGAGCAGAGGTGACCCGGAAAGGTTGGAAGTTTTTGAAATAGTTAACTTGTAAAATCAGGACTGAAGAAAGTGCTCCCTTCACCATGGGCTGCTGGGAGGCAGTCAAGAGAAGTCGGCATTCTTCCCACAATTTTAGAGCAGCTCACAGAGCACAGCTTGAGTAGTCCAGAAGACAAGAACTGAGATAGAAGGACTGCTTGCTACTGACTGGGTTTGTGGCAGGCAAGCAGCCAGGCTTTAAAGAGAGGGGAAGAAGGCAGAGAAGGCTGTGCTCACAGTGCGCCCCTCACTCACCTAGCAGCTTTGTAAGCGCCTCCTGCTACACCTCACATGGACTAGGTAAAATGATTTTTTAAAAATTAAGTTGTGAGGCGCTGGGAAGGTGGCTCAGTGGTAGAGTGCTTGCCTCACATGCATGAGGCCCTGGGTTCAATTCCTCAGCACCACATAAGCAGAAAAAGCCAGAAGTGATGTTGTGGCTCAAGTGGTGGAACACTAGGCTTGAACTGAAGAGCTCAGGGACAGCGCCCAGGCCCAGAGTTCAAGGCCCATGACTGACCCTGCCCCTGCCCCCACCCCCCAAAAAAAGATTAAGTTGTGAGTGAAAACACAATATATAAAAATAGTTGTTATAGATTCTAAATAGATACCTTTCAAACCTGTTCCCAAAGCAGGCAAGGTGATTTGAGTCAGCGTGGCGTATATGCCCCAGAAGATGTGTATGTGTTCCTGCCAACCAGAGTCGGGGAATCACGGACACTGAAAGTTAATCTGAGGAATAGTTCTTTCATTACACACTCAGTAAGTTGGAAATGTTACTGTGGGTTTTAGAAAGGTAAATGCATTCTAAATGCTCGATGGTTTGACAACTATTTTCCTGTTGGTTAGAAATATATTTTATATATTACATATTATATATTATGATGATGAGCTAATTTTTAGAAATGACTTAATACTGTATTTGTAAAGAAAGTCATTGGAAATTCATGGTCTTATATTTGAAAATCAAAAATTTTAACTTTTTTTTCTCTTTTGCACGGTATATCTCTCTCACAGACATAATTCTGGATAAACATTTAGTTTAAAACTTCCTTAAGGGGGTGCTGGGAAGGTGGCTCAGTGGTAGAGCGCTTGTCTTGCATGCCTGAGGCCCTGGGTTCGATTCCTCAGCACCACATAAGCAAAAAAGAAAAAAAAAAGCCAGAAGTGGTGCTGTGGCTCAAGTGGTAGAGTGCTAGCCTTGAGCTGAAGAGCTGAGGGACAGCACCTAGGCCCAGAATTCAGGCCCCACAACCGGACCCAAAAAACAAAAACAAAAAACAAAAAAACTTCCTTAAGGAAGTGGCGCTGTGCCTCAAAGTGGGAGAGCACTAGCCTTGAGTGAAAAGGCTCAGGGACAGTGTCAAGGCCTTAAGTTCAAGCCCCATGACCGACAAAAAAAACAAAAAACAAAACTTACTTAAATGTGGTTTTATTACAGGAACATTGTTTCCTGCATAATATTGTGACTGTAACTAAATTTACATAATGTGTCTTTATAGTGTGATATTTGATACATGCAAAAACATTTGTCTAACTTTATAAAATGTTTTCTTATTGAATTCCAGCTGAAGTTTTTGAGTCCCAGAGAGCCTTTCCACATCAAGCATTCCAAATACTCTTTGCGGTGAGTTTATCCTAAAGTCCCATGTTCTTCTCAGGTGTAGAACTTGTCTTTTAGAAGTTAGAGGGCAGGGAGGCCTCCTTTGTTGCAATACCATTGTAATCACTAACAGCAAAGAGTATCGTGTATTTTGTGTGAAGAGTGAGGTTGCCAGCAGGGAGCATTTTCTTGACACAGTCAAGTAACAGTGTGGCAACCCTTTTCAGGTTTGGACCTAGAATGATTTCTCTTACCTGGAATCTTCCTCACTGCATCAGTAGCTTAATTATCTCATGGTTAAATTCTAGAATACGTCATGTAGACAGCAGTTGGGAAGATATCTGCTGGTCCTAGAACTGAGCGTGTTTTTATAACGTTTGTGGGAAGGAGAGTATTATCTACATTGAATCTACATTGGCTGTAAATAAGAAGGATAGGATAAAGAAATTGGGGAGAATGTTAGGACGGAACTGTCTGTATAAATAAGTAATTGTTGCTTTTTGGATTGTTTGGGGTTAACAGTCCAGAAAGTTTATATTTAAACAGATTTCCCAAGTGGTCCTTGGTGATGGGCTTAAACCAGGTCTCAGTGTATATTCAGGAACATGAAAGTCTTTTGTTGCTTTGTTCTATAAGCTGTTCACTGATTAACTTCTGCTATTTCTTCCTTATTTTCTTGCCCTTCTGGCTAATTCTCTTTGTCTATATGATGCTCATTTAGGTTGAAATCTCAAACAGTGTATTAACAATAGAGTTCTGTTGGACTTAATGCTGAAGAATCATATTAATTTCATCTTTGAATCTTTCAAACAATTATTATATGATCTCACATTTTAGCATTAGAGAACTAGTCATGAAATACATTCTGCAATGAAAACCTCGACAATTCTGTGAACATTGTAGCGTTGTCCTTTACTAAGTTACTAAGACCAGCATTTCTCTTTAGAAAGCTTACTCAGAAATGACTTGGTTGAGGACACTTCTCTCCACTTCTGTCTTGTCACTCTTTTCTCTCATCTATCACCTTTTTCTCCTACTTTGTATTGTTATATATTTGTTGGCTAAACCCTTCCTCTTACTCCCAGGGGACTGACCTAAAGGTGCAAGGTATAGATTTCAGTTCTGCAAAGTCAACAATGAATGTATAATGTATGTTGAAGATTATCATAGTTTCAAATCCCTCTGAGGATCAGTTTTCTCTTTAGCAAAAATAGAGATCTAATGCTTCTAAGAGCTTTGAATTATATAGAGGAACATATAAAAGACATGTGAACAGAGGTAGGAAGACCAGCAGATGTTTGCATCTTCTTCATTACCAAATCTGTCCTTCAGATGACCTTTTCAAGAAGGATTCATCAGTACTAACTGCAAAATTTTTATGAAATACCACATTTCCTTCCTTCCTTTCTTCCTTCCTTCTTTCCTTCCTTCCTTCCTTCCTTCCTTCCTTCCTTCCTTCCTCTCTCTCTCTCTCTCTCTCTCTCTGGGCTTAGGTGCTGTCCTTCAACTCTTCAGCTCAAGGCTAGTGCTCTACCACTAGCCAGGGCCTCATTCAGGCAAGTACTCTTCCACAGAGCCACATTCCCAGCCCTATTAACACTTCTTTTTTTTTTTTTTTATTGTGAAAATACTGTACAGAGGGGTTACAATAACATGGGCAAGATAATGAGTACATTTCTTATCAAGCATTGTAGCCTCCTCCTTTGTTTCCCCTTCCCATCCCTTCCCATCCTCCCCCCCATCCCCCCTATTAACACTTCTTAAGCTCAGTTCACCCAACTGAATTCAAGGCTCTTTCTCATGAATTCTCTATTTCAGATAATAACATTCCCACGCCAAAATATCACATTTCATATCCGTGCTTTTTCTTTTACTCTCCTCCACACCTACATAGAAGAATAGATTTAAAAAAAGAAAACACCAAATCCGAGTTCTCTTAGCTTCTGTGCTTTGAGTCTGAGTCTCTATAGGTATTGCTCTAATTGACTTGTTCTAGTATGTAAGGTGGTAGTTAGATGGTACTAAAATGCAGAGGCACTTAGTTTGTTCATAAAGAACCCATTTAAGTTTCTAATTGTGGTAAATATTTTTAGTAATTAAATATAACATATTGAGTAAAGTATCCTGTTTTTTTTGTCATCTTATTCTTTTTCTTCTATTGTACAACAGAGTTACAATTCCATAAGTCAGGTTATGAGTAGAATGAATTGTCATCAAGTATTTTAATTAATGTTATTATCTTTTTTTGGGGGAAGGGTGGTCCGGTAGTGGGGCTGAACTCTGGGCCTGGGCGCTGTCCCTCAGCTCTTCAGCTCAAGGCTAGCACTCTACCACTTGAGCCACAGTGCCACTTCCAGCTTTTTTCTTTTTGCTTATGTGGTGCTGAGGAATTGAACCCAGATCCTCATGCATTCAAGACAAGCGTTCTACCACTGAGCCACCTTCCCAGCCTAATGTTATTATCTTAATTCAAATGTTGTAATGTCTGCCTTATTAATTCAGTCTCAGACTAGCTCCTGACCCTCATCAGAACCAGAATTCTTTGGCTTGTTTTTCTGTTTAGCAGCATTGGTTTGTAAACCAGAACCTTGCCCATGCTAGGCAAGCACTGTGGACTGACCTAGCCATTGCATGCAGTAGATCCATGAAATACTTTAGTGCTTGCTTTGCATGCATGAAGCCTTGGGTTTGATTCCTCAGTACCATATAAACAGAAAAAGCTAGAAGTGGCTCTGTGGCTCAAGTTGTAAAGTGCTAGTGTTGAGCAAAAGAAGCTTAGGGACAGTGCCCAGGCCTTGTGTTCATGCCCCAGGACTGGCAAAATAAAAAAGGCTTTTTTTTATTTTGAGTTGTGGCTCAAGTGGTAGAGCACTAGCCTTGCGCTAAAAAGTTTGAAGACAAGCCCTGAGTTGAACCGCCAGGATGGACACAAAAAAATCTTTTGAAGAGCCTATTATCAACTTTGAAAAACAAAAACATTACTTATATGTACCTCATCTAGTTTTGGTAAGGAGCCAATATTAAAAGTATCTGGTTATGCCGGGCGTGGCTCATGCCTGTAATCCTAGCTACTCAGAAGGGTGAGATTTGAGGATTGCAGTTCAAATCCATCCCAAGCAGGAAAGGCTATGAGACTCTTATCTCCAATAAACCACTCAGAAAACTGGAAGTGGTGCTGTGTCTCCAGTGGTAGAGCGCTAGCCTTGAGCTGAAGAGCTGAGAGAGGGACAGCGCCCAGGCCCAGAGTTCAAGCTCCAGGACGGAGCCCCCCAAAAAAATCTGTTAAATTGTCATTGTTTTTATTTTATAACTAGACAATGAGGTGTTCAAAACCTACCAGGAGTTAATGATAATTTAACAGCCAGGATTACAGGCATCAGTCACTGACAACTCAACTTTCTTGATCCTTTCCAGAAGATTCCTAAGTGTTGCCCATTGTAATGTTACAAGACGAGGTATCTTTTCAGAGGTCAAGAGTAGGAATGGGACCAGCTAAATGAAATGACATAAGTATAAAAGGTGATCTTTCTGTAGCATCTCAATCTATCCCAGCTGCTAGAACAGATACTATAGACCAGGTGGCTCAAAAAACAACAGAAATCCATTTCACACAATTCTGGCACCTAGAAAAATCATGATCAAGATGTTACGAGTTTTGATATCTGGTAAGGGCTGCTTCTTGGTCCAGACAGTTATCTTTTATGTGGGGGTAAGGAGGACAGGGATAGGTGTAAACCACAACATTAACTAAATTAATGATTAAAATATCAGATTATTTTCCTATTAATCTATATTTTTCATCATGTCAATTTTTTTTTTTTTTTGGGTCCGGTCGTGGGGCCTGAACTCTGGGCCTGGGCGCTGTCCCTCAACTCTCCAGCTCAAGGTCAGCGCTCTACCACTTGAACCACATCATCACTTCCGGCTTTTTTCTTTTTGCTTATGTGGTGCTGAGGAATCGAACCCAGGGCCTCAGGCATGCAAGGCAAGCGCTCTACCACTGAGCCACCTTCCCAGCCCCATCATCATGTTAATTTTTAAGCAAGATATGTCAAACTGCCTGGTGGTTTTGCTACTTTTCATGTAGGTTGTGACAATACTATTCACATGCATGATGAGAAATTCATGTGATATCAATGAAATGGCATTTTGCTTGGTTTTATCTTGTTTTCCAAACATAGCTAGGGATAGTGGCATAAACCTGCACCTCTAGCACTTGAGAGATGGGGGTCTCTCTTTCTCTCTCAAGTTCAAGGCCAGTCGGGACTACACAGTGAGACCATGTCTCAGAAACAATTTAAAGTAAAGTAAGTGTTCATTATGACCCCACTTAATATAATAGTATCCATTGTTACATACTCAAGCTAGTCAGGATTATACAATGAGACTTTATGTAGTCACAACTTCAAGGATCACAAGTTCAAAGGACTACTGAGACCCTGTCTCTAAAACAATTCAAAGGGGGAAAAAAAGTGTTCATTTTATCCTGCTATATATAAAAGTATCCAGTTTTGTTGAGGGGAACTGTTGACTTGTCATCCCAGTGCTAGGAAAATTTAAAGTGTAAGCCTACATTTTAGAAACATGAGAAAATATTTTTAAATTAAGTAAACCTTCGATAGCATTTTAAATGACAGCAAAAGATACAGACTGTTTGTACTCTTATATTTAAATTGGTTACAACTTGTTTTATGTCTGTGTGCTGATTCTAAAGTTTGAACTCAAGGCTTGGGCACTATCCTTGAGCTTCTTTTGCTTAAGGTTAGTGCCACAGCTCCACTTTGGCCTTTTGGTGGTTAATTGAAGATAAGAGTCTCATGGACTTTCCTGTGTGGGCTGGCTTTGAACCAGGATCTTCAGATCGCAGTCTCCTGAATAGCTAGGATTTTAGGCACAAGCTACCTACCAGTGCTTGACTAAATCTTTTAAAACTTTTATACTCCAAAGACAAACTTAAATGAGATAATTTTCTACTTCATTAGGTCATTCTGATCTCAGTGAGTTTCCAGAAAGCATCAGTTGGC